ATGTATAAATGTGTGTGCTAAAAATGCCTATGGACAAATTGAAAATACACTTTAACACCTCAGGAACAGCCCAGTCCTGCCCCATGAATTTAAAATTTTTAAGATGTTCTTTTTTATTTAGCTATTGACCGTATCTCTGAGATCATTAGGCTGTGTGTTTGATATGAGAGGGACAGATATCAAAGCTGAAAGTACCTCAACAGAGAAGACGGCATGGCTTAACTTTGTGCACTATTAAAATACAACTGAAAATCTGTGGGTTTTTTATTTATTTATTTATTGTTTATTATTGCAGTACAGCACGATCTCTGAGAGAATCGTTGCACAGTTAAAAATATGAGTGAGATAGTTTTAGCAATTGTGGAATAAAGTAGTCATCTGAAATAGAGACCAGTGAGTGGCACACAAAGAAGGCCTGTATTCAGTCAGAGAAGTGTGAGGCAGGGAGGGCTGAGAGTAAACATTAGACCTCAATGACATGCAGATACTTTCAGCTAGAGAGGACACTTTCATCAAATATGAATAAACCAAGTTTGTAGCGGGTGTATGGGAAAAAGAGCCACCTGATGATTTACAGCTTTCTATTGAACTATTTTGCCTTTTCAAGAAAGTGTCTTTTTTTAATCAGTGGTCAGAAAAAGACACAAATGTAGCCTGTGTTAAAACCTTGACACTAAAGCTCCAAATCCAAAACAAATCCTAAGTTTTATAATATATCAAGAAAGTGCAACATTGATATTTATTTTCCTTAGTTTTACATGCATTTATTTTAAACACACACAGCAACATATTCTCACAAACGTTACTGTCTAAATTCACGGACATGAAGAGCAAAACAGAAAAAGTTTATTGAACTACAAATCCAAACTCAGTGCAAGTTATTTGAACATTCTTTTAGCGTTGTGCTTTGACGATCGCACCAACTTCGCCATTCAAAATAAAAGCCTTTTCAAGCGTCAAAACACATCAAGTTAAAAAAATATTTGAGATCAAATCAATGAGAGGACACCACACTGCCTTTGTGCACTTGAAGACATTCGCTGCAAATGTACAAATAATCAGAATATGTCACTCCGGTTCTGGTTGACCAAGCCGAGAAAATCAAACGCAGCCTCCTGAATCTCTGCACCTCAGTCGATGGTATTTGATGTTCTCTAAAATAACAATGTTTTGCAAAAAGCTCCCGCTGATAAACACAACAAACCCTCAATTCGTGCATCACAAACATTACCCACACATTTTAATCCAAACGCCGCATCAAGCAAAGAGGGGAAAATCCACGGCTCTTTCAGTCCAGCACAAAAATGTATCTCCTCTGCTTTCCTTCTCTCTTTTTCTCCCCCACCTCCTCTGCCCCTTCCTCCCTCCCTCCCTCTCTCCCTCCCTCTCTCTCTCTCTCTCTCTCGCTCTCTCTCCCTTTCACTCTCTCTCCCTCTCTCCCTCAATGTGGCCTGGCTGCCTGTCTGACTGTATGAATAATGTCCTGCCTTTTGTAATGAAGGGGGGGTAAAGGGGAAAAAAGGACGCTCAAGTGCTGAAGCCCTGCTCCCATGCACTGACATTGAAAATGAATGACAGCTTACCTGCATGCCAATCTTCATCAGACTGACACTGGGCTGACAGCACAGCCTATACTCCTCCACACAGCCGCTGACGTCAGCCATGCCAGGCCCCTCCCACCTCCATCTCCATCTCCGCTCCCCGTTTTCCCAACACCGGGCTGCTGATGCCTTCCAGTGTCCGTGGGAAATACGGCAATCGAGGAAAGGTGTTCTCGCTGTAACAGTCCTTCGATTGCTTGGCTGTTTTAAAATGGGCCACACTTAAAGTCATATAAAACCAAAATCAAATCCCTACATGTCCTCATGTTGATTGATGTTTAACTTAATCATAAGTTTCCTGTTTTATCTTTTGTAGGATTTTTTTTAAAGGTATGATAAAGTTGTCATTTTTGCTCAAGTGTTCCTGCATTAGCATTTTCTCTCACCCTGGTTTAAATGTTAAGCCAACAAAATGTAATGCCATAAATAAATGGCTTGTGTATAGAGAAATGTATTTTAAATCAGGCAATTTTAAGCTATTTGCCACACCAGGTTTGCCAGTTACACAACTATTATGGTTTCACCAACAATAAAGGTGGGCACTGCTAAATCTAATTGGCCACTGCATGTTGTGGTTGTTGTATCGTTGCTGTTGTGTCGGTGATTACGGGGGGTTGAATTATATCTATCTATCTATCTATCTATCTATCTATCTATCTATCTATCTATCTATCTATCTATCTATATATATATATATATATATTTATATATATATATATATGTATGTATATACTTTTATTATTATATATATCAATGTAATCTAATTAAGATTTTAAGATGTATTCTTTCCCCCTCCCCTCCCTCACAAAAGTATTTTTGTAAAAAAAAGGAAAAAAAAAACAAGATAGTCAACACACACACAAAAAAAATGCTTATTTCAAGATCTGTCTATATTGCATTGTTTAGATGGATATAATGTGGACATTGGTGAGATTACGTTCAGATTTTTTAAAAAGTTTATCCTCATCTTGTATTATGCTTATTGTATATCATCTCTACCATTACTTTTAAAATCCTTAAAAAAATAAAATAAAATAATTATAATAATTATAATAATAATAATAATTGGCCACTGCATTGTGTGTTTGACAAGCTTTTTTTCATAAAATTCTGCCAGGTTGGTCATCATCAGTCTTTTTTTTTGTACTTTTTACAGTACAAAAAAAAAAAAATTAAGGTCTACTTATTTTTAAGTAGGCCCACTGAGTTGGGCTGGGGTGGGTATAGTTTATGTTTAGGATGTGTTGTTCGTGGCTGTACTTTTACGAACATGTTGTGATCTGAATGTGTACATACAATGTCTTTCACTCTTGTATGTTTGTCAACAAATTCATCTATCACAAACAAGACCTCCCTGAAACTTTCGAAACTTTTTTACCTTTTCATCCGACCTTCACCTGTACTCAACACGACAGAATGGCCATCTTCAGTTACTTTCATGTAGAACTTCTAGTTATCAGTCTAGCATCACTTTTAGAGGTCCGAATCTGTGAAATAATCTGGATTCATCTCTAAAATCAATATCATCCCTCAACTCCTTTAAAATATCATTAAAATCTCAACTAATCATGTCTTAAATCCATCATTATTTGTTGTGATCATGTTTCCTTCCTTTTTATGAATACTTTATTGTCTTTATCACTGTTTGATGATTTGTCTGTGTTCCATTTTTGGCAATTTGTATCTGTTTGACCTTTCCCTAATCATTGTACATGTGCAACCTGTCTATGTTACTTAGTTGTCTGCACCTTATGCTTTCTCTGCCCTGATGGGAGCGGAACTTTGTACAAGCCTATTAGCTTCGCTCCCTCCTTGCACTGTTTTTAATCTGTGCTAAATAAATAAATAAATACAATACAATACAAGCACAGATAACCATGTAACTACATATACATACACGATTACATACAAGAGCTTAACATATGTATGATATTACTATAACAGTTGAAAAGTAGATCATTTGTCAAGCACAAATCCTGCACACTTGTTCTAAAACTGTAGGCACACAATTTCCAGGGGAACATTATGTAAGTTTAGATCTACATATATAGCCTACATCAGCAGCAGTTTAACTTTTAAGGCAGAGGAAACATACCAGCTGGGGTTTAATGCAACAGTAGATAGGTTAACATAATAGTGTTCATGTATTAAAACCCCCAAAATTCTGTATATATGGATCATAGCCATGCTGTGACAACATGGCAACCATGTGTGGAGGAGAACTGCATAGAAAAACACAAACTTCTGACTCATTTATGCTGAAAAGTAAGTATTTGTCTTGCAATTTGTTTTATTGTCCTTTCACTGACTTCACTGGTAATTTTAGTTTGACATTGATTCGTTTTAACCAACACAATTCTCCTGAATCTGGTCAAAACTGATTCAACATGATAAATAAACACAGCTGATTAAGGTAACATGGGTAATTTAAGGTGACATGTCGTCCTCTTCCAATGAGAAGTAAAGGCATCAACGCCTCCTGTGGCACCGGGGCGCGCGCGCGCACACACACGCACGCACGCGCAAACACAGGAGTGCCTTCGAGTAGCAGACCAGGCTGGCCCCCTGTCGGCCCGAATCAATGACTACATTTTCCCAAAGTACGGGCAGGTTTATAAAAAACACTGACACAAACATTTTACTGACACTAAATATCAAAGATTTTCTGCAGATCCCTTCTCCATACAAAGTGAAAACTGAAGAAGTTGAGGATTAAAAGAGAGTTTTGAATTATGTTTGTCTGTCTTTATGAAGCTGCTGTAATGTAAGGCTTGTAGAAAACCAGCTGTCTGAGTGAATCTGTGCAGTAAATGAGCAATAGTGAGCATTGATACAATCAGACACTGCTGCAGTGGCTTTTAGAGGAATAATATCGAAACGAGAACAAGAATAACTCCAGTTGTTCAGGCAAATTTTTGAAATATATACTTTATATTTTTCAAAGAGTAAATTGAATACGATAACACAGACCCTGCAGACAACAGGGGAACAGTAAAGTTCAAAATCCTACATGGGATGAAAAAATAGACCATGAAGCGTCCTACTTCGGCTGTTGCTAAGATTTCCAGTAATAACGCATCTGATTGGACCGTTTTGAATTCCTGTCCAATCAAAATCCAACAGGCTGTAACTAGGAAGTAAGAGACGCCACACAACATTTCCGTTTCACCGACAACAAAGGTTTTTTTTCGCGGTGGAAAAATTAGCCTAATAGATCTTCATGCATTGTAACATTACTGAAGAATTCGCCATGTTACGGTCGACTTCTGCACACGGATGCTAGTTAGCAGTTGCTGCTGCAGCCAACATACCAAAGTGAACCGTCTCTGATGTCGAGTCACCACTCAATGAAATGATATAAATCGTCCCCTTTTACGACCGTTGAAGTATTTCCTAAAAATGTCAAACGCTGTGTTAGAGGTCGGTTCGGGTGTTGTTGTTCTCACGGTGGTCTGGGTCCTGGCGGTGGTCTTTGCTATGATGCTGTTCAGAGCATCGGGATCAGCAAGGTAAGTGACCACAAAACCCAGAGATGATTAGGCATAAGCGGCCAATTAAAGCTTCAGGCAGGCCAAATGTGGGACCTTTTTCTCCAATATCTGTGTTTATTTATCCGTCACATACTGTTCGGGTCAAATTTGACCCGTATTGACTTTCAACAGCAGTAAAAAATACCCTATACGCAATTCTTTAAGCCTGAAACTTGATGTCTTTTCCTAAAGTGTCCCAAAATATATGAAATTAATTTAAAAATATCAATATGTGGGTCAATGACGTTACGCCTAAATATTCTCTCCGGCTGTATTTTTTTAAGTTAAAAAAGGTTTGAATGCACAAAAATAGGCTTTCTATGTAGTATCTCTCTCATATATGTAGTCACTTCAACTTTTCAAAAATCTGGTCTTATTTGTAATTTTTCTGAACTTCAAAGTGTCGAAATATCATGTGGTGCAACCAGTAATAACATTAACTGTATTAAATACAAACTAAAATACCTAATTTCTGTAACTGAAACATTAATACCTGATACAATATGCTTAAGTGAAAGGTAGTTTTAAAACATTTCTATCAGTATTATGCAATTTAAAGAAAAAATAAGTCAGTTAACTACATTTAATATTGTGACTGTGACATTATAGAGCTAAAATGTGAGATCATTATTTACAAAAATTCAAATGAAATGCAAACACTTTGTTTTTATGTACTCGATATAACTGACAATTTGTTTAAAAAAAAAAAAATTAAGTATGTTAAAAAAATGTAACAATTTTGACATAAATTATGGTTGCACCACATGACATTTTTTTAAGGCCATGGGCAATTTGTCTATATAAAAAAAAACTAAAATTGCCAAATTTAAAAATTTAACATTAATTTTTGTATACACCTCCCTAGCGTTTGAACTTTTGCAAAATATATTCTTATTGTTGCTATTTTACAATTGGCATGTTTCAAAACCTTATACGTCATTGACCCATGTATTTTTGTATATGTGCTACAGATTTTCCCCTTTGAGGCTGTTACAGGTTAAATTTGACCCGTATCTATTTAGATGGATTTTAGATCTACCAGCATGGGACAAGTGACAAGCAGTAACAACAGTGTTCAATATAAGGCATGTTGTTCAAAAATATATATTCAAATCATTAAACTATTATTACCTTGACAGAAACACACACACACACACACACACACACACACACACACACACACACACACACACACACACACACACACACACACACACACGCACACAGACATACAGTCACACAGACACACCTAGACAGAGGTCAAGATGACCTAACCAATCAAGAGAACCTTCTGTGACAGAAAGCTGCTCTTTGAGCTCTTTGAAAGGGGCAGGGGGATCCTAAAATATAGAAATAGTAAACAAACAACACATGAGTGATCATACATGGAGTACAAAGGGATCAGAAGTCATCTGGAGGTCAGAGTGTGCCTTGACACAGACATAACATGTGCACCTGCTCCTGCAATATAATGTACAAAGTAACAAATTGGAATCTGTTTTGATTGGGAGGGAGGTGGTGGGGTGGTGGGAGTCGTAACATTATGAGAATAGAGAGAGCTGCCATTTCAGTGGCAAACACTGAACAAGTGTCCTACCTTTGCTTTGAATGCAGAGACTAGCAGTGAGGACAAACAGTGAGAACAGAGTTCAATATGAAGTTTGTTGTTCATAAAAATATTTTCAAATCATTATGACTTTTATATTTTTATGTCTTACATAATATTAGATGACATTATATTTATGACGTTGACGTTTCTACTGATGACGTTTCTACTGATTTTATACTTGTTTCTCCTTTTTCTCTATTCTATTTTAATGTTTGCTTAGCTGCTGCTTTTCAATTGCCCCTAGGAGATGAATAAAGCTATACTGAATTGAATTGAATTATCCTGTGTAATAGATATTCTTCTCCAAACTATATATATATTTCACCAAAAACGAGTGGTGTTAAAACTGAAAAAATACAGTTTCCCTGCTCTTTGAAACATTTAGGAAGGACTAATCAATATTTTTTTGAAGTAGCACAGATCATTTAAACATTATAAATAGGTTTGGGGTTAGAACTTTGGTGAAAATACTTGCTACATGGGCAATTCTTGGGCTGGGTCAATTTTGACCCGGAACATACTGTGAGGGTACAGGATTTGAACAGTATGTGGAGGTTATTTATCCACTAAAGTACAGGTACTCCGCAGCGTCAAGCTACTTCAGCCATAAGGGGCATGTCCAGACATTGTGAAGCGATCTTGGAAAAGATCACTTTTACAAGTGTTTCCCCAAATTTCAACAACACAGGACAGATAAGGTCAAATCAGAGCAGTTGAAAGTGTGTTATGTTTTTTGGATTTAGAAGTATAATTGAAAGCCAACAGTTCTCTTGTATACAGCGAAGACATACTCACAAGATCATTGTATGGAAGAGACCACTTTAACATTAGCATTTACCGGCAAACCTTGAACTTGAGGACGCCACTTTGTTGTATGAGCACGTATTCAACTCTGCACAGGTACTTCAGATCCTATTTTAGACATGTATGGTCTTCTAAAGCACAGGTTTAAAAGGAGAATACAGGTTTGCTTTATGTTAAATAGAGATGAACACATGAATACAATACTTGAATAAACATTAACTGAAAGTTCACATGAAATATTCACAATAAATGAGGAATTTCCTTGACTGGCAAAGCTGACATATTCCAGAATACCATCAACATCAGAGCCTCCTCAGCCTGTGTTTCCCACTGACTGTGTAATACAGGTGTTTTCTGCCAAAGGACTGATTATGACCCAGTCACATTTAGTCCTTTGAGTCTTGCCCTGTATGACTTTAGGTCAGCTGAGATTATTTATATAAGGACGCGTCACATGTTGACATTGGAGGTGTTAAACATATTTTTGCACCTGTTGAAGTCCTGTAGCTTTGCAGACCATCAGTGGAATCCATGATGCTGTGGTCGAAAACATGATTGAGGGAAGTAACACATTTTGCAGTGTTTTTGTCACAGGAAAAATCTTTTTTTTTTTAAACAACGGTTAATCGAAGATTAATTATAAACACTTACAAAGATCAAACATGGAGAATACTTAAAGTACCATGTTTTTCTCTTGCTGTTCATGTCAGTAACATTATAAATTCCACTTCAGCATAACTTTGACTCAGCTGATTGCCTTGTGTACAACACGTTTGTAAAGAGGCTACAGCAGTCACTTTTCACTAAGACTTTAAGCATAACTTTCTTTATCCTTTAGAGTGGACTGAAACTCCCACAATATTAATCAGATTACAGTCTGTGGCTTACTTGAAAAGTTAGGATGGGTCTTGGTAGGACCTGTGGATATTTTAGGATCAAGTTGCTGTAAACCTCTGTCACACTAAAAGGGAGTCAAGTGGACTGTTAAACCAAAGAATTAGCTGATTGTTGTAAGGCACTTTTAGCGCTAGATGTGAGGACCTGTGTAAGGACACACAGCACTCACTAATGTGGTAAAGAGTACGTGCCCGTTTCACAATACAACATTATACTTAAATAACTGCATGAACTGCTAGTCTCAGCAAATACTCAGTCCTCATGTCACCCTCTTTTGTGTGTGTGTGTGTGTGTGTGTGTGTGTGTGTGTGTGTGTGTGTGTGTGTGTGTGTGTGTGTGTGCGTGCGTGTGCGTGTGTGTGCGTGCGCTGTGTGTTTTTCAGGTTAGGAGTCATCCCTGTGTTCCTCTTGGCTCTAAGCATCACTCTGGCTCTGGTGTTTTCCCCCCGCAGTCCAGAGACGGAGACCCCTTTTAAAGAGATAGAGGTAAGCTTTTTGCATTGAATATATACACCTGAAGGCACACACAATGTACCATATTTGTGGCCACTCTATGAAACCTGTTAACTGCCACCTTCCCTCTAATGTCAGTCTGACATGTCAGATGACTTAAAGCTAAAATTGTTAAAACTTTAACGTCTGTGCATCCATTGTCTATCAAAAGATATTTGATTTAAGAGTTAGTCAAATCTTAAGTTAGCTTTTCTAACTCTTACCATTGAGTGTTTTGTTGCATACAGAGAGCTGTTTTTGTTCATACTTATTACTGTTGTTCAGATTTTGTGTCCTATCTGTGACATGCATAAAGAGTGTGCTTTGAACAGCACAAGTGACAACTCGTATTTATGAAGTGTCAAGGTTCAAGCTTAAGTGACATACAAATCTGTACAAGCAACCTGTTATTGCACATACCTAGCATTGGGGCTGATGCTTAAACGTAGTCATAATTCATTCATGTACATATTTACTGATCAGATATCGGCAGGTTAGAAGAGAGATATTTACTGTCTCTCGTTTCACCTTCTTTCTGTCAGTCAAAAGAGAGTAATGTGCCTAGCTACAACCTTAAGGGTTAGATTGCTGTGTCTGGTACTCCAACATAAGGATGCCAAAAAAGTAGGATGGTTCAGATTTGTTATTTTGGGACTTTTACCAACTACTGGAACAACTCAGTAGAAATACAAACGATATTGTACCAAACTGTACAAAACGGAAACAGACCACCTGGTGGAAATGCAACTTTATACTTTTGTATTGACAGGGCTGGCTCTCTGCTTGGCTGCAGTTTAGACAGAAATAAGGATTCTCAACATCCTTGTCCAGTAAAATCAGATCTCTGTTGGCAAATACAAACACTTTGTGACGTATAGATGACACTGTGGAAAAGTCAGTCTGGAACAATTCAGGAAATATAATGGCAGATTTAAAACTGTTATCTCTGGATTGGAATAGACTTGATCCATTTTTGTATTCCATCGCTACAAGTACAAGCTCTGAGCTTCTAACAGTGTTGAAGATCAATTCACATTTGAGTTCGTTGAAAGCACAACATGTCTTACACAGGTACTGAGGGGGGTCATATAAAGCATTTGTTTTCTGGACTCATGAGAATAATCCTGTTAGCAGATAATGATTTATGTTAACATCTGTACCAACAGCAGCCTAGCAGTCTAGGCATGCCTCATATACTCATGTGGCACAGGCTCCACTTTGGGGCCTCTTTCTTGCATGTTACTCTCTATGCTCTCCCCCGATTCCTACTTAATCCACTGTCCTTTATCTCCTGTCAGTAAAGGCCAAAAAATGTTGAATGGTTTGCAGAGTGTGGGTAACTTCAGCAGAGCTAGCACCACTGGTCTTTGGTCTTCTGTGCCTACATGGCTGTGCTGTTAAAGCATCATCCTAGAAGTGATCCTTTGCTAGCCTACAAAAAACTTATCTCTGTTTTCTAGACCTAAATACTGACAAGATGCTGACTGTCATCGGTTTGTTTACATCCAAGTGGGGCATTATAGCATCATGGCAATGACTCTGGTTGGCAGAGGGTGCCTGTGCTGCAGCTTAGGTCGCTTTCACACCTGACCAAGCAGACTCGGTTCGACTAGGGAGCTGAAAGTCGCAACATTGTTGCATTTATCACTTGTTTCGGTCCTGCCTTCATACTGTAATTTCTAAAGCCCACCGAACTTTCCGAGCAGCATCACGTGGTTGATAGGGGCGCTTGTTGATTGAACAAAGTAGGAGGGGTATGTAACCTCACGGATTACAAACAGGGGTGGACTAGCCGTCTTGTATTTTGCTTCGTCACATTATTTTATGGAATGCTACATCGTTAGTGAATGAAACTGTTCCTATAATGCTATGGTAACTTGTCAGGGATTGATCCTGTTATTTTTCTAACTTTGACGATCTAACATGTGACAACATATGAGCTCAGAGTTTAAGGACTGTGACCGTTGGTAGTTGTGATTTGACTTTGTTTAAATATGCAAAATTGTGAATTTATGGGTTATTGTTGTTCAGACAATTGAGCTAAGCTAGCTAGCAACTGCTAATGTCAGCGGCCACTTGTTGCCATAGCAATAGCAACAAGTGACGCCGTGCTTCCTCTACCCAAGCTGCACTGCGTATGCAATGCATATAGCGTCATTACGTACATTTGGTCCTGTGTTTGGTCCGGTGAGCTCTCACACTGCATACGAACCGAACCAGGGTTCACTTGCAAGCGAACCAAGACCCACGTTTTCAGGCAGACCAGAGTTCGCTTGTTTGGTCCGCACCAGAGTTCGAATGAGCTTTCACACCTGCCCAAATGAAGCGGACTATCCGAGGAAACGAACTCTGGTCCGTTTAAAGCGGACCAAACAGCTCTGGTGTGAAAGCGACCTTACACACAACAAATTGTCAGCATTTTAGTCCCGCAGCAACAACAACATCAATAATTAGTTTAACTGGCTAGAAATTGTAGTGCGGACCAGTGTGGGGTGACAACTTTAAGCATGTTCATCCCTAATAAATTCTACTAAGTCAGTATGCAAATAGCACAGGCTCTTTTCTGAGATAGATTTAGAGATTGTGAATATCCTTTAAAAGGTGTTCACGGAATGTGACGCCTAACTACTGGACTACATCAGAGGAAACAGACACTACACTTCTGCCCAAACCATGGCAAAGAAATATTACAAATGAGTATTATTATAAGAATCTTTATTGTTTTGAGACACACAGGCAGGCATTGTTGTAGTCTGTTATTGTTGCTCATGCATAATGAGAGCTTTATGTACAACAGTTGGAATTAAAAGCAGGCCTGGGATCTTTTTCAGTTTTGCTGTGAGGCCATTTGGCTTCATTCACCACCAAATGTTTTGGGTCCTGAGATCACTGATGTCGAGCACATACACAAACTGCTTACTTTAGCTGAATGGTCACACTCATGATTTTCTAAAAGACAGAATAAACATGCTCTGTATAGCTTTAATCTGTTGATGCATCATGACACAACACGTAAGAAAAAGGATAAATAAAAGTGAATTTAATCATTCTAATCAATTACTGATGTCAAACAAACACATATTATTATCATTGAGTTGTCTAAATAAGATTCTATACACATCATTGGTGTGTTTGTGTTGTTTTTTGAGTATGTGTTTGTGTGCACAGGCAAAGTTTTGGTCATGTGTGGTTTTTATTATTACCCCATATGTATACTTCTATGGGTTATGGGTTCTATTTCTGCTAGACTACATCAACCTTGACTCCCCTTTAAGCCAGTATCCGCGGCTCTGTATACCTGTAAACAACATATGTCCCTGTGTGTGTGCACTTCTGTGTATGTGCTTGTTGTAAAAAGCCTGTTCTGCTTTATCTTAGTCCAACAGCAACACAGAACAAACACTCCCCCATGTTGCCTCGGGGTCGTGCCAATAAGCCAGCCAGATCTGCCAAGCAAGCTGCCATCCCAGAGAAATAGCAGAGCAGAGACTGTCCTAGCCAGCTCTTGTTTTATAGCCTTTGTGCAAAGACCGATACAGACTAGCAGCACAGAGAGGCAGCAAAATGTTACTCACTTAAGGCTTATGTGTGAACTGAAAAACATTTAGCCCCTAAAACACTTTATAGTTTTTTTTTAATGGGTCACGTAACAAAATCACATGTGAATGTGACACTTATTGTTGCTGTAGAAATGTCATCACCCACCAGTCTGCCTTGAAATTTTACAAGTTTTAAATCTGGGGTTAAAACTTGGGCCTCTTGTAGTTACTCTAGGATCTCACTAACTTATAGAAATAAAGTTTGGGATTTTCTTTGGTAAATTGCTTCAGTTGTAGGGCTGTAGAGGCAGGGCCAGTGCACCTGACCAAAGTCTTGCGAGTATTTGAGTCATTAGCGTGCTCAGATTGTTTTTAACAGTGTTTCCTCACATTACAAATAATCTCTGCTGACAGCCTTTGACCCTTTTCATTTAAAAGATAATCTGTCATTTTAGATCAGAAACTGTGGTTACATCTCTGTCTCCAAACCCACCAGTCTCGATTGACAAAAATAGCAAAACTATCTCACATTACAAGGGAGTTATTGGTTTACAGCTACCTTGACTGGTTAAAGGCACAGTGCATAGAAATGTAGATATTCCATAGTGAAATGCTTCTTCGCTCACCCCATCTGTCAGTGACATGATGGTGGCCTGTAATGCATGATAATTAGGATCCTCCATTTGTCAAGGTTTCAGTAACAAGAAGTCTATTGATACAAATCCTTTTACACACATCCTTTTACACACAACGCCCACTTTCTTCTACGACTTAAAGGGTGAGGCCTTCATGGAAGGGAACCTGCTCTTAAGGAGGTTTAAAATGTTCAGTTAAAGTTAACAAAACACAACCATTTTCATTATCGTGGTTGTGACAGTGGGGTAACATTAGAATGTCGCTGGTGGTTACACAGTTTAACTGCAACCACATGACTAAGGTCGCTTTCACACCAGAGCTGTTTGGTCCACTTTAAACGGACCAGAGTTCGTTTCCTCGGATAGTCCGCTTCGTTTGGGCAGGTGTGAAAGCTCATTCGAACTCTGGTGCGGACCAAACAAGCGAACTCTGGTCTGCCTGAAAACGTGGGTCTCGGTTCGCTTGCAAGTGAACCCTGGTTCGGTTCGTATGCAGTGTGAGAGCTCACCGGACCAAACACAGGACCAAATGTACGTAATGACGCTATATGCATTGCATACGCAGTGCATCTTGGGTAGAGGAAGCACGGCGTCACTTGTTGCTATGGCAACAAGTGGCCGCTGACATTAGCAGTTGCTAGCTAGCTTAGCTCAATTGTCTGAACAACAATAACCCATAAATTCATAATTTTGCATATTTAAACAAAATCAAATCACAACTACCAACAGTCACAGTCCTTAAACTCTGAGCTCATATGTTGTCACATGTTAGATCATCAAAGTTAGAAAAATAACAGGATCAATCCCTGACAAGCTACCACAGCATTATAGGAACAGCTGCGTTTACTAATGTTGTAGCATTCCATAAAATAATGTGACAAAGCAAATACAAGACGGCTAGTCCACCCCTGTTTGTTATCTGTGAGGTTACATACCCCTCCTACTTGGTCCAATCGACGAGCACCCCTATCAACCACGTGATGCTGCTCAGAATGTTCGGTGCGCTTTAGAAATCACAGTGTGAAAGCAGAACCGAAACAAGTGATAAATGCAACAATGTTGCGACTTTCAGCTCCCCAGTGGAACCGAGTCCGCTTGGTCAGGTGTGAAAGCGACCTCAAATATCTTTCTCCAGATTTTAGACAGGCAGAAAAAATAAAAGAAGTACTTAGCTTACTTCTTTGATACCTCTCACAGAAACATCAAACCACAGTGGAACAACACAGCTATACATGTGAATGAACTTTTTTTTTTTTTTTTTTTTTTTTTTTAATTGTGACTGAGACAGTGGGTAATATTAGCTTGTGGCTGGTGGCCGCATTTATTGAGCTAAATGTGAATAATCCTTTTCCCAACAGCTCTCTCTTGCTTAGCACGCAGGCTATTATTGGAATGAAGGTCACTGAAAAAATAAATTTTACTCACAATGAAATGTTGCTCTTATCAAGGTTATTCAGCCTCCTAACACACCCTCTCTACTCAGAACTAGTCCAGGCACATTGTGTGGGTAGGAGAGGGAACTTAAACTTGTAAAGTCAATGTTGAGAAAAATTAAGTTATCAAGCTAAGTTTTTTTAAGTTACAACAACTTGAATTTTTTTTTAAACCCACCAACAATAAAGTTTGAGTATGAATGATACAAAATTAATTTGATGTAATTTTTACATTATTATTTGATCACAACTTAAAAAAATAAAGTTTGCAACTTAGAAGGTTTATCTAATATCATAGTTTCTGGTGTTTCTGGAGCCATTCTTGAGTGGACACTCAAAAGAACTACACTTCACAGCACTTCTGCATCAGCTATATTTCTCATCCTGCTGATTAATGCCTGCTTCTGTTGAATACCACCAAGCATTACACACTGCAATTAGTTAGTACTTCTGTCTGCCTTTGGCGTTTCACATTGTAAACATATATGCTTAGAGGCCACGTTGACTGACAGGACCATACGCCAACATCGCTGCCATATTGGTGGTAGCATTATGAAGAGATACAGACTCACATGTATACAGACACTGACTGATACAAAAGGACTGCACTGGTCTAATTTAGACCTGTCACCGTTAGCAGAGCCACTTATACCACTTATAACCACTTATATCTAAAGACTTAAGCTTTCAAATGAAAAAGTCCCCTAATCATCTGGTGGCTGTCGTTTCTATAAATACAAAGTGTGTAATTAAATATTCCATTGTACGGAGAGCACACATGCTCGTAGAAATTAGGATAAGTTTAGAGTTTGTGAAGTTGTGACTGTTAAATTTAATCAACACTTTACTGATGGCTTTGGGTGGTGTTAATATTTAGATCGTGAGCCACCCATGATCACGCAAATACACACCGAGAAAACACCCTTAAGCCAGATAATACCAGCAGAGCATCAAACATACTGCTGACTGAGGAGAGAATTCACAGGGACTAATTTGGAAAGAGACTAAGAGTGCGTGCGTGCGTGCGTGCGTGCGTGCGTGCGTGCGTGCGTGCGTGCGTGCGTGCGTGCGTGCGTGCGTGAGCGAGAGAGAGAAAGAGAAAGAGAGAAAGAGATCGACTGTGTGTGAGAGTGTGTGTAAATCTGCTGGTGTCTCAGAGAGGTGGGATGATATATACCGTCTCTTATGGTTGCATTTAACACATCTCACTTTTTAATTTGCCAATTACACAGCGAGCAAGAACCAAAGTGTGGGCCATGTTTTATTAATGTGCTATTGAGCGCATGGGTGGGAGCAGGCAGGGAGGCAGGGAGGGGGGTGAGGAAAGGGGGGACTTCTGTAAACCACCCCCACCCTTACTCTGGGACCGGCCTAATTGGCACTGTGATATTTTACTTTTGTTGAACAGCATGAGGTTAGTCAGTTATTACGCTCTGCACACTATCTCTCCCTGCATGGATGTTCGATTTTACATTTGTGTGTGTGTGTGTGTGTGTGTGTGTGTGTGTGTGTGTGTGCGTGTGTGTGTGTGTGTATGTGCTGCACTTCTTCACCTTCAAATGCAGTTTTTATTCAGGTTCAAATACTCTTTATGATCACATTGTACTGTTGTTTTGTCTGTGATTCTCTGCCGTATGAAGTGCTGAGGTTGTATCCAACAGTGTATCCTGTGAATGTCAGACATGTTCTGACCTTCCATGTTTTAATGATTGTCATGATTTATTTTACTGTTTATATTGAAGCACCTTAAAGCTCCTGTGTGGAGTTTTAAGCTTGTTATAAATAAACTAAAATTAAAAGTACCGATTTTTTAAGCTACCAGAGTGACATGTGACCAACAGAATCAGGACTGACAATTCTGCCATTTTATTGATAGGATGCTGCCTGTTAGTATCAGTTAATTGGTTAACTGTCAGCCCAGTTAATTGGCTGACTGATTAATCGGTATATCTCTCCTGTTTACACAAACACAGGGCAAAGTCAGCAAAGAGCTAATGATACAGTGTGTAAAAGTGGGAGTGTTTAACAGTATCTTTCTCTTCAGTACTAGACTGAAATGCTCCCTGGCTACAAGGAGCATGGTCCTTCAGCTGTCAAGGTTTTATCATCATAAACACCCACCAATACAAATTATTTTGCAAACAAAAACAAGCCTCCTCTTCTTTGTCTTCTTTTTCTTCTGACTGGCACATTTCAAGTGTCTACCCAATAAGAACCAAGAGGCAAATGGCCCTTTCTAGTTTGTCTGTTCAGTGCTGCTGTGAAATCATGGCAGTGTGAGATACTGACCTTCATGGAATGGAAATTGCCTCAATGTAGATGTAAGAGGCTTTTTTTCAGGTTACAGCTGGAGAGTGTTGAATTAAATGGCAGAACGTACTTGTTGGAATATGATATATGTGATGAGTTTGTCTGTTAAGTGATGTAAAAAAAACACTCATGTGTTTTTGAATTTGGTTTGGGTTTTGTAGAACACAATGGGTTGAAAAGGGGGGGGGGACTGGTTTCTGTGGACAAAAGGATTTTTATTGATTTATTTTTTAACCATATAAATGTGGTAAATGCAGGATCAGATTATTCAAGCACAACAGCAGCTTCTTGTCCTCTCAGGCCACTGTCTCTCCGATCACAGAAAGGGGTGAGCAAGGGAGCTTTTTTTAATCAACAATCTGACCTCTTGAGCATTTCATATTTCTACACACTGCACTAAAACAAAAGGATTTTTATTGTTAAGTTGTTATACATTAGCTTAAATGTTTAAATTAATGTTGTCTTCCATTAGTACTAAGTCTATTCTACAAAGTTCTCTTTTGAGATTTATTTCTTTTGATCTTGTCACTCTTCTTATTTTTTATGTTCCTATTGAAAATTGTGTTCAGAATTTTCAAAATGTATGTTTTATTATTAACAAAAGTCCCAAATCAGTGGTCAGAATCTCTGTTTTCCAATGATGACAAGTTTAAAAAGTAACTTATCTCATGAATTCTTTATTCAGAAAAATTCTTTGTCTGCATCTTTTTTTCTTTTTTTTTTTTTTTCAATCAAAACATCTTGACTTTGAGTGAGAGAGCATTTATACTGGATCATAAAAGGTTCTGAATCCAATTTTTCCTTTCAGGTCAGCAGGATTCGCCTGTTTCTCACAAAAACAACCACTTCAGACAAGATTTTATGATAGCTGCATGTGTTGAAATGTTGAATTCAGCTTATTTTGTCTTCTTTTCATTCTTTTCAGTTCTATATTTCAGACCAACAGGGTTTCTATGTGTGTTCGTCTGTTTGTCTTACAGTGTGTGTGTGTGTGTGTGTGTATACACTCCATGACACTTGTATTTTTCCTCATGCCCTATCCAAAGTCTCGGCAACAGCTCTCTCCTGACACCTGGTGGATTATTGGAGGAACTGTCACTAGTGGTGCTTCTTCTGCCACTAAAACAGTGGCTTTACTGAGCAGTATGTAATAATGAAACTTTTTTAACAGTAAACATGTCCTTCTTTCTTTCTGTCCACAGATTGTAGACACTCTGTTTATTGGGCGATACATTCTGCTGGCAGTGGCTAGCATGGTCTTTCTGGTGGTACTCTTCATGCTGCTCCCTTTTCAGCTCCTGGAGCCGGTCTATGCCAAAGCTTTAAGGACTCATTAAAGCTGTCAGCAGGTTCAGTGTTGGCACCAGGATCACACCACCGATAAACAGAACATAAGGACAAACAGATCTGACAAGAGGCCTCTCTTCACATAGAAAACTACATACAGAGCCTAGTCCAAACAGGAGAGGCAGCGTTGGTGAAAGGCTGGAGATTTGTAGGCTGGAGACTATCCATGTTCAAGAAATGAGGTGTTTGTTATTTAACATCATTGAACAAAAAGATGAATAAACAGGATTGTATTTGATTTGTGTGTATCAATTGTTTTTTATTTTATTTTATTTTTTTAGTTCATTGGTTGATTTGGTTTGATTGGCTATGCTATAGTTTTCTATAGTTAGTTATTTTATCTAAATAAATAAGTTAATAAGGTTTTGAGATATCCATGATGAGTTTGTAATTGTTTTGGTCACACAAACTGATATTAGCCAAGTAATAAAACACAAAGATGCAAGACGTCTTAACAAACTGGTGAAAAAGGCTGGCGCTGTGGTTGGACTCAAGCTGGACTCAGTGGAGGATGTAGTGGAGAGATCTACACTGAGGAAGATGGAGACTATTCTAAAGAACATGGATCACCAACTTCACAACACCTTGATGGACCAAAGGGCCAGTGGTGGTGGACGGCTCCTCTCTCTTCACTGCAGGACAGAAAGATTCAGAAGCTCTTTTGTACCAACAGTCATCAGACTTTATAACTCTTCTGTAAATAATAGATAATTTTTTAGAGAAATATTATGTGAGACAACAGACAATTGAATTTTCCTTCGGGGATTAATAAAGTTCTTCTTATCCTTATTCTTAATGCTCAACATAGTCAGCTCTTCAACTGAGAATTCAGGCCACTTTTATAAGTATTAGTATGAGAATAAAATCGTAAGCAAATAGAGTCATTGTGAAAAAAATGAATTCGTTATACTACGAGAGTAAAGTCACAAGTTAGCCTCCAGAGCGAGGAAATCAGAAATAAAAAAAAACATGATTTTCCATCAAATATCAACTTATATAGGTATACCTCAACATAATATATTCCATTCCTTTGGATAAATGTAGCTAAATTCTACAAAATGTAACTTTAAATTTAAATAAGGCAAAAGACACAACTTTGAACACTGTCTGAAACTTTGATATTCCCTCTCCAGCTCTGCAGCCATTGAAGCCCTCTGAAGCTACTGATTGCAAACATTAGCCATGTTCTGATGTTGGCCTATCAGCTACAGCTGTTTGGTAAACTAAGTTACAGTCCAGTCTTTCTCCTGACTCTCTCCAGCTATTGTCTTTGTTGCAGCTAATCAGCTGAAAGCTGTGAAATGACCACAACTTGTCAGATTACTGAGGTTTATGGGACTTACATCCAGTAACACATTATTGCAGTCAGACATGATAGCTTCCTAGTCTGACGGTAACACCACAAAAAGATGGCCGCCATGGTAATAAGGTGCATTCACAGCTGTGATCCCATTTTGCAAACCACTGAGTCATATCCTGTACTGTTGTCCATGATTTTCCAAACACAGAGTGACATTCACATGGACATGATGCTGAATCCATGAAGACAAAATCAGCAGATGATTCCTCAGTGAGTAATGAGCTTTTGCAGTCTACAGGCTCAATTAAAACACTTACCCCCTCCCATCTCCACCTTAAAAGTGTGAAGCCCAAGGAGACATGGAGTGGAATTCCAACCAGGACGATGAAAGAGAATCTAATGAATCAAAACCAATCCTATTAGTTCCAGCCCACGTCTCCAAACTGGGCTCCTTTCTGCACAACAATCCACCACATGATTTCATGCAGGCTGGGGAACCGGGGGGTTTCAGCCGGGTGGGAGAGCAGATCTGAAACCTTTCAACCTGGAGGGACTTGTTGCCTGTAATTGACCGCATGATTACCACAAAACATGATCTTTGCCCTCGAAGAAAGAGGCAGCAAGGAACCAGCTGTCCACAGAGAAACAAGGCTAAAGGAAGGGCTTCAGCAAGCAGAGAAATTCCTGTTACCTCCAACCTACTTTGGTTCTACCAGTGTTGATAAAATGATTTGATTGGGGACAGATGTACAAAGTTAAAGGTCACCATACTGGGGCTGTTCACACTATGTCTGCAACTTAAGTTTTCTGCACTCTTACTCTTCTTCTCACTCTCTCCATCTCAATTTTTTAATCTTCCTCCTCCCTCTCTCTGTCTTTACTTCCCTCATTTTAATTTTTAGTTCAAACTGATTCTCAGGAGAGTGGGAAAATGAGGAGAACAAAGCCTGTGGGGGTTTGAGGATCATTTGGAGACTGGGAGACAGTCTTTGTGGCGCAGCCAGCTGGACATATAAAGAGACGGGGGCGGGCAAGATAGAGAAAGGGGGAGCGGTGTGAGGGCAAAGAGGTGTGAGCAGAGAGCTCAGGGTGCTTGGTTTTAAGCCTGTGGAGGAGACGGGGGTTCCTGCTCTCTGGTAGATCCTATATTCAGATGCACTCAAGCAGAACTCCCAGTTTGCTGTTCACATCCTCGACCACCTCACCCCCTGTTTGTGATACCGCCACTACCCCACCCAGCTCTCACAACACAAGAACCAGCATCCATTAAGGACTTCAGGAAGGATTTTGTTGCACTTATCCTGAGAGAATGTTTTTCACTTCATGTTAAATCAAGCAGATGGGGATCTTTGCAGTCCTTTCACCAAGTTTGGTAAATAAACTTGATAAGAGCCACCCCCCCCCCCCCCAAAAAAAAATAAATAAATAAATAAATAAATAAATAATAATAAAATAAAATAAATGAGCTCATTTTAAATTTGCAGCATGCTAGCTCCATAAGCAATGAGCGGGTGTTTGGCAGACCTGAGGACATCAGAGTTCACAGGCAGGGTGTTTGCCAAAGTTGTGTGCTGGTATGTGGAAATGAACCAGAGCCACGTTTCCACAGTAACGGACTATGCACTGCTCATGCCAAGACCAGGTTTTTCTCAGCGCTGCTTGTTTTGCTCTTTTATACACTTTTGTATTTATACCAAGGATGCCATCTCTGCAGTACACGGGTGGGTGGGGGGTGGGGTGCTCTCACCAAGGACGATGAAGGCCCAGATTAGTGGTCAGGTCACCCACCAAGAGCCCTCTGCTGCTTTGACAGGACGCCCCATCGGCCAAAGCTCGCCTGCCGGGGGGGGGGAGTCAATGAAGTGTGCTTCAAAAAACAGTGTGTCCAAGTCAAACTTTGAAGTAGAACCACTGGCAAAGTTATAAAAGCCTGACATTTTAACTAAAGTGGTTTATTTTATCAAGAGTAGAAAACCTTTTGTTTTGTTTTTTTAGCAAAGCAATTCTTCTGCCAATTCACGCAGGGATGTGATTTCTGCCTTTTTTATTCTATGTGAATCCCATACCTGCTCATTAACACTAAAACATGGTGCTCTAGGGAAACACTGCGCCTAAAACACACACCTGCTGAGGATCTGCTGTAAGCTTGTTGTAATTCCTGATAGGTGGAGCTGGTGGTGTCTCTGGATTATCTTGCCATATCTTTGATTTCATAAAAAGAAGTTTATCAAAATTATTTTTAAAAAGTCATGATTTGTTACATGTGATGTTGTAACTTTAATTTCAGCTGACTGAAAAATGGTTCAGAAAAATGTTCAATATGGAAACTTGTTTCAGCCAGCTTTAACAAAACTTGACAGTAAAATCCCAGTTCATGTTCACAAGGGACACAAATAACTCAAGCAGTCCTCATGGTAAAGTCTGAATCAGAGCCCAATCTCCGACAACGTGTGTGCATATTTCCAGGTGGATTGTGATTCATAAAAAGGAACATTGAGAACATTGAGGCATAAGGTTTTACAAATGTGAGTAAAGTTGGTGCATGTCATTTCTGGTTTGGGGTCAACATATCCATGAAGTGCCTTCATGAGTCTTCATCATTTCCCAAAGAGGAGCAAACAATTTTAACTATTCGTTGTATTCAGTCGACCTCAAACTGGAAGACATACATGGTAAAACTTCTGCACTTTTTACAATCAAACTGCATCAAACAAAGAAGGAGGAATCCACAAAGTGAGTCCACCCTGGCATGGACACATTCATATAAGAGTAAACACACTCTCATTGTATGATGATTATCAAATGTACACTACAGGCCAAAAGTTTGGAAGCAAGGCCATTACAGGCCGAAACAGTTGGGAGTAACTTCAAGTTTTTTTCACAATGCTTTTTTTTTTAAAAATCCAGCATGAATTTTATGTATTTTGGGATGTATTTACTCCATGATCAGATGTTGCGTACATGGAAATGCACCATTTTACTCCATTTACCTTTAGATATACATTAATGTTAACAGACCATTGCTAAATACATGTCATCAAAAGATAATAAGGGCGTAGTTTTAGGGTTGAAAACATTTGCAAGAGTCATAACTTCAGTGCAAAAGCAAAAAAACAAATCACAGTTGGATTATTCACTTAAACTTTTTGGCTTTTGAGAGTCTGCATACAAAAATCCTAATAAATCTCAACTGCATTCAAACTACCGCAAAAATGGCTAGAAAGAAGCAACTGAGTAAAGAAACAAAGGTACAGATTTGTACATTGAGGAAAGAAGGATACACAGAAAGAGACATTGCAAAACGCCTAAAAGTGTTTAACAAAGGAGTCCACTACACTCTGAAGACACTAGAAGAACCTGAAAGTTATGATGATAGAAAAAGACCTGGACGAAAGAGAGTTACTACAAAAGCAGAGGATAAACATAGCATTGTCACCAGTAAGAGAGATTGGCAAAAGACAACACCAAAAATAAGGGAGGAAATCAATATGACAAGGTTGAAACCCATATCTCTGACAACCGTGAAAGGACGTTTGAGAAAGGCTGGTCTGAAGGGTTGTGTATCTGCAAAAAAAATACTACTTCGTCCACAGAACAAGAAAAAGAGATATGAGTGGGCAAAAGCTCACAAAAATTGGACTTATGATGACTAGAAACAAGTTTGCACTGTTTGGTTCAAAACGCAGAGTCTTTGTCCGCAGACAAACTGGTGAACGTCTGAAAGCACCATGTGTTACACCCACAATTCAGCATGGAAGTGGTAGTTCCATGGTATGGGGATGTTTTGCAGGTGATGGAGTAGGAAATTTGTTTGAAGTAAAGGGTATCATGAAGAAAGAACAGTACCACTCCATCCCCCAGCACCATGCTGTTCCATTTGGACTCAGACTTGTGGCTCATAAGTTTGTTTTGCAGCAAGACAGTGACCCTAAGCACTCTGCCAAGCTCTGTCAGGGTTACCAAGACAAAAAAGAAGAGGAAGGTGTTCTTCAAAAGATGGTTTGGCCCACTCAGACCCCAGACCATTCTCCAATTGAGCTTGTGTGGGATGAATTGGATCGATCGGTCAGAAAATGCGTCCCATGAAACAGCAGTCTCTTTTTAAGGAACCTAAGAAAGCTTGGAATGCAATCCCTGGAACATGCCTTAATAAAACTTGTGGAACGAATGCCTGGTATATGCCAATCTGTTGTTAAAGCCAGAGGAGGTTACTTTAAAGAAAGCAAAGTCTAAGCAACAATAGCTCAAATACCTAATAATTATAGTCAAAATGTCTTCTGATAAGTTAGTCTTTACACAAAAGTCATGTTTATTGTGTTGCAAATATGAAACTTTTATCTTTTTTTGTACAAATCTGATCTTGCTTCCAAACTTTTGGCCTGTAGTGTACATTTTAAAAACAATACGTGGTTTCTTTCACAATTATGTATTTTACCTTTCGAAAAATTCATGGAATAATTATGAAATTACTGCTCGATACATTATAATTATTATTATTACTATTATTATTATTATTATTTTTATTTATTTATTATTTTTTCAGAGGGACTGTTAAGAACAGAACTGTGAATCTGGTTACAGTTGGGGATTCAAAATCTTCCTCTAAAAGTCTGATCACACAAACATGTCTCTGCAGGCTCATGGAGATGCCATCTCTTGTATGTGTGACTTTGTTCATGAAGTTTTCCAGCACAGAAAATCAAAAAGCCTCCACAGTCATTCACATGGAGCTTGTTTTTGTTTACAGACTGCCAAAAAAGCAAGCTGAATCAGAAATGTAATCTGTAGACACTCTGGGGGTCCAGGGCAGACAGACAAACCGATTGTGTTAGAAATTAAAGCCCAACTTTTCTGAAGAGCGTCACTATGTGTACTTTTGTTTGCTCCTTGAGATGATGTATAAGGCTCATACTGTGCAGACAGGCAGCGACAAATTTGCTCGGCGAGTTGACTGGTGGGAGTTGGGTGCAGGGTTAGAGGCGGGGGTGAGAGAGAGAGAGGCCTTTGTACCCTTTTTTTTGTCTTTTTGAAGCTGTTGTTTGCCAAAAGAAACAGCATTCTTTAGGTCTGATCATTTACATCTCAACAAATCAGCTTGGAAATCATCCTGTGAAGCTGAAGGAATGTTTCCACTCTGAACAATGTCAGGACCCGCAAACTTTCATCTCATCTTCAGTATATGGCAGATAATGACCTTCTGAATGATCAGGTAGATATTTGGTAGCTATGTTTGGATTTTCAGAAACCGTTACGCTATGGACCTTTGATTAAATGAATTGATCTGACTCGGGGAACAGACCTCGTGGTTGTTTCGAGCCCCCCCCCCCCCCACTGCCCTTGCAAATTGAATGGCACAGATGTTGGACAAGACAGTACCCCTCGGTCCCCTCTCGCTCACTGCAGGCTCAGCATGAGGTCTGAAACTTGTTTTTTTTTTTTTTTTTTCATCGTTTCCCCCCTGCTTTGCCCTCCTTGTGGGGGAGAGAGGACCCTCAGAGGAGGGAGACAGGGAGAGCAGGAGCAGCCAAATCAAGCAGGGAGGGAGTAAGAGCACAGACATATCTAGGGTTAGCCTGGTTTTAATTTACAAGTTAAGTGCAAGAACAGAGGAGAGTTCAGAGGCTGATGAGGGTATAAGTAGTGAGGAAGGTCCTCAGTCATAGGGGTCTCTGTGTCTCTGATTGTGCATCCAGGCAGTGTTGACTGAAGATGAGGGTCTTTTCGTGGCTCCTTTGCATGTCCTTCTTCATCTGGGTAGAGCACTCGCACAGGTGCATATGCCAGGATATTTGTGCACCAGTTCCAGGATTGGACAAGAGGTCAAAGAGTCGGGTCAAGGAGCATGTGCGTCAAGGAGCTGGACAGCAGCACACGCCTCACAGGAGGGGGCCGCACCGCAGGAAAGGTGAGCCCAGTACTCACTAAAGATTGAACTCTGACCTGCTGCAAGAGCCGCAGATGTTTGGGCATGCAATGTCAACATATTTATGAGTTTTAAGGAAGGTAACCCTGCAGGAAATGACAGGCTTTCACCAAAAAGGTGAAGTTAAACATAGTAAACGGAGGGATTCAGATTCTAAGAAGTTATTTTATAATGTGAAATACATCATTGAAAATACAATGACAGGAAAAACAGTAGTATTAAATTCTCTTTGATTGTGATACACAAACTAATGCTCTAAATGTAAAATAAATCTGTAAAACTAGTTCTCTAAAATCCCTTTTCTGCTCAAATGCTTTATTTATTTATTTATTTATTTTCTGTTGCCTCTGACTTTTTTTTCAGAATTCTGATTTCTTTTTTTCTCAGAAGTTTGAATTTAATTGAAGAATACAACTTTGATCTCAGGATTCACTCTTTATCTTAGAATTCTGATCTTGAGTGAGAAATCTGATCATAATCTAAAAATTTTGACTTTAATTTAAAACATAGACTTGTATTAGGAACTTTGTATTCAATGTCAGAACTCTAACTTAAGTTAAGAAATCTGACATTTCATTAGTATAAAATAATATTTAAGAGCAATCCTTCGGTAGAAATAATACTTTTAAAAGGTACAGCGTGGAAAATGTGGATGGTCAGCTATGGTCTAGGGGTCAGATTTTACATTCACTCCCTTGCTCAACCCCTCCTCCTGTAATGAAATTCCAGAAAAGCTGTGTCCCAATTTAGGGGCTTCACCCTACGAAAGCTGCATTTGAAGACCAATGAGTTAAAGCGGCATATTGAAGGCTGTGAAATGAGGTTATGAACTCTCAAACCGCAGAGTAAATGACGGTATTTGGTTTTAACTCGAAAGCAAAGGTTATGATGTTTAAATTGTGTCTTGCCAGCTATGTTCACTCGCTGGCCCTGCTGCCTCCTGCTGTTCACTGACAAGAGCTGTGCTGTGGGATGCCAACGCTGGGCAGGAAATATGCAATCCTATAATGGTAGACCATTTTAACTTCGTTTGGACTTATTGGACTACATGGGCCATGAAGGCTGGGTTCTTTGCAGGCTGCAGTCCTTGGGTTAGAACCAAGCATCAACCTCTTGAGTCTCGAGAAATGAAACTCATGCAGAATTGCTGAAAACTGTAGTTCTCAGAGTGTCCACTTGAGGAAAACCACATACGCACCCCCCCCCCCCACCCCCCCCCACCCACACACACACACCCACACACACACCAAAAAATAAATAAATAAATCTTATTTTTAGAGCAAAAATTAAACTGCTTGAGGCTCCCCCCCCACACACACACACACACACGCACACACACACACACACATACACACACACCAAAAAAAAAAAAATAAATCTTATTTTTAGAGCAAAAATTAAACTGCTTGAGGCTCCAACAGCACCAACTATATGAGGAGGGAATCTTTATGTGTGTTATGTATCTTTATGTGTCGTTTATGGTTTGAGGTTGAAAAGAATTTAGGATGTGTCAGCAGTACCAATATAGCAAGAGCTGCCAGTAAGGTTTGAAATCTCCACTTCAGAAACGTGAATGTATTGATGTCACAGGTGCTATATCTATTTATGATACAGTCTATGGTTAGGACAGTTAGAGAAATGTATTCAGTAAAAAAAGAATAATATGTTCTGAGGACGCCAGCCCATCAGTTGCCACATAAACTGAATAGAGTTCACAAAGGAAAAGGCATAAAATGCAAAGTGCAATCTGTTTCATAGCTGAACTAAAACAGATTCTCTGCATGGGGCCCCGCATGAAGGATGAGACTTAGGTGGGAAGTTTGGGGTGATGGGACTCTTATTTACACTTCATTGTTTTAATGAGGTTCATTTACCAAGAACAGAATGCACAGAAACCATTTTTGCTCAAAGCAACATAAAGTGGGTCATTCATGTTGACACTGAATGTTGATCCTTCACAAAAAACACTTGAATAACGCTCTGAATCCACTCTAAAGTCACTCTTTATCACATCCCTCACTCTGGCTGACACATTCCTTCTTTTTTCTTACTCCATCCCGCCCTCCATACCTCCCTCCAACACTTCCCTCGACCTTTGCTCCTCAGTCTGAAAGAGGTCCCTCTCCTCCACTCATCCTAGTGCAGCAGCATTCCCATGGGTTGTTTAGCCGGCACTCATCCCTCATCCTCTCTAAAGCTTTTGTTGCAGCCTGAAAGCTGGCCGATCCCGGGGCCATCAAGCCCAAGTTGTTGGATCAATATAAACATCCATCACTTAGCCCGGGCCTTTCTGAGCTGCACAAAGGACAGCTCACTAAACAATGTGTTATTTATGTGAGCCATTGGCGGGAATGAACTGAAGCTTGTTCACTTATTTGTGGGTCGATCTCTTTGCACTAATGGAATTTGGAAGTAAATCAGGAAGCTGGTCTTTAAAGGGGACCTGCCACCAAAATTTCGTACCCATTTTTATCATTTTTTCATAATCCTTGATGTCCTCTGATCATGTTTGCAACATAATTTTAGCTGAAAAGTTATTTGATGGTTTGTTTTAGTATGCCTAAAAAACCTTACAGGAAAACCAACTGGTTTTGGCTCATTAACATTTATGGTAATGAGCTTTGCTCTGATTGGATCGCTGCTGTGAAGCCTGCTGTGCCCTGATTGGCTCAGCAGTGGAGGTTCGGATTTCGGTTTATCCATTGTTATTATGCTAATGCTAATAGCATATGCTAATGTGTGCTAAAGTAAGGTGCCCAGATGTCTGTAATGATATCCGGGGATATTCGATGCGGCGGCGGCGGCGGTGCAGGGGCTGCGTGATCACAGACAAAATCTCAGTACTATTTAGTAGCAGCGCATGCCCCTTGTAATAACCCCCGTAAGAACTGTTGTTCAGGACTGCTAACTTGTGCTTCCTACCTATTCGGCTACTGTAATAACCGTTGTTCGAGCCCACACGCAACATTTTTGCTCTCATTCATGAAACGCTTAAATCGGGGACATTTTCGGGGACAGCTTTTGCCGGGGACAGGTCATCCAATACGGGGACTGTCTCCGGAAATCGGGGACGTCTGGTCACCTTATGCTAAAGGCTTAAAACGGCAGGTATTAAACCATATATTTTAGACCCCGAGTCCGAAGAGGAGGTGGAAGTTGAGGAAGAAGCCGGAGATCTCAAGCGGTGTTTTCTCATTCATTCTGCCCAGCTTTAAGTTCATTTTCCCGGCAGTAAACCGAAGGAAACACCGGTCGTTTGGAAGAGACCCATAGCAGATACAGTGATAGCTGGGTCTCGCTCTGACTGTGACTGAGTACGAGAACGAGAGAGTGGGCACGGCTCACCGAGGACGCGCTCGTGAATAATAATGAGCAAGGTCAGCGAAACGTAACACTGACCTGCTTTTTTAATTGGCCTGGTTTACTCGTTCCTTTATTTTAAACCTTTACAGAATGCAAACGACGTAACGGTTTGTTTTCACATTTACAACATATGACGAACATAATATGGACCTTATCTGACACAAAAAACCCCAAAAATTACATTTTTATGGCAGGTCCCCTCCGAGTAACATCAACATACCTTTGCATAATGTTCTATACTTCTGTATTGCCAATTTACAACTTATGGAGTTGACCAGGTAGTGGTGGTCCTCAAACAATTTAGGGGCTTTCTACTGCAGAAATCAATAATGTGACAATAAAGTACAAGCACTACCTTTTCTATTAAAACAAATAAGAGGAACCGCACCAAAGTCAACTGGCATCAAGCCTGGACTTTTACCTGTTTATGGTGCTTAACAATGCTTCTACCTCTGTGCAAAGTCCGTGCATGCCCCCAGCATGCCCCCATTTATTATCCTCATTTAATCAACATCATCACACTCCTCACTGTAGCTCTACTTAACTGTGCTTGTAAATGTTCTGGAAGATCCCAGGACCTCTTTCTGCTTCCTTTGTCTGTTCTCATGTTTGTTGCTGGCAGATACCATATGTAAAACATCATTGCAACACCACCTGCTGCAGCTCAGTGTTATCACTACTAAATGACTTTGACCTGCTGTAAATCCAGATGACCTACCAGTTTACAAATATTGAACAAAGTTGACCATCTTTTTGACATTTGGCTTTCTTTCTTTCCTCTTGTTGAGCTCAGTCAAACAGTAGAATAGAACTTAAGTCTGATAATAGACAGTAACGGCCAACAGCTAAAACCCACAGGATCCAGAACGGCAGGCAGATCAAACAGGCAAGCATTAGATGTGTGTGATTCCACACAATCCATCCGCTGTCCAGCTCCGCTGTGGATCGGCTCCGGTGGCTGGATCAGATACACAAGGCTTCTATTTTTGTTGGACGCCACAGCACGGCGCATCAATTCAGTGCAGCGCAGAATGACCAGCAGCGGAAGTTGTATGCGGCTACAGTGCAAAATATCTGGTTAATTTTCAAAAAAATTAAAGTCAATACTTTGAACGGTTCTTCACTTGACAATAACAGAGGCCAGGGTTGTGGGATGTGGGTTTTTATATACACACCCTTTATATACTCTGATTGGCAGATTGCATTCAATGTCTCACGGGGAAACACGTGTGAGCTTGTCCAGTCTTGCAAGAAATTTAGGTAATATCGCAAGCGCTTCTCCTCCGATAGCGGAGGTGGGTCAAATCCGGTGGGCACTGTACGATTGCATATTTGATTCACCTGCTGGTCTGAAACGGAGTAGAGTGGAATCCAGTGGAATCACCGGGTAATTTTGACACTACAGGTGTCTTCATGTGGCTGATCGGGAATCTGTCTTGTCCCCCTCTCTCTTCCTCCTAAAATGGGATTTAAATATGCACACAAATAGGAAAATAAGTGATTTAAGCACTAAGTAAAGAAAATGACAAAAGAGATGAAATAAAGCTCCAACGAGGACCTTTGTGTTGATGTTTCCCTCCCTCTAGTATAAACATATCGTAGGATGCCAGGACACAGATAAACCCTCCACAGGAGAAAAGGAATGTAAGAAAAGATTAAACTGTCGTGTCCAACAGACGAAAAGAACAGAGCTTTCATGTTGTTTGTGTTTTGATCATTCGACATACAATTGGTTAGCCTCTTACTAACAGGTTTAGCATCTGTTTTGGTACATGATATAACAGGACTGCTTAGGGACAGCCCAACAGTAACTAGCTAAACGGGGACATGTCACTAAGCAGAAGCAGATAGTTTTGTCAACAAGCTGTTTTCTGCTTGGTGCTTGTATTGGAACTAGGACAGTTACTGAACCACTTAATCTCCTGTTTATGCCATGTTTTCTTGTCTGATTACATGTCTCATTCTCAGCAGAACTTTATGGAATTTGAAGTACAAGTTCAGTTTTCTTTATGGCAACAGCTACTTAATCCTTTAGATGGTGGCACAGTCAGTTTCACACACTTTTTAATTTGATGTGCAATAAATACTGCATACTAAATGCATTGCAGTGCAACTGCCTTATTATTTAGCCATCTGGTACTCATTTCAACAATTAAAACTGTTAATTTTTTCATTGTTCTCCATGGTAAACAGAATTATGTATTGAATATCAAAGAAGTAACATTTTCAGAGCAAGGTCCTTTCATCAAGTTTAAAATACAGGGCAAGAAATGACAATTTATCAAACACCTGATGAGGGAACCTTGCTCCCCGGGCCAATACAATCTCCCTATTTTTCACAAAACAATGTTGGCAGGTTTTAGACTGTACTCATTTCCACTGAGAACACCCCTGTCTTATGTGATGTGGTTTAAAAATGAAAACTGAGTTAAGTCTTATTTATTTAGTAGTTTCAGATTTTTGCCATAATTTGTATTCAAGAGAAAAATACACTCTATGTAAATCTCATATAAGCTATTGAAATCACTGGAGAGAAACCAACCCCTAATATAAACTGTTTATTTACAGTTGAAACACTTGGTGGACTGAAAGCATCAGAGAGAAATGCATAATTTCCTTCTATTGTCTAGAAACTCGGGGGACCGAAATTCCTGCTTAGTGTTGAGAGAGTGGTGGCAACAAACTGCCAAAAACAAACAAGCAAATTTAAAAACAGCAAAAAATAGGACAAACTATACAATACAATTCAAGAGCTTTATTTTTCCCCAATGGTAAGTTCATTTGTCTGAAGTCTTATGAACAAATTTTCTCTGGTTGGACAGTTAACAAACAGTGTAAATCCAGTTAGGTGAGAGGAGAGGGTGACATGGTTGAAGTCTCTTGGTGACTTATTACAAGTGCATCAGGATCCACACTGGAGTGTGAGTCGTTTTGATTCAACCAGGTTTCAGTAAAACACAGGAGACTGCACTTACAGCATGCTTTCTCAGTATTCACCAATATCTCTAGAGCAAAAATTGCAGGGTATTCAGGGAGACCAGATTTTGCTGCTCCTTGGTTGAGCGCAGGTTAATGGCCTCTGCTCAGACAACAAAAATAATCAGAGGGGCATCCAGAGGTGAGGACGTGGACCCCCTTTGAAATATGGTGCCACCACCCTAATATCCTGAACCTTTATTGACTAAATATCAGTCTGTGTTGCAGTAGACTGTTGGAAGTTCTCTTGGCTTATTGAATTCATTAAGCTGTTAAAAGCTTAACCCCACTTCCACAAAGTCAAACTGCTGTATATCCTGGCATTTAAAATAGAGTTTGATGATTTTAAGATCATTCTAACCCTCTATAAAAACAGTTAAAAGACAACATATCAGATGTAAGAACTAAGCGTCCTAAAAACATTCACCTTGAACATCTTACGGATTGAGAGACTCTAGAGAAATTGTCAAACAAAAGAGATAAGACTGAAAAAAATCAACACCAGATGACCCTGATCTCCGAGCCTCCACCAGACATTTCATTAAAACAGATGTGACTCTAAATGACACAACTTCTTATTTGGGATCAAGGTCCTGTGGTCTGATGAATTGTAATAGACATTCTTTTTGGACATCATGGGCACTGTATCCTTCCCCCTAAAAAGGAGAGGGACCAGCAAGCTTATTACAAGCACACAGTTCAAAAGCCAACATTATGGGCTCTATTTTGGTGCCTCGCCGGAGACGTGCCGCAAGCGCAGCGTCAATCAGATCCGCCGCGCTGACAAGGCGTTCCCAAGCACATTTTGGTATTTTGGTGAGCCGCGCAGCCCGGCGTAAGTATCCCCCCTCCCTAACTCAGCTCCTCCCAGCACCATAAGTCGTAGACGGGGAGGAGAGAGGCCGTATAGTGGGTTTAACACAGCCGAGACCTGTTTTCACCAATCACATAAGCTCCTCTCCTTGCCTTTAAATCCGCCACCGGCGAGGCGTATTACTATTTTCATGAAGTAGTCAAAGAGATCAAAAGATGTCTGAAGACAGTTATGCCACACGATGGCGACAGAGGGCAGCCGCTCAACAAGTGTCCTCCACACTCTCTCATCTGAGCACAGATGGATTTGCTGTGCGTAATGCTGGACCCACTGGTAAGACAAACACCCTTTTCCACAAATAAAGACACTCACATAAAGTTGCATATATTCAAACCTCACGTGACAAAGGTGGGTTGAGCGCACAGATCACAACATAAACTCCAAAAATGGCATTAAAATCGGAACCATCTGTGCGTAAATGACGCATCGCGCTCCGTGGCCTGGCTCTTTCTTTCATAGATGTTGGCATATAAAATAAATTTGGCCCACAAAACTGAATATTATAATATCCGTATGTCGGCTTAAAGTAGATAACGCATCTGAGCACTGAAACAAATCATCTGTTCAGCCGCAGCAGCAGCAGGAAGACGGACAGAGGACACGAAGATGGGTCCAGGTCGAGCTGTGCGAGAAATAAGAGGAAGAAAGAAAAGGAGGGAGACACATTACATATCTTGTTAACTTCATCATGTGTGTTTATTTACTAGATATTTAATTTAATTTGATGCAGTTTCAGCTGTATTGATTCGGTCAGGTTGTGTGCCCAAACGCGTGCCAAACGCGCTCATCAGATCAGATATAGATCAGAATATATCGATATAGATCTAAATGTATGTGCTGACTCAGATTAATAGTTGATGATGATTATTTATTGCACTGAAATCTGCCTGACACTGTGGAAACCTGCCGGTGAGGCATCGGTGACGTATGGCGGAACGCAGCCGGTCTACCAAAATACTACTAGACCAGCTGCGTTCCGCCTTGTGCTGAAAGCTGACCAGGTTTGAATCGGCGAGCTTTCATCGCACGTTACACGCCAGTGGCGAGCATGAAAATGTCACTGCGCCAGCTGATTCTGTCAACACCTCCCCCTGCCATGCCACCACGCCCAGCTTGGCGGATCTCGGCTCGCCTCCGTGCGACTCAGTCCACGAAAATACCAAACTTGCCTTACACCGGGCTCCGCCAGACGAAAATACAACTGCGCGGGGCTCGCCGCCCTCCGCCGCCTCACCGGCGCGAACGAAAATAGAGCCCAAAGTATCAGTGTCCATGTCATGGGTTGCTCCCACATTTGTGAAGGCTCCATTAATGCTGAACTATACCCACAAGTTTAAGAGCAACATCTGCTGCCATCCAGACAATGACTTTTTCAGGGAAGACCTTCATATTTCAGCAAGACAATAACAAACCACATTCTGACAACAGGGATTACAACAGCACGGCTCTGAAGTAGAAGAGTACCTGACCCTGCTGATAAACTGGCCTGCCTGCAGTCCAGACTTGTCACTCATTGATAATATTTGACATTTCATGAAAAGAAAAATACCACAGCAGAGACCCTGAACTATTTGAGAATAAAATCTATGGCAGGAAAGTACTGGTCAACATTATACTTTCAAAACTTAAGACTCCAAAGTTTGCAGAAGGTTGTCAAAAGGTGATGCAACACAATGGTAATCATCCCTAACTTTTAGGAAATGTTTTGCTTTCATCAAATTGAAAATGTGAATTTTTTTTAGTGAAACAAAACACAAAAAATAATTTCTACTATTGGTGTGTTGTATTTGCAACCTTTTTGATTAAATGGGTTTAAAATCATTTGCAACACGTAACTATTTTTTTTTTTTTTTTTTTGAAAATTTCTACACAACTTGACCATCTTGAGAATTAGAGTTACAGATTTGTTTTAAATGTAACACTGAATATGAAGCCTGCATAAATCATAGCCGCACTTCTTGTGCCTCCCTATCCAAAAGACTGGACATACTTCTGGCATAAAATGTTCTATAGTAAGTAATTTGTTTTTAGTTGGATTTTGACAAGCTCAATCTATTTTTTTTTCACAAAAAATCAATTAAATAAATAAGAAAAAATGTAGTTGTCTCCTATGACAGAGTACTAGGGCCACATCAAGAAGAAAAAAAATAATACTTTGTGATTACTTACGAGAATAAAGTCGTGGGAAAATCATTACTTATGAGAATAAAGTCGTAGTTAAATCATTACTTGCGAGAATAAAGTCGTAATAAAATCATTATTTACGAGAATAAAGTTGTTTAGTTACGACTGAGTGTAAGGGCCACATTAAGATTAAAAAAAATGTAAGACTTCATAATTATTTATAAGAATAAAGTCGTAACAAAGTAATTACTTACATAGGACGGAGCATTAGGGCCACATTAAAAAAAGGAAAAATTTTAGACCACGCAATTACTTATGAGAGTAAAGTCGTAGTAAAATAAATATGTACGAGAATAAAGTCGTAATAAAATAATTTCTTACAAGAATAAAGTTGTAACAAATTAATTACTTATGAGAAAAAAAATCGTAATTGAATCATTTCTTATGAGAATAAAGTCGTAATGAAATCATTACTTGTGAGAATAAAGTCATAGCTAATAGCTATTCTAACCTGTTGTTAATTGTTTGAAATGAGCGCTGTGGAGCATTTAGATAAATGGAACTTCAGTTGCTTGGTTTCACAAACAAGGAGACAAATCCTGTGGTGTTTCAGCATCACATTGTAATAAGTATCAGGACATATGCAAGAAATGCATTTTTTCACAGAAAGAACCAGATGGACTTGTAGGTAATGCTCTTTTTGAGGAGGGGGAAATGGCTGGAAATGGCTGTGCAGAGGGTAAATCCCTCAATGCAGCCATTTATAGCAATAGTAGCATATGGCTTTAGTTTATCATATGAATCTATATGCCATAAGGTGCTGGTGCCTCTGCACGTGTAGATTTCTGCCAGTATTGTGCCGACATCAAAGACAGATGTGGTGCTCGTTGGAGCTCTACTCCCTCTAAATCGCAAATGTTGATGATCAGTTGGATTATTTCTTGAGAAACCACAAAAGCTCTCTGAATGGCCCACTGATGCACCCACAGAAAACTCTGCAGTTGACCAGCTCCAGCCATTTCCTCCTCCACAAAAGCAGCTTGAAGACTTCATTTACTTTAGGACTTTATTCTTGTAAATAATGATTATATTACAACATTATTCTCGTGAATAATGATTTAATTATGACTTTAGTCTTGTAGCCTAAGTAATGATTTTACTACCACTTTATTTTCATAAGTAATTATGAATGTAGCCCTAATACTTCATTGTATTAAGTAAATTAAGTCATAACGCTGCTTTTGTGGAGGAGGACATGGCTGGAACTGGTCAACTGTAGAGTTATCTGTGGGTGGATCAGTGTAGGCTGTATTGGGACAGAGGAAAAAGTGTTCAGAAAGTGAATCTCGTTCCACTTCAGTGGGGCAACATGAACTGTGATTCATTCAATAGCTCTATTGATAGTAAGTACTAAAAAAAAACATCTACTCATGACATCCTGTCGATTTTTAGTAATCAGTGTTTCGGTGTCAAACTATTTCCTTTCTACGGCGTAGTGATACTTGCACACGCGCAATCGAATATGCAGAGGATGAAGCGATTTTTGTCACGTGGACCAATAGGAGCCGAGTCTCGTTGCCATAGTATCAGAAATACACAAACATGGCAACGAGCGCATCTAGCAGCGAGACAAGCGAAGAGTGTGAATTTCGTTCAACTACGCTGGTGCTACTTGCTCAATGCATTTTTGCATAGACAATACCGTTCTGGACTTTAGGTTAAAATATCTACTCAGACTATCTGTCCGACTTTTGTCACCAGCCAGAAATGTACATATATGTGAGTAACTCAAAAAGCAATGATATGATGCTGCTGTTTTTGCTTGTAGAAACTGCTATGTTTCTACAAGTATGACAAAATCTTTCTCAAATGTCATAAATACATCTACCTAACACCCGAAACAGTTATTGGTGCCTTAGTATACGCATAAGTGAATTCAGATTATGAAATGTAGCAAATTTCTTGAAGAAAATGTCTCAACTCAAGTGATTTGCACCCAGCACAATGAAATATATACAGTAAATTTAGCTAAAAGCTTATGTTTCATAAAAATGACACAACCTACTGTGTAATAGTAGGTTTCCCAAAGTGTCCTTGTAAAGTCGAGAACGTCTTCACTCTGGACAGATGATAGATGCATATAGCATCGTTTCGTTCCTTTTTTATGCACTTTTGAAGGCTGTTTTCTGTTTTTTCCTTTTCTTTTCTTCCTCTTCGCTTGTCTCGCTGCTAGATGCGCTCGTCGCCATGTTTGTGTATTTCTGATACTATGGCAACGAGACTCGGCTCCTATTGGTCCACGTGACAAAAATCGCTTCACCCTCTGCATATTCGATTGCGCGTGTGCAAGTATCACTACGCCACAGTAAGGAAATAGTTCGACACCGAAACACTGATTACTAAAAATCGACAGGATGGCATGAGTAGATATTTTTTTTTAGTACTTACTATCAATAGAGCTGTTTTATGAATCACAGTTTATGTTGCCCCACTGAAGTGGAACGAACCAACACGATCTTGCTCAGCCAATACAGCCTAAGTGGGCCATTCAAAGGTGCTTAGACTTAGCTACTTCAGTTCAATTCATCTAAATGCTCCACAGTGCTCATTTAAACAACTAACAAGAGGTTAGAATGGCTATTAGCTACGACCTTATCCTCGTAAGAAATGGTTTCATTACGAGATTATTCTTGTAATTACTCAGTCTTAATTTTTTTTTCTTAATGTGGCCCTAATACTCTGTCGTAGTCTCCAGTGTTGTCAATTTGTTCATAAAGTCAAGGTAACTACTTGGCCAAAGTCTACTCTTTCTGTCAAGTCGGATATTGAAGAGGACCTGCCACCAAAAATGTAATTTTTTGCATGTTTGTGTGTCAGATTAGATCCATATTATGTTCATCTTGTGTTGTAAATGTGAAAATAAACCTTTACGTCGTTTGCATTCTGTAAAGATTTAAAATAAAAAAATGGGTAAACCAGGCCAATTGAAAAAGCAGGTCATTCTGACGTCAAGCTGACCTTGCTTATTATTATTCATGAGCGCGCCCTCGGTGAGCCGTGCCCACGACGTCCGCTGTCAGCATGGGGTGGGGTGGGGGGGTGGTAGCTTCGTTCATCGGCCTGGGGTTGGGAGGGTGGTTGCTGATAGGGCTGATTCATACTCCGAAGATATTTCGGTTCGGTTTTTTGCTAGGCTACTCCTCTCATTCTCGTACCCAGTCACGGTCATCATCACTCTCCAGCCAGAGCGAGACCCAGCTACCACTGTATCCGCTATGGGTCTCTTCCAGACGACTGGTGTTTCCTTGGGTTCACTGCCGGGAAAATGAACTTAAAGCTGGGCAGAATGAATGAGAAAACACTGCTGAAGCACCGAAATAAGTTCTTTTGCTCTCTGGCTTCTTCTTCAACTTCCACCTCCTCTTCGGACTTGGACTCGGGGTCAAAAATATATGGTTTAATACCTGCCATTTTTAGCCTTTAGCACACAATAGCAAAATGGATAAACCGAAATCAGAACCTCCACTGCTGAGCCAATCAAAGCACAGTAGGCTTGACAGCAGCACTCCAATCAGAGCAAAGCTCATTAACATAAATGTTGATGAGCCAAAGGCAGTTAGTTGTCCTGTAAGGTTTTTAGGCATGCTAAAATGGTTTGAAACAAACCATCAAATAACTTTTCAGCTAAAATTATGTTGCAAACATGATCAGAGGACATCAAGGATTTTGAAAAAAATGATTGAAATGGGTATTACATTTTGATGGCACGTCCTCTTTAAAAACCAAAACAACAACGGAAAACCTTCGGATTGTGCGTGTCTGAGCTTTTATTTTGTGAAACCACACAGGAAGTGTGATACCCTTCCCTTGACTTGACGTTGGCTGGGTGTCAGAGAGCGGAGGGGCACAAGTCAAGAGCCACATCAGGACGATATTCATTGAACATGGCACCGAAATTCAAAATATTTTAAAATGTCACGGAATGAGAAGGGATTTCTAACAACAGCTTGAAACGTATTCAAACTCTGTGTAAAACCTTAAGTAGGTTGATAAGTTAGTGGAGCATTAACGGTTTGTTTGTTGGTTCAGAAACTGGCGTTGGTCGGTATTGACCGTTGACCGTTATCCCTGCCGTTGATGATGACTGGACGTGTTTTCATGTGCTTTGTGACAGTTTACAGAGTTCTTCTGTCTGGTGAGTACTTTAAAATGACATGTTATTCAATTTTAAAAGCATTTTGAATAGCTTTCTCAAACAAAATCAATAAATCCTGTATAATAATCACACACTACCCTGTTAGTACTGTACTACAGTAAGCTATGAGATCCCCCAAATCCAACATGATCAAAGTCAATAGCCTAATCGTCAGAAATGTCTGAAAATATTAGCAGTATTTTGATCCATTAGATGTAGTAAATAGTTCTAATTAAGCTATGCCATTATTGGCAAACTAAGTCACCCATTGTGTATTTTTACGTGTAGTCAAAGTACATTGAAATGATTGAATTAACTACATGTAGTCGATACACAGTATAAGAATAACATCAGATTTAACCCAGCCTATACAAAGCTTAATCAATTTAATTTTAAAAGTTTCATAAGAAAACAGTTTAAGGAAAAAGAGACATTCATCTTTAAGGATCAATTATATAAAGCCTACCCATTAAAAATAATCTATAACAGTCACCAGTGAGCAGGGAATATTTTCAACTTTATTATATATATACATATATATATATATATATATATATATATATATATATATATATATATATATATATATTTATATAAAGAAAGTTTAAACTAGACATGATTCATCTGTTGTCTGTCTGGTAAGTGAGAAATCAAAATAAATGGATAATATAATGTTTTACTCATATCTCCAAGCACATAACACTTTACCCACCTCTGTGTTAAACTACTTAGAGATAGGTGATTCAAACTTGCATTCATTTGATCTTAACACTTAAGTAGAACTCACACTGTTGCTATATCTCTGCAGGGCAGGGAGTCATGCTCAGGTGGGTTTTGTTTAAATGTCCTCTGCTTTGGCTTTTTAACGCATTTTAAAATTCTTTATGCCATGTACATCATTGAAAACACATGAAAGCATCTTCATTTATGCATTATTTCTGGGGGGAATTCAAGCCCTTTGAGTACGTAAACCATGACACACTTTTGTTTTGACTGTATCCTCATATTAACGTCTGCTCTGAGACAATGGTGTGTGAAACACCATTGTTGGCTCGATTTGAGTGTATTTCTGGCTCAAGTGAATCACCAAAAAGCAGCTAAATGTCAGCATTTTTCTTCTCTAATTCTTATTAGAGGATGATCATTTTAGATGAAATTCAACATTTCCTTATAAATAAATAAATAAATCTTACTGTTTGTGGCTAATGACCATATCCAGAAGGATTAGGCTATCTCTGAACAAAAGTGTCAGCATACCACATGTGTCAGTTTTTTAAACATTACTTAATGTACGAGACAGTAAGCAAACCCTGTGAGGATTCAGGGACTTATTACATGTTTGTTGAACATATGAAGGTCATCACACATTTTTAATATGAAATTCCCTGTTTTTGTAATCCAGTGAAAAAGAACTGAATGTCTTTTGTTATCTTGCGGATGTACTGTTGAAGGCCAATGTTCCCAAGACCTTCAAGCTTCCTCTGCTGTCAGGAAGCTCGGTCCTCCAGTTTCCTTCAATGTGGTCATCCACCTCCACAGGAAGCTCAAACAATGGCATTCCTCTGCTGCTGGATGCAAACAGACATTGTTTGTTGGCCGCACCACTGTTTGCTGGGGGTGTTGTGTTTTTGTTTGAACAGAGTCAAAAGTGGGGAGGTGTATTGATAGGAGTTGCTGATTGGGTGCAGCTCCCCTGGTCTGGAGAAAAATAATTATAGACTCTTATTTACAGAAGAATTTGGCTGCTACTGCGTGGGTCCTGGAATGAAAATAAACTGGTTAGTGGTTCAATTATGCACCAGACAGTATTGAAGCCATATGACATTAGTGGTCGATTGATTACAGTTTTTCATCTTCTGATGTTGATACGAATAATAAGAGAGCAGGTCAGCCGATGGCTGCGGGATATTGCTGCAACCTGTCAACTTTGGACTCAATTATGTGACAACACTAATGTCAAATCAATACAAGACTTTTAATTTTGGTGTGTATGGGCCATTATGTTGTCCCACCTTGGATACAAAATGTCCTAAATAATAACCTGAAGTCATTCAAATGTTCTGGGGGATCGAGCTTTCAGTTATTACCCTCTACCTTAAAGAGTACACTCTAAAAACCCCTGGGTTAAAAACAACCCAAGTTTGGGTTTCAACACCAGGGTTGAAAAGGGACCGACTACTTATTGGGTTATTTTGACGCAGAATGTTGGGTTATTCAAATTAACCCAAATTTTGGGTTGACTCAATAACTCTTTTTAAGGGTCAAGTTAACCCAATCTTCGATTTAATTTGACTCATGATGGGTTAGATTATATACATACACTACAGGCCAAAAGTTTGGAAGCAAGATCAGAGTTGTACAAAAAAAGATCTTAGTTTCATATAATTTGCAACACAATAAACATGACTATTGTGTAAAGAGTAATTTATCAGAAGACATTTTGACTATAATTATTAGGTATTTGAGTTATTGTTGCTTAGACTTTGCTTTTTTAAAGTAACCTCCTCTGGCCTTAACAACAGCTTGGCATACCAGGCAGTTTGTCTGCGGACATAGGCTCTGCGTTTTGACCCAGGGGCGGCAGTAGCTCAGGAGGTAGAGCGGTCGTCCAATAACCGGAAGGTTGGCGGTTCGATTCCCCCCTAATCCAAGTCTGTCCGTTGTGTCCTTGGGCAAGACACTTAACCCACCTTGCTCCCAGTGTGTGTCCTCCACTGGTGTATGATTGCGAGTGTTGTGTGGTGGTGGTCGGAGAGGCCGTAGGCGCAGAATGGCAGCCACGTTTCCACCACCACCAAAGTGTGACTGTGTGAGCGAATGAATGATGTATCCAATGTAAAGCGCTTTGAGGGTCTCTGATGAAGCGCTATATGAAATCTAATGCATTATTATTATTATTAATTTATTTCTTTTTTATAAGGCTTATAGTTAGTACTGGTTCAGGCCAGCTCGAAGTGATACTTCCATAGGCTTAAATTCCTGCAGGTACTGGCACATTGAGCACCTTTCCCTTCTTTTCCATCCTCTTAATGCGTGTGATTAATTTTAATTTAGCTTGTCCAGTTAGAGTCACGAATACACAATATCCCTCTATCAGTCTCTGCTCTGTCTATCTCTCGTTTTTCATCTCACTCTCTCAGTCTCTCCTCTGTCCATCTCCCCCCCACGGACACAGCAGCGCCACTGCTGAAAAAAATTCTAGGGGAAACACTGACATTTGTTCAAATCTCTTATTGGAAGGAGTGAACAGTCAATCAATCAATCAATCAATCCAATTTTATTTATATAGCGCCAATTCACAACAGTCATCATCTCAAGACGCTTTTCAAGGAACAAGAGCAGGGGCCTCATGTATCAACGCTTGCGGCGCAAGAAAACCTTGCGTACGCCAAAATCGGCGCACACGTCCAGATTTATCATCGCGAAATGAGCGTCGGTTCCAGCGCTAATCAACGCAAAGTCAGGAGGTGGTGTAGAAACTGGCGTTGAGCCGATACTTGCGTTGACTGTGATTCGCACTTTTGCGACGCTGTGTGGCGGTGTTTGGTGACTCACTATGTGACAAGCGTGCACCACATCCCCGTGGCCGAGCAGCACGTCGCCCCACATGACGAACCAGCAGCAGACGGAGGGATGCGAGCTGATCCCTGCCGGGCCGCCGTCCTCGCGCGGGAGAATCTCATCGCCACAGTGTGAATGGGTAAGAAGTGAATACACAGTTCAATGAGCCAAATTAATTTATTTTCTCCACCAGACGCTCGAGGACATTTACGAGCCGGTCCAGCCGCTCGTTGATCCCCGCGATCCCCCTGATGATTTCTTCTTGCGATTGCAGGACCCCCTCCGCGAGGACCCTTCCACTGCGTCCGGGTGGTCCAGCGGAAGCGCCGCGGCTGGTGGACGCTCCACCGCTTGTCGGTGCGCTGGTGCTGATGCTGGTGCTGGTGCTGGGGCCGGGGGCCGGGGTGGCCCGAATGCCGCTGGTCCTGGCCAACGACTCCGAGCCGGCGGACGGGCTGCCGCGGGCCGGGGTTCCGCAAGCCGGCGACACGGCCGACACATTGATTTCTGTGACACAATAAAAATATTGGTTCATTTCAATTCCTGCTTCTGTGTATCTGTTGCGTTTACATCTCTCTCCACGGTATCATAGGTAATGTAATCCAGTATTTAGAGGTCAGTTATGCACATTACAGTTGTTTATTGCATAAAAAGTTATTGAAAAATGAAGTTAAGGGCGAAGTATAAATCACGTCTAAAAATAGACTGAATCCCGACGTTGAAATGAAGTATAAACTTAGACTAGACGTCTAATATACGTCTTTTGCTTAGTGGGATGACAAAGCATGTGGACATTTGTGTGACACGCCACTTACCCTATAATAATAATCGCCACCACCCGCTGCTCAAACGGTGTGAGGGTCTCCTCCCCCGGACCCCCACCTGTCTGGCCAGTACTCCTCCGGAGGGCAGCTGTACGCCGCTTGACCTCCACCTTGAGGTCCGACCACTTTTTTTAAATCTTCACGGGGGTGCATGTCTCGGAACCCACCGCATTCACCCTCTCGCAAACTTTCTCCCACTCCAAGCGTTTTTGTTTTGCACTGACGCCACTGGACAGGCTGCCAAACAAAACACACTGTCGCTCCTCCACCTCCGCCACCAGCACCTCCACCTCGCACGCCGTAAATGTAGTTTTTCTTGTCATTTTGTCTATGGCGAGGACAGGGAGACCCTATTTAAATAAATCTGCATATTTATAGAAGGGTGTAACGGGGACGGGCCCAGTCACTCCGACATCTGCGCTCAATTCCACGCTGATTGGGATTTATCAAGGAAACACACGTGGATTTCGGCGCCCGCACACATTGATACATACGGATTTTTTTCAGCGTGACGGACCTTGCGTGCGCTCGTTTCTGGTATGAGTTCCACGCAAGTGTTGATACATGAGGCCCCAGGTCTAGACCACGCTCATTTTTTGATGATCAAGAACCAACCTAAGATGGGTTTTGGCCCGTCTCAACTAACATGAGTAACAGTGGCAAGGAAAAACTTCCTTTTAACAGGCAGAAACCTTGGGCAGGACCACCCTCATGTTAGACAGCCACCATGCCGCTGCTGGGTTGGGGAGGAATGTAGAGTGAAGAGGGGAGAGGACAGGGAGAGAGAGAGAGAACAAGATAAGGGAAGGCGAGAGAGAATGAGTAAGGAGAGGGAGGGGGAGGGAGAGAGAGTAGAGAACGAGGGCGAGAGAGAGACAGGGGGCAGCAGAAACAACAGCAACAACAACAACAACAGCTCATGTAATGGTGAAGAAAAAAGAGTTCAGTTTACAGGGTTAGGATATGAGTGATTATGGATAGTGTTAAATTAATTGAGTGTGATTACAGTTAGCAGTTAGCAGGCCTAATCGTGGTCAGTTCTAGTTTATGTTATTAATGTCAGTAATGTCAGTGAGGCTGATGTTCATGTCTGCAGTAACAGTTCAGAGGACTCCAAGAGAAGAAGGAGCTCAGGGCCTGAGGTGGACAATCATAGATGATGCGGCTAACAGTCCAGAGGAATCCAAGAGAAGAAGGGGCTCAGGGCCTGAGGCGGACAATCGTAGACGATGAAGCTAGAGTCAGGCAGGTCTGCAGCAGCCATCAGTCCGGGGCAACCAAGGGGGGGGGGGGGGGCTTGTCTGCAGCAACGGTCCAGAGGAGCCAAAGAGATGGAGGAGCTCAGGGCCCAGGGTGGACAATCAGGGATAATGCAGCTGGGGTCAGGCAGTTCGGCAGCAGACCGTCTGCAGCATTAGTCCAGTGGCAGCTAAGAGACTCAGAGACACTCAGAGAGACAGAAAACTGGTTAGTGACTTATATGGGACATAAAGATCTAAAGAAGAGATAGAAACAGACTCTAGCTCAGTGTGCCAGATAGCCCCGGCAGTCTAGACCTATAGCAGCATAACTAAGAGCTAATAACTAAGAACAGCAGCAGCAGATCCACTTTCCAATATCAGGCATACCTGATTGCACTCATCTAAACCCCAATCTTGTAGGAAATCCCTCATGTGGGGCCTCATCCAGTAACGAGCTGCTCAGAAACGTCTTCTTCATTACCTTCGGCCATGTTTGTTTGTCATTCTGCTCTGTGTGGGCTATGGCTGTGAGTCCATCGCTCACGCTTTTGTCATCAACTTGCATTTATCGTATTTATCATGAGATAGCAAATATTTATCATTGAGGATTTTTCTGATGATTTATCTTGAACGATAATTTATCACCCATTCTGAACACTGGGTCTTTGTAAATAGAGTCTGGTCTAGACTAGCTTGTTTTGGTTGAGGGTCTTGGGATAACACCTGTTGGATATTGGTGCTTTATTAAAGATTGATAGATTGTTTGATTGACTGACTTTGTTGTGTAGATGAGTCAGAGTCTGAAAATTGTGCACAGTACCCCCCTCCCCCTTTAACACTAGAAGGACCAGCTTTTGCTGTTCCTACCTATAAAGACCAAAGGGCAGCCGAATGGCTTGGAGGGCTTTTAGCCAGTACTAAATCACCTGTGAACACTCAGTTTGTTATGCAAACGAGGCGATCGCTGGCGCACCACAGGAGGGGATATGCTGAGTTACTCCAAGAAAACTTGTGTTGTTGGGAGAGGGAGTGGGGAGGGGGAGGGGGAGGGGAATTTCTAACCTGAGAACAACTGTAGACAGAAACTGCTTCAGCCATAGCCACTGCACAGACAGTTTGGGCCTCTGTTTGTTTTGTTTGGTTCTACTTCTCCTGATGTCCCTGCACCTCGGCAGATGGAGAACCAACAGCTAAGGCCAGGAGGTCCATCTTGACTGGTCTTCAGAGCTTCCTGTGTTTCATCACACTGGACATGCTTGGTTCTATTCGAGACTGTACTGTTCAACATACGAAGCAAAAAGAGTATGTTGATTGGTTCATGGCCCTCCCTGAACTAATGGCATTTATTGCTATTATTATCTTGCGGGGGCTGACCAAGGTTACATCAATGAGTGACTGCTGGTCAGCAAACCTGGGAAACCCCCAGATCATTGCAACTATGTCCCGAAATTGCTTCAAAGACATTATGCGACACCTACGCTTTGATGATAGGGACACCCGCAGTGAGCGCACAAAGACTGACAAGTTTGCTGCAATTTCTGCCGTGTGGTCGTCATTTGTCACCAACTGCATCACATCCTACAACTGACGAACAGCTTTTACTGTCAAAGACTCGCTGCTGTTTCCTGCAGTACGTTGCAACGAAACCTGACAAGTTTGGGATCAAGTTTTGGGTGGCTTGTGACTTGAAATCCAAGTACATCTGCAATGTCCTCCCATATCTTTGCAAGGACCCCAGTCGTCCCAGTGGGGAGAGACTGTCCGAGAACGTAGTTTTGAGGCTGATGGAACCATTCCTGGACAAGCGCAAGAATGGAACCACAGACAATTTCTTCACATTGATGTCACTTGCGCAACCACTGCTTAGGTGGAAAACCACCATCCCAGGCACAGTCAACAAGATTCGCTGGGAAATTCCACAATCATCTAGACAGAGGGACTGCAATGAATTCACAACTCAAGTGTTTTCAACCACTGGAGCCATACTTACGGTGTATGCGCCCAAACGGAAGAAGGTCTACGTTCTCAGCAGCATGCACAGCGTGGTTCAGACTGAGAATACTACTAAAATGAAGCCAAACACCAAATCACCCTTTACAATACTACAAAGTGCAGCGTGGATGTGATGGACCTGATGGTGCAGGAGTACACTGTCCGCACCGGAACACGGCGCTGGCCAGTCGCTGTGTTCTATAACATGAATGATATGGCAGCATTGAATGCACATGTGCTGTATCAAGCATGCAATGGGAGGCAGGATAGACGGGTGGACTTCCTGGTGGAGCTTGCAAGAAAGCTGGCTAACTCTCATGTGACTGCGAAGAAGGCACAAAAGGAAGAATTGCTTCGGCAACAAACTTCCACACCTAGCCCTGGAAAAAGAGCCATGTGCCAGGTTAAAAATCAGTGTAAGAACAATCATGCCACTGTGCGATGTGTTGACTGCTACAGATACACATGTGGGAAATGCAGAGGGGAGATACCATGGCAGTGCCAGGATTGTGAGTGAGAATCTAACACTGTATCCTGATGATGCATATTCACCTGAAGTCCATCACCAACCTTTTTATACTTTATATATGTCCTGCATGCTCTTGTTATTTTCTATTCTTGTATTTTACATATTATTCTCTGTTTAATAATGCACCATCACGCCGTAAAAAATCCTAGCATTGTACATAGCCTTTCATACTTTTATACTTTATATATGTCCTGCATGCTCTTATTTTCTATTCTTGTATTTTACATATTATTCTCCGTTTAATAATGCACCATCATGCCGTAAAAAATTCCTAGTCTGTGAAACATGTTCATTGACAATAGCAATAAAACCCCTTGTGATTCTGATTCTTGTTCTTATTCTATACAGTTTTTTAAATTTTGTTTATTTTTAATCAATAAATTTCAGCAACAAAGTAAACAACCCATGTGTGTTGATCCCTTCCTTTCTGTTGTCCCTTCCCACTGCATACACCACTTAGTCCAGTCCCCTCCTGTGGTGCGCCAACGATCACCTTGTTTGCATAACAAAATGAGTGCTCACAGGTGATTTAAGATATTAGCTAAAATCCTTCCAGCCGATCGGCTGCCCCGTGGACCTTGAGGGGGGTAAAGCCAAATGGCTGCTCTGTGGTCCATCTGGTGTTAAATGATAAACAAACCATTTAAATCTTTTTTTGTTAACATATACAGCCTTTTGTGGTCACACTTCTATCTGCAGGTCCTGCAGCAATCCCCAACATTACAATGTTAAAAATGACTACAGTGAGCTAGACACAGCTGATTTTATATTTAGAAGTAAAAGAGTACTACAATAAAAAAGAAAAAAAAAACAATTTGCCTCCAACAAAACAGTTACCAATCTCCTGGCTGTACATATAGATGACTCTCATTAGGAACCAGCATGTGTTGTTACATGAATCCCTGAGATAGTCTTTTGTGTCGGACACATTTGACTTTTTTAGACATCCTCAGGCACACCATTCCCTCAAGGGGCTTCTTGAAGTGTTGTGAGCATTATTTGTTGGCTGGTTTAAACAGTCTGTCCTATCATATATTTTGTTTGCTTTTATGCTTTTTAAGAAAGAAAGTTTTTTTAAGGAATAGAGGTGGATGTTTAATTCATTCAGCATTTGGTAATTACCTGCAGTTTAAATGAGTGGCGTTATATTCAGCCCAGTTCAGGAACTTTTTCTCTAACAAGAGCTCTGTCCCCATAAGATCATCAGTTCTCTTTTTGTTCATGTCAGCTGTTGGTGGATGACACAATTTTCATCTGTTTGTCTCTCCTTCAGGCTCCAGAGTTTGTGCAGAGGAGATACCTCCCCGTATCATCCATCACCCAGCTGATGTAGTCGTGAGGGTGGGGAGTCCTGCGAAGCTCTCCTGCCGAGCTGAGGGCAGCCAACCGCTGACCATTGAGTGGCTGCGAAATGGACAGCCTTTGGATCTGTCAGATGTAAGGCTGCAGCCCATGGCCCTGCCTGAGGGGAGCCTTTTCTTTTTAAGTGTGGGCAGAGGAAAGAGGGGTCAGTCACAAGAGGGCATCTACACCTGTGTGGCCAGGAACAGTGCAGGCACGGCCACCAGTCATAATGCAACTCTGTATGCTGCAGGTAAGTCTGAGGGATACCACTGAAAACCAATAATCAGTCAGAAAAGTTATCACTGGTCAAATTCATTTTATAATTGTTTCAGTCAATTTTTGTTATGATATAGACATAAACCTCAGGAAAAGAAGCACTGGAGGGCAAGTAATGTTACAATGGAAATCCAGGAAAGTCTGGAGACAGTTAGATGTTAATAATAACAGACTGTCAAAGTTGCTAATCATTTAAACTACTTCTAACTGAAAGTAGTGCAAAGATAACATTACAAGAGTAGAAACTGTAACATGTTTTTATATTGTGCAAATTTTAAAAGTTAGGACGGGAACAACAAAATGCTCAGAAAGTTGTGTTATGCTCCAAAAACACATGACTAAACATCTCCCAGTTAACGAGGTTAATCTTTAAGAGGTTAGTAACATGATTGTGTATAAAAGAGTATTAAGACAGGCTGAGTGTTGGTGAGGGGAAGATGGAAGGAGATTCATCACCCTGTGAGATACTGTAAAAGCTTTCAAGCTAATGTTGCCCAACATAAATGAGCAAAGAATGAGTGGATTTCATCACCTGCAGTGTATAATATCATTAGCAGACTCAGGAAATCTGGAGAAATCTCTCACTCTCACCTCTAAAAAACATAGATAGTCAGAACCCATGGGGCACTGCATCCACAAATGCAGGTTAAAACTGTGAGCCATCCATGACCCAGAAACACTGGCGACTTCTCTGAGCTAGAGCTCAACTTGGATGGGAAGAGCTAATTGTTGTCTTGTCATAAACAAACTCCTCGAGTAGATCCCCTTTACTCAATAAGTGTTTATTTTCCTGAAATCCAGCTCTCATACCTAAATTATCTCTGCCAGGCCCACACATAAAGATTTTTTGAGGAGGGGGATTTGGAGATGAAAGCATGGCCCCCACACATGCAGAGCACTGATAAAGATGTTAGGAGTAACAGACAGAGAAGGGCACTGAGGTCCATTGTCGATGTTTGCTGGAGATGTGGTGCTAATTGACCTCAGACCTGCACTGTTGACTTTACTGGGTCTCAGTGAGGCAGGCGAGAGGAAGCAGCAGCTGCTCTTTCAGATGAAGCTGAAGCAGTAATGCTGCTCAAATCCTGTTCAACCACAGCTAATAAACACTAAAAAACCTTGGTGGTGCAAATGACGTTTCATGATGTCATATAGTACATGCCAAAAAACTTTTCCCTTGTTAAATTAATTTCATAACCTCTAAGGTGCAAGATAAACTATGTATTCATTACTTCTGCTGGATATTTCTGATCTTTTAAGAAACCCCACACATCTGTTTCCTTTCTGACTCAGATTAAAATCATCGGTTTTCGTGAATTAAAAGGATTTAGACTTTTTGATTTTTTGAAAAAAGTTTTTTTTTTACATGTGAAATGTTTGCAGAGTCTTACTCAGACTACTGTTGTAGTATTGCAGGAGGAGTTCACAGTGCAGCCCAGTGATGCAGAGGTGGCAGAGGGAGACGTGGCTGTCTTAAACTGCGGCCCTCCAATGGGACGCCCTGAGCCAAACATTGTGTGGATGAAGGATGGTCAGCCCATAGACAGCATGGATCAACACTACACTGTAAGCATCTCTTCCTTTACAGATGTGATGGCACTTTTTTAAACAGATCTTCATCCAACCTTTCTTGTATTTTGACCCCACTACTTTTCCTTGTAAGTGTTTTGATTGCTCTCTTCTTAAATTCTGAAGTCAGCTAAAGAATTTTCTGGTCTACTTCTACATCTGATCCTGTGTCTAGTTTTGCATTTGGATTGTCAAAGTGGTGTTTCTGTACCCGTATGTGATGCACCCCCATGGTTGAAAATAGAGACAACTTCACTCAGCTCAAGCAGATTATTTAATGATGGGGATGGTGAATTTTCATTTTTACTGATACCATTATTGAGACTCATAACTACTGATTTAAGGCCTTATTGGAAATGCTATTGGGTCTTTTCTATATTGTTTTACTTTGTACAATTGTATATATGTATATACATATTTCACAAAGAAAAAAAATTCTCTTCTTTTGGACATAACACTTAAACACTTCATGATAAGGTGTTATCTACTTTTGCCTAATTTTAATTTTAACAACTCGATCTTGAATTCCTCACAATGTAATCCTTTGTCACCTGGATTAGTTTGCTAACTCACTTTCATCCTGCTGATTTTAACATGAATTTCAATACTGAATCATGATGTGTAACAAATGGGACCTCATCTAAAGTCTGGCTGTAATGAACCTGGCTGCTTTGGGTGAAGAAGAGGATGGCAGCCCCACAGCAGCGTCATCAGCAGCAGAAGGGTTAACATAGTTGTTTGAAGCTACAGACAGTCAAAGGTGCTGCAGGTACTTTGGCTTGATTTGATGCACATTGCTGATGTGCTCAGCGATGGAGGTTGTGTTCTCCCTTGCAATAAATTATTTTGCAGCATAATCTGTATTTCACTTCATCCTTATCTTCAGCTTTGGTAAAATGGAGCCACAATTTGGACCTCCTCATATGTTCAGATATTGTTGCAAACAACTGACCATTGAATTTTTTCTTTGTGTACTTTTACACCTGTACCCTGTTCCAACACTATAGCAGACAATCTGCTAATGTGTGTGCACCACTGATTTAATTAACATGACATTACCTTATGGAACCCTTGAGACCCGACATCAGAGGCGAGACACTGAAACTGAATTGAATTTTGGGTTTTGACAAATGGTTTATTAGGTATTCAATGGACCTGGGTGTCGATCTCCATCCTGATTTGGTGATGGTAATAATGGCTTTGATAGAGAAGGATGATGACCCTTCCATTCATTGCATATTTGGAAGATGTAATTCTCTGTGTGCTCCCTTGGTAGATCAGCTTGTGTGTGGGTATTATGAGATTATACGCATTTTAAAACATACCTTCAGTAAACCAGGTTCTTATGTGCTCTTTTCTTTTCTTCTGGTTGTTCTTATCATCTTGGACCTGCAAACCTGGAAATCTTGTGATTTGCAAGTTGCACTGTAGCAGAAAGTACACTCAAGTTTTCATCATGAAAACAACAGACTTAAATTGGAAATACTTTTTCAGAGCGAGTTCTCCAACACTTTATACAGTAATTTGGCTTTCATTAGTATTGGAGTAATAATGACCGAAGGATTTAAACTCGGACTCCAGTTATGAAGTTCTGTAATTTGTCCACCACTTATAACAAACCAGAAAACACTCTGAGTGAACCTGTACAAGTCACTTACGATATTGTTTTTAAAAGAGGTTTTGTTTGACTGTCAGTAGATAATAGGCGACATAGCATCGAAACATCACCAGGGTAACTTCACTTTCTCTATTGATACATTACATGAGCAGGTAACCATCCCCTGCTTGTCAAAGCTGCACTGCTTATCTATAAAGCAGCTGTGCTGGCTTGCAATGATTGATTGTTCAATGTTCACCAGGGTCAGGAAGCTGTGTGTGAACAGTCCAAATTGAGAATTTGTACAAAAATGTGTGTAAGAGGTGTGGAATTTAGCATTGTGTCAACCTACCTGTAGTGTAAGATTTGGACGTGTGTCCATGGGCTGCCTCCACGGATTCCTGTTTTTCCGTTATTCTATTTCCCTGTGCATCATTTTTTCTACAGACATTGATCCAGCTAAACCAACCCTGGTGTTTCACAGAGTAGAAAAAAAAGAGAAAAGAGGCTGACAGTGCTTCCTCAACGGTGTAGGTTGTTGGAAGGTTTGAGTTGCACAGACTCTGTTGGCTCGAGTGAGATTGAAACACAGTTCCAGTCCTGCTGGTTTATTTCTCCCAGGTCATGAGCTAATGCACTTGGGAGGACAATATAGTGGTTTAACACTGTCTTCCAATCACTGTCCCCAGTCTGTGTATGACATAGGCTTGGTGGGCTACAGCTGAGGTCCCTCTCTCCCACATGAATCACCTGATCTTGAAAAATTAATAAATAGAGCTTGTGGTAGCTTTTAACAGGGTGTAAACATTTCATTAGATCAGGGAGCTGGTCCCTGGCTAGATACAGTTGGACACAATTATGGAAGGCCAACAGGGACATTCTTGTGTGGGCTGTGTGGTTCTAATGCTCCCAGAGGATGGGCATCATAGATGCATTTTGTGTCTGGGGCATTAGCAGGCAATATCATCCTCGGAGAACCCCCATATGCATAAATTGTTTAATATTAACTATCAGAGAAGCCTGCTGTCACTTTTTGCTGCAAAGCGAGTGAGTTCTCCCCTTCTATACCATCTAGAGGACAGAGGAGTTTGGCTTGTACCACATGAGGACTGGGGGGTGTTAAGTGACCTGGCAGACTTCCTTGACCTCTCTTTTTGCTGGTCCCTTAGAGCTTTTGCGTGATTTGGCCCCATCTCCCATATGGTTTGAGAACAGAGGAGCAGGAGACAATCTATTTCTCTGGTGAAGATGAACTATTAAGTGGGCTGCACAGCTGAAAAAAATTCTAGGCTGGCTCTGAATGCTGCCCTCCCCCAGGACCCTGGAGCCACCACATCCGGGTTCAAGGTTGGTGCACCTGCACGCCCAGCGTTGCTGCTCCTTCTCCTGCCTGATTTAAAGGATATTGTGAGCAGGCAATTTCACTTACCAGCAGAAGCACAAAAGTGGTCTGCATCATGTGGACAACTGTCTAAAATACATGGCAGACAGTTGATCAGGCCTTCTCTCTGCTGGTTTCCCTCTCCAGCTTCATTTTTGGCAAAGCCACCCTCCTTTGCAGAAATTGCAGGTTTCTCATGACCAGGACTATGCAGATCCATCTGGCTACCACTGCTGCTGTCGTGCTCCTCTACCTCTGCCAGTTGACATGTTAGATGCAGGAGGGTTCTGGGGATGTAAAGAACCTAGTTAAGCCATTTGGGACCTCTTGGGCAGGGCAGAGGTCAACCTGTTCCCTTCCAGAGAGTCAACCCATTGTCAAATCTTATTTCCCCTCAAGAACAACCACTCTCCTCTGGGTTAGGCTGCCTTGGTGCATGCATGCCCTGGACTTCTGCCTTCCCTGGACTTCTGCCTTCCCTCAGGTTGACGTCTGAGGGATCCTGACCCCTGATGGACAGGTTGCCTTGGGAGTTCTGACTTTAGTCAAGGTGAACGAGAAGTTCTTCTATCCTTCCAAGCAGAGCTACGGTAAGGGGTTTGCCCCTGAAATGGACAGGCTTCTGTCATTGGGACTACCGGAGCCTGCAGTGAGAATTATGTAGGAAGCCCGGGCACCATCTACCAGGGCTACTCACCTCTACCATTGGAGGGTGTTCACTGTCTGGTGTGAGTCCTATTAGTTATGCTGCGTTCCAGTAAGTGTTGGGAGGTATGACAGTATGATGGTATACCGTGTGATGGTATAAAAGAAGAAGAAGAAGAAAAACTTTATTGATCCCCGAAAGGAAATTCAATTGTGTGTTGTCTCACATAATATGTCTATAAAAGTTATCTATTATTTACATAAAAGTTATAAAGCCTGATGGCTGTTGGTACAAAAGATCTTCTGAATCTTTCTGTCCTGCAGTGAAGAGAGAGGAGCCGAAATGGGTGATCCATGTTAGACTTCACCTTCCTCAGTGTAGATCTCTCCACCACATCCTCCACTGAGTCCAGCTGGAGTCCAACCACAGAGCCAGACTTTTTCACCAGTTTGTTCAGACGTCTTGCATCTTTGTGTTTGATGCTTCCTCCCCAGCAGACTGCAGCATAGAACAGAACACTTGCCACCACAGACTGATAAAACATCTGCAGCATCTTACAACAGATGTTTATTGATCGGAGTCTTCTCAGGCAAAAGAGGTGGCTCTGCCCCTTTCTGTAGATGTAGTCTATATTCTTAGACCAATCCAACTTATTATCCAGATATACACCAAGGTATTTATATGATGCCACCACTTCAATGTCCACTCCACAGGTGTTCACTGGCTGAAGAGGGGGTTTGGATCTACGGAAGTCTATGACCATCTCCCTTGTCTTTGAGGTGTTGAGGAGGAGGCAGTTTTTGTGACTCCAGTCACTGAAGGCTCTTATTAGATCTCTGTATTCAGCTTCTTGTCCATTTCTGATACATGCCACAATAGCGGTGTCATCTGAGTATTTCTGGATGTGGCAGGGCTCAGTACTGTATTTGAAGTCTGACGTATACAGTGTGAACAGGAATGGCGCCAGCACTGTCCTTTGTGGAGCCCCTGTACTGCTCATTGATGTCCCAGAAACACAGTTCCCCAGCCTGACAAACTGTGGCCTTCCTGTCAAGTAATCTGCCATCCAGGAAACACAGGAAGGATCCACTCCCATCTCTGTGAGCTTGTCTTTGTGTATGGTGGGTTGGATGGTGTTGAATTTACTTGAAAAGTCGAAGAACATGATCCTCACATAAACCCCAGGTTCCTCCAGATGAGACAGGGCACGGTGAAGCATGTAGAGGACAGCATCATCCACTCCAATGTGTTCTTTGTTGCAAACTGCAGGGATCAAGTTTGTCTTTGACCTTAGACCTCAGAAGGAGTAGAATCAGCCGCTCCAGGGTTTTCATGATGTTTTAAGTGAGGGCCACTGGTCTGTAGTCATTGAGTTCAGCAGGACAGTTTGTTTTTGGTACTGGCTCAATGCAGGATGTTTTCCACAGAGCAGGTACCCGCCCCAGCTTTAGACTCAGGTTAAAGATCTTGTGGAGAGGTTGACACAGTTCTGCAGCACAGTCTCTAAGCAGCCTTGGACACACACCATCTGGACCAGCTGCCTTCCCAGGACAAAGTCTTCTAAGCTCCATCCTCACCATTGTTTCCGTGACAGACAAGGACTGGTGTTCTAGAAAGGAAGCAGTTGAAATGGTTGAGACATTTGAACGAGATGGAGGAGGAAGGGGAGAAGTTTTAGTGGAGATTTGTTGCAGAGAGGAAGGTGGAGTAGCAGTGGAAGTGGGTGTGACAGCAGTGTCAAATCTGTTGAAGAAGAGGTTGACTTCATCGGCTCTTTCCACATCACCCACACCACTGGCTGTCCTTTCTTTTTACTTCTGTGTCCAGAGATGGTACTGATTCCTCTCCACACTTCACGGATGTTGCTGTGTTGTAGATTTCTCTCTACCTTGTTTTTGTACTCCAGCTTTGCCATCTTCAGTCTCCTCTTCAACTCTTGTTGCACTTGTTTGAGTTGTTCTTTGTCACCATCTTTAAAAGATTTCTTTTTCTGGTTAAGGATTGCTTTTATGTCTCTTGTGATCCAGGGTTTGTTGTTGGAGAAATAGCGAACAGTCTTTGTGGGTATAACTGTGTCTCTACAGAGGTTGACATATTCAGTAAAGCAGTCAACCTGTCTGTCAATGTTCATTCTATCCACATCTGTTTCCAGCAGCACATTCCAGTGTGTTGATATAAAACAGTCCCTTAGAAGATGGACTCCTCAAGCCAGTGAAGCTCTGATTTTGACTTTTGTCACAGGCTGCCTTAGTACACAACGTCTGTAACAGGTTTGGAGATAGACCAAGTTATGATCTGACTTGCTCAGTGGTGGTAAGGCAGTGGCTCTGTAGGCTTCTTTGGCATTGGCATACATCAGATCCAGGGTTTTGTTTTCTTTGGTAGGACAGTTCACAGACTGTGAATCCAGTCAGGTGAGAGGAGAGGGTGACATGGTTGAAGTCTCCCGATATTATTATTAGTGCCTCCAGGTGTTGAGTCTGTAGCACTATTTGCAACACTATTTTTCAAAACATTGCACCATTCTTCAGTTGATTTGAGTGGAATGTAAACAACTACTGTTCTGATATGACTGAATTCTCTGGGAACATAATATGGCCAAAGAGCAACTGCCAACAGTTCAATATCTGGACAACACAACTTCTCCTTGACAGTTATACGTGAAGGGTTACACCATCTCTGGTTGACAAGTAAAGCCAGACCTCCTCCTTTCTTCTTGCCACTAGCTTGAGCATCTCTGTCTGACCTTATGAGAGTGAAGCCAGGTAGATCCACACTGGAGTCTGAGTTGTTTTGATTCAACACACATAAAACACAGGAAACTGCACTCACGGTATGCTTTCTCAGTCTTCACCAATATCTCCAGCTCATCGCTTTTGTTGGGCAGAGAGTTGACGTTTCCCATGATGATTGATGGAAGAAAGGGTTTATATTGCCACCTCCCAGCATTCAGCTTTGCCTTCACCTTTGCACCAGCACTGCAACCACGATAACACCTCCTGATGTTCTCTTGAATTGTATGTTGTTGTCCAGATTTGCTTTTCCTCAATGAAAGGAGCTCTTCTCTTGAATGAACTCTTCGCCCAGCAGAAGTATCCACCAGCAGCCAACAAAATTACAACAAAAATATGAAAAAAATCTAGCATAAATTAAAAAAATTACAGACAATACAGAGAGACCAGACTTGCAGCAACCTCTCAGTTCAAGCGCATCATTTGAATGTGTGTGTTAAAATGTGTGTGTTAAAAGTGTGTATGGTTGGAAATTTTGCTAAACTGTTTATACCAGAGAGACAGAGCAGATGTCTGCTGCATCTCTCCGAGTCACTGTGTTGTCGTCTTTGCTCACGAACAGGAAAGCCGGAGTGCATTCGTTTGGGTGCATTTCACCAGTGTGTTGTGCGGAGTTTGTTTGCACCATTTGATTGGTCAGGTTTGGGTGCGCTCCCTATAATCACCAGCATGTCCAGCAGAGTGCTTCACTGGTGGTGTTGTCATGGCAGATGTTGAGGCGGTACTTAGTGGCAGTACCAAGCAAACAGAGGCAGCCCAACCCACCCAACATGAGGAATTCCTTTCGAAAAAGGGCGCGAGTCACGACATCGGTTGTCTGGAGATTCTTCGACTTGAGAAAATTCGACAATAATCAAAAAACAATACGATGCCAAGAGTGTTGCGTGGCCATCATTGCTGGAGGTGGAAACACCAGCAACCTCTTCTGCCACCGAAAGATGAAACACGCCAAGCTCTATCATAAGAGCCAAAAGATGCGTGGCACACCCGCTGCACCAAAAACTAAAGTTGCAACAGCTCCTCTCATACAAAAGAGCTTGGCAGAGTCTTTCGCCAGAGGTACACTATATGATAAAAAAAAATCACCGGACTGGTCTGGCATTTCTTTTGCATCTGTATACAAATTTGAGTTTAAAGATAAAATGAAAATTAACAAATGCAACAGCATGGATATTTTTAAGCCAATAATTGAATTTACAGGGGGGGAAAACGTATAGTGTATACCGTTACCGTGATATGAAATTACTCATACCGTGATATAAGATTTTGTTCATACCACCCAACACTAGTTCCAGTTACCTCAGAAGTTGGATGTTGGAGCTGGGAATGACGTTACACCTGAGTTGACGGCGTTCCAGTAAACAAGTCGGAAAGCCAAGATGGACGCCGACTGTTAGCCATTGTTAGTTGTTGTTTACAATTGTCGGCTGTCGTCAGCCATTGTCAGTTGTTGTTAGCAGTTGTCAGCTGTTGTTAGCCGTTGTCAGCTGTTGTTAGCTATACTAGTTGTGAACAACGCGTAACACAGTATTTAACTTGTACAAACACCATAGCACCGTGTTCACAGTTAGACGTTTGGCAGTACAACATATACCACTTATTTAATTTCACAAAACAAAACAGAAGTGCTAATAAATAATACATTACGAGAGCTTTCACTGTTACTCTTTACTGTTGATGCACTGCGCTGCCATCATGGATTATAATGTTGACGTCAAGTCAGGGTTGGTGAGGACCGTCTGAGGCTCTCCTCACATGAGGACGGCTCCCTATTGTCTTGGCGTCGGCACCAAAACATGTATCGCTGTTTACACATCATGTTGTACATAGGCTTAGTGCATTTACATGACAATGCAAAATCCACGCAAAATCCTGTAGTACATACGCCCGGCCTAAAGGTGGCACTGTGAAATTGCCACAAAGCAGCAAAAACAGAGAATGCGCATACATACATGCTGTGTGTGTGTGACAACGTGGGTTAGAGGGCGGGGAGGAGGAGGGGTGCTATGATGTTACCATCTTTTCCGGATTTATCTATTTATACCAACTACGGCATGAAGACAAATACCCAGATATCCAGCTGCAGACCCGTTTTCAAAAAAAATGTGGTGTCATGGACAAATACGCGTGTACGGTTGGTGTGTCAATATCACCAGATCGATAGTTTATTTAACCGGTGTCTTAAAAATTCATACTTGTGTAAAGACCACCTGAGTTTTCAAGTCGGAAATCCGACTTCAGGGAGTGTTCCAGATGAATTTCGGACTCTGATCCTGGAAATTCCAACTTCCGAGTACAACTGGAATGCAGCATAACACCCCTACCAGGCCACAGCCTAGAATGTCCTGCAGATTTTGCAGTCCCTGCTAGAAGCTTGGAAGTCTGCCATTACATTGTGGGGCATGTTGGCAGCAACAAGGTGTTTCATATTGGTGAATATGCACTGTCTGAAGAAGGTTGTTGATTTCACCTTGATTTTGAGGTTCCTCAGAGGTGCCCAGACACTTATAATACATGGAATTGGACCCTCTGTCCCTCCTTTGGACCTGGGGTTGCTCCTTTGAAGCTGGTAGTAGCATCGACCAGGAAGATAAATGAGCCCCATGCACTTTCAGTTCATGGTGATTTCTGCAGGTTTTCACAGGATGGGTTGAGTGTGGTCCAGTCTTGTGTTCCACCTGTCCCAGTATGTTGAATTGCGGTCACTCTCCAGTCGTGAGGAACATTTGAAAGATGAAGGGCGCCCGTCTGTTTTGTTCCCAGTCAGGACCTTGCAAGATCGCACATAGGCTGTCATGGAGTTTGATCATTTGTTTTGACCATGGGCATATGGGCAGACCCTTGTCCAAGTTGTACCCAGGGCTGCCAGTGTGTCTTGAAGTTATACCCTCACAGCACCAAGGTTATAATGTAACCCTTCAGTTTGAAAGTGTGCCATGGTACTAACACAAGATTGAATTAACTTTTGAGCTGTATACACACATCTTGGGCACATCATTTAAATTCAGATACAAAGAAGGCCTTTGTAGCTACATTGCCAGACACAAGTGGCCTCTGTTTTATACTGATTAAGATGTTTAAGAAATAGCAGCAGTACATAGACATACACCGGCCAATTAACTCTGTTTCATGTGTTTTTCTTCTTTCTGTCTATGCTGCTGCTGCTGCTGCTACAGGAGCTGAGTGGGAAGCTTATCATTGCTCCTGCTCAGAAGTATCACTCTGGTTCATACTTGTGTGAGGTCAGCAACATTGCAGGACTAAGGAAGAGCAGGGCAGCTCGGCTGTCTGTGCTAGGTGAGAACACACACCTAACACTACAGTAGCCCACAAATATTAGCTCCATGTTATGAATTCAATGTCTTCTTTGGTTTCTATGCAGTCAGGCAAGTATTATGTGATTTGAACAAAGCTCCATCCAGGTTCTCCACACAGAGTATTTACTTTTCTTCTCCCCTGCTACAGCCAAACCTGTGCTGGTGCTGAAGCCAGAGAACGTATCTGTGAGGGAAGGAGAGTCTGCGCAGTTCTACTGCCAAGTGACAGGTGACCCTCCGCCTGCTGTGGTCTGGACACGAGAGCAGGGGTCTTTACCTAACGGCAGGTACAAAATCAACCCAGATACTGAAGTAGACTCCTTACATAATGTGAACTCAACAGTGGATTGCACTGTATGTTTTCTGTTAGTTAATCTATGGATTAAAAACAAAATGCATTTCATCTCTGTATTGTAACTTGATCTTATCTTTCTATTCAAGAAATCGGAATGAAAAATAAATTGACTCGACTTTAGAGTTATTTGGTTTGACAGTCATGCTCACAGTAGTGGTGGGTGATATAGCTTCAACATGATATCACGATATTTCGCCATTCGTGATATCAATATTTATGAGGATATGGAAAAAAATACAGAACAACTTATTATTAGTGATTGCTGCTTCTAAACAACAGCAATTTATTATTGGTGTTAAAAGGGGTTAATTTAAGGTGACCAGGCTTCTGTAATGAAATCCGGGGACATTCGGTGTGGGGGGGGACAACATCTCGGTATTATTTAGTAGCAGCGCACGCCCCTTGTAATAACCTCCGTAAAAACTGTAGTTCAGGACTGCTTTCTTGTGCTTCCTACCCATTCGGCTACTGTAATATGATTCCAGAAACACAAGATGAGATGTTGATTTCCTGTGCGAGCACATGCAAATAACTGGTGGACTTGTCGGTGAATGGTGGATGTAGTCTAGAAGGAGATTATCAGGAAGAATTGAAATTGTGGGACGCATCATCAGTAGTGTTCCTCTGGTTCATGGGGTGTTTCGGCCCTTTACACTATACACCCTCCCCAGAGGCGGCCAGCTGTAGGGAGATCAGACCTCAGCTTGCGTCCCAAGCCCAATTAGTCATGAGAGTCACCTGTTGTCTAGCGGCGTACATCTCAGGGGACTATGCATGGCAGGGGCGTCCTGTTCCCTGAGTCAAGCCTAAGCCAACCGCATACCTCCTAGCACACTACTTGGGGGCCCAACTGGGGTCCTTTCTCTTCAGCCAGAGCCACTGGCTGCTTCTTTCTGCCGCCTCTGATGCAGCTTTGACGGCTCTGCGCTGGTTCTGGCCCTTAATTCCAAAGTCCCTCAGTAGTTTTGTGGTGGATGTTCCCACAAACCCTCTGCACCCAACCTCCACTGGGCGGACTTCCGCGTTCCAGCCACGGTGTTTTGCCTCTGCAGCTAAGTCTGCATACCGCAGATGCTTCCGCTCATATGCCTCCTCCATTGAATCCTCCCAGGGTACGGTGAGTTCAATTATGTAAACCTTCTTTACGGAGGGGGACCAGAGCACTAAGTCAGGCCTCAAGGTTGTGGTGGCAATCTCTGAGGAGAACACCAGCTGTTTGCCGATATCTGCCAGCATCTTCCAGTCCCGTGCAAGGCACAGCTGGCTTCTCTCTGATGGTATGGAGTTGCTCCTGGTAGCTGTAGCCCCTTCTCGGACAAAGGCCGTTGCCCATGGTGTTGTTGAGGACTTAGGTGTTGGCAGAGATAGGGCGTTGATGCTGGATCGTTTTTCCTCCAGCGTGGCAGCAAGGCTCTTCAGGACTTGGTTGTGGCGCCAAGTATATCGTCCTTGGGTGAGGCTGGTTTTACACCCGGTGAGTATGTGCCGAAGGGAGGCTGGCTTGGAGCACAGGACGCACCCTTGTTCTAGCCTACACGCAACATTTTTGTTCTCATTCATGAAACGCTTCAATAGGGGATAGCTTTTGGCGGGGACAGGTAATCCAAATCGGGGACTGTCCTCGAAAATCTCTGGTTGACAAATAAAGCCAGACCTCCTCCTTTCATCTTGCCACTAGCTTGAGCATCTCTGTCTGACCTTATGAGAGTGAAGCCAGGTAGATCCACACTGGAGTCTGAGTTATTTTGATTCAACCAGGTTTCAGTAAAACACAGGAAACTGCACTCACGGTATGCTTTCTCAGTCTTCACCAATATTTCCAGCTCCTCGCTTTTGTTGGGCAGAGAGTTGACGTTGACGATGATTGATGGAAGAAAGGGTTTATATAGCCACCTCCAAGCATTCAGCTTTGCCTTCACATTTGTACCAGCTCGGCAACCACGATATCACCTCCTGATGTCCTCTGGAACTGTATGTTGTTGTCCAGATTTGCTTTTCCTCAATGAAAGGAGCTCTTCTCTTCAGTAAACTCTTCACCCAGCAGAAGTATCCATCAGCAGCCAACAAAATTACAAAAGAAATATGAAAAAAAAAACTAGTAAAAATTACAGATAATACAGAGACCAGACTTGCAGCAACCTCTCAGTTCAAGCGCATCATTTGAATCATGAAGGGAAACGCTGTTATCTAGCACAGTGTCTTCCTCAGCAATGTAAAAAACACTGTTGCCAGCATTATGCCAACCACAGCACCATGAAAGATGGTATGAATGTTATTTATTGTTACTCGACAGTTATTGTAACTAAGGTGAGCATGCACCTGTTAAGGAAGGCTGCTGAGCAACAATAACCCATCAGGCTGGTGCATCCACAGGCTGGTTACCTGAAAATGGTATACCACAGTTCACAGTATGTCGCCCAGCTTGAGTGCAAGCTTTTGGCTGAGTGTTTCTTACAGCTGACTTTAGATAAGCTAAAAAGCAATGTTAAGTGCTTTGTGAATGTAAAAAAGCATTGATAAAAATGCACGTTTTTTTTTGTTTTGTTTGAGTTCAAGAGAATCTTGAATAAATTATTGAATTAAATTCTAATAGGACAAGTTTTTAATTTTTATTTTGGTTAAATTCAGTGTTATATTTATTGGTTAATAAAAAAATAATCGTTAGATTAATCAATAAAAAAATTGTTAGGTGCAGCCCTAGTTGTAATACAAAAAATATTTGTCTTAATGTAAGTTATAAACTTGGGAAGTTTCATGGTGATATCGGTTAGTTAAAAATTTTACCCTGTTCACCTGGGGTGTCTACCCTGGGCCTCCTACCCTTCATGGACGTCATCTTGAAAATCACACCTTTCTATTGGTCAAACTTTGGTAAACTTTTAGTATGTTATTAAGGACATCTAACACTATAAAAAAAACCTTTTGTTAGAATTTTTTGGGGATCAAGTCATATTTGCACATGACTAAAAAGAATAGAGCCAGAGGATCTGAGAGGACCTCCTGGTTTATTAACTTAAAGCATCTCTGAGATGTTGTCTGGTGCAAGGCCACACATGTCCGTAGAAACAAGTCAAAAGACCTTTAAAATCAACATGAAAAGTAACAGGCAATCAGTGCAAAGACTTCAAAATAGGAATTCTGTGTTCTCTCCTTCTGCCATCACATTTTAAATTAGTTGCAGCTGGTTTATGGTATTCTTTGGTAGACCAGTCAGGAGAGTGTTACAGTAGTCTAGCCTGCTGGTTATGAAAGTGTGCATTTGTCTCTCTGTTCAAGGATGTCCAGAGTCGACCGCCACGACACCAAAATATCAGAGAAACGCTTTGTGGGAGTCTTTTGGGTTCTACACTACAAAGAGCAAAATAAAACACAAAGGGCTCTATTTTCGTGTACGCTGGTGAGGCGACGGAGCATGGCGGAGCCCGGGCAGTTGTATTTTCGTCTGGCGGAGCCCGGTGTACAGCCAGTTTGGTATTTTCGTGGACTGAGGCGCACGGAGGCGAGCTGAGATCCGCCAAGCTGGGCGTGGTGGCGTGGTAGGGGGAGGTGTCGACAGAATCAGCGGGCGCAGTGACATTTTCGTGCTCGCCAGTGGTGTGTAAAGTGCGCTGAAAGCTCGCTGATTCAAACCTGGTCAGCTTTCAGCGCAGGCGGAGCGCAGCTGGTCTAGTAGTATTTTGGTAGACCGGCGGCGTATCTGCATACGTCACTGATGCCTCACCGGCAGGTGTCCACAGTGTCAGGCACATTTCAGTGCAATAAATAATCATCAACAACTAATAATCTGAGTCAGCACATACATTTAGATCTATATAGATATATTATGATCTATTTGTGATCTGATGAGCGCGTTTGGCACACGTTTGGACACACAACCTGACCGAATCAACACAGCTGAAACCGCATCAAATTAAATTAAATATCTAGTAAATAAACACACATGATGAAGTTAACAAGATATGTAATTTGTCTCCCTCCTTTTCTTTCTTCCTCTTCCTCTTATTTCTAGCACAGCTCGACCTGGACATGTCTCTGTCTCTCCGTCCTGCAGCGGCTGAACAGATGATTTGTTTCAGTGCTCAGATGAGTTATCTACTTTAAGCCGACATACGGATATTATAATATTCAGTTTTGTGGGCCAAATTTATTTTATATGCCAACATCTATGAAAGAAAGAGCCAGGCCACGGAGCGTGATGCGTCATTTACACACAGATGGTTCCGATTTTAATGCCATTTTTGGAGTTTATGTTGTGATCCGTACGCACAACCCACCTTTGTCACGTGAGGTTTGAATATATGCAACTTTATGTGAGTGTCTTTATTTGTGGAAAAGGGTGTTTGTCTTACCAGTGGGTCCAACATTACACACACCAAATCCATCTGTGCTCATATGAGAGAGTGTGGAGCACGCCCATTGCAGCGCTTAAAGTGACACTTGTTGAGGAGCTGCCCTCTGTCGCCATCGTGTGGCATTACTGTCTTCAGACATCTCTTGATCTCTCTGACTACTTCATGAAAATGATAACACGCCTCGCCGGTGGCGGATTTAAAGGCAAGGAGAGGAGCTTATGTGATTGGTGAAAACATGTCTCGGCTGTGTTAAATCCACTCCACGCCCTTTCTCCTCCCTCGCTACGACTTACGCCGCTGGGAGGAGCTGAGTTAGGGAGGGGGGATACTTACGCCCGGCTGCACCGCTCACCAAAATACCAAATTGTGCTTGGGAACGCCTTGTCGGCGCGGCGGACCTGACTTACGCCGCGCCTGCGGCACGTCTCCGGCGAGGCACGAAAATAGAGCCCAAAGTCTCTATAACTTTGTACAAACCAGCTGTCTTATTATTCAGTGACAGGCTCACCTGAGAGGCAGCAGAGGATGCATCTTAGTGGAGTGGGCAGTTTCAGCAGACAACAGAAAAAAGAGAGCTGTACTCAGTCCTCATGCTGAGGCCCTAATGTATCTGAACATGCATGATCTGATTCAAAGTGGGCAGTTCTGAGCATGGCTGTATACATCTTTACATCAGCCTAAGGGACAACTTATTCTGGGGTCTCACTTTCATGCTCCATATGCAATGAGCAAAAAGCCTGTTTAACTGTAAGAAAGAATTAGCAGCAGCTAAAATAACTGAGGAGGATAGACAGAGAGTCAGAGAAGCGTTTAAAGTGAACTGCAGACTGAAGTCTAAGTTCAAACAAACAACGGACAATGAGATTTATGTTAATAAGTGCTCGCCTCCTCTATGAAAAGTCTCTCTCCGTGTCGAGTTGTCCTTTTTTTTGCAAAGCACAGCTTAGCTGTTATATACACTACAGGCCAAAAGTTTGGAAGCAAGGCCATTACAGGCCGAACAGTTGGGAGTAACTTCAAGTTTTTGTTCACAATGCTTTTTTTTTTTTTAAATCCAGCACGAATTTTATGTATTTTGGGATGTATTTACTCCATGATCTGATGTTGCTGTCATGGAAATGCACCATTTTACTCCATTTACCTTTAGATATACATTGATGTTAACAGACCATTGCTAAATATATGTCAGCAAAAGATTAAAAGGGCTTAGTTTTAGGGTTGAAAACATTTGCAAGAGTCACAACTTCAGTGCAAATGCAAAAAAAACACAGTCCCAAGTAAGAATAGAATATAGAATAGAATAGAATATTCCTTTATTGATTTATTCCTTTATTGATCCCCCATGGGGGCAATTTTTTTTGTCACAGCAGTATCACAGACAATAGTGCAAAAATGCAGTTATAAGAATAGAGATTGTTATATTAAGAACTTAAATAATTGTTATAATTAAGAAAAAATTTAGAAAGGGAAAAAGGGAGAAGAAAATAAAACTATATACAATATACACAATTGAAATACCAAAAAAAAGTGGTGGTGTGAGTCCAGTTTTATTGCAGTTTGTTGTAAAGTCTTATTGCAGAAGGGAGGAATGACCTGCAGTAGCGCTCCATCTTGCAAGATTAATCACAGTTGGATTATTCACTTAAACTTTTTTGCTTTTGAGAGTCTGCATACAAAAATCCTAATAAATCTCAACTGCGTTCAAACTACCGCAAAAATGGCTAGAAAGAAGCAACTGAGTAAAGAAACAAAAGTACAGATTTGTACATTGAGGAAAGAAGGATACACAGAAAGAGAAACTGCAAAACGCGTAAAGGTGTTTAACAATGGAGTCCATTACACTCTGAAGAGACTAGAGGAACCTGGAAGTTATGATGATAGAAAAAGACCAGGGGCCTCATGTATCAACGCTTGCGGCGCAAGAAAACCTTGCGTACGCCAAAATCGGCGCACACGTCCAGATTTATCATCGAGAAATGAGCGTCGGTTCCAGCGCTAATCAACGCAAAGTCAGGAGGTGGTGTAGAAATTGGCGTTGAGCTGGATATTTGCGTTGACTGTGATTCGCACTTTGGCGACGCTGTGTGGCGGTGTTTGGTGACTCACTATGTGACAAGCGTGCACCACATCCCCGTGGCCAGGCAGCACGTCGCCCCACATGACGAACCAGCAGCAGACGGAGGGATGCGAGCTGATCCCTGCCGGGCCGCCGTCCTCGCGCGGGAGAATCTCATCGCCACAGTGTGAATGGGTAAGAAGTGAATACACAGTTCAATGAGCCAAATTAATTTATTTTCTCCACCAGACGCTCGAGGAAATTTACGAGCCGGTCCAGCCGCTCGTTGATCCCCGCGATCCCCCTGATGATTTCTTCCTGCGATTGCAGGACCCCCTCCGCGAGACCCTTCCACTGCGTCCGGGTGGTCCAGCGGAAGCGCCGCGGCTGGTGGACGCTCCACCGCTTGTCGGCGCGCTGGTGCTGATGCTGGTGCTGGGGCCGGGGGCCAGGGTGGCCCGAATGCCGCTGGTCCTGGCCGACGACTCCGAGCCGGCGGACGGGCTGCCGCGGGCCAGGGTTCCGCAAGCCGGCAACACGGCCGACACATTAATTTCTGTGACACAATAAAAATATTAGTTCATTTCAGTTCCTGCTTCTGTGTATCTGTTGCGTTTACATCTCTCTCCACGGTATCATAGGTAATGTAATCCAGTATTTCGAGGTCAGTTATGCACATTGCAGTTGTTTATTGCATAAAAAGTTATCGAAAAATGAAGTTAAGGGCGAAGTATAAATCACGTCTAAAAATAGACTGAATCCCGACGTTGAAATGAAGTATAAACTTAGACTAGACGTCTAATATACGTCTTTTGCTCAGTGGGATGACAAAGCATGTGGACATTTGTGTGACACGCCACTTACCCTATAATAATAATCGCCACCACCCGCTGCTCAAACGGTGTGAGGGTCTCCTCCCCCGGACCCCCACCTGTCTGGCCGGTACTCTTCCGGAGGGCAGCTGTACGCCGCTTGACCTCCACCTTGAGGTCCGACCACTTTTTTTTAATCTCCGCGGGGGTGCGTGTCTCGGAACCCACCGCATTCACCCTCTCGCAAACTTTCTCCCACTCCAAGCGTTTTTGTTTTGCACTGACGCCACTGGACAGGCTGCCAAACAAAACACGCTGTCGCTCCTCCACCTCCGCCACCAGTACCTCCACCTCGCACGCCGTAAATGTAGTTTTTCTTGTCATTTTGTCTGCGTGCGAGGACAGGGAGACCCTATTTAAATAAATTTGCATATTTATAGGAGGGCGTAACGGGGACGGGCCCAGTCACTCCGACATCTGCGCTCAATTCCACGCTGATTGGGATTTATCAAGGAAACACACGTGGATTTCGGCGGCCGCACACATTGATACATACGGATTTTTTTCAGCGTGACGGACCTTGCGTGCGCTCGTTTCTGGTATGAGTTCCACGCAAGTGTTGATACATGAGGCCCCAGGACAAAAGAGAGTTACTACAAAAGCAGAGGATAAACATAGCATTGTCACCAGTAAGAGAGATCAGCAAAAGACAGCACCAAAAATAAGGGAGGAAATCAACATGACAAGGTCGAAACCCATATCTCTGGCAACCGTGAAATGACGTTTGAGAAAGGCTGGTCTGAAGGGTTGTGTATCTGCAAAAAAACACTACTTTGTCCACAGAACAAGAAAAAGAGATATGAGTGGGCAAAAGCTCACAAAAATTGGACTTATGATGACTAGAAACATCTTGGTTCAAAACGCAGAGTCTATGTCTGCAGACAAACTGGTGAACGTCTGAAAGCACCATGTGTTACACCCACAATTCAGTATGGAAGTGGTAGTTCCATGGTATGGGGGTGTTTTGCAGGTGATGGAGTAGGAGATTTGTTTGAAGTAAAGGGTATCATGAAGAAGGAACAGTACCACTCCATCTTCCAGCACCATGCTGTTCCATCTGGACTCAGACTTGTGGCTCATAAGTTTGTTTTGCAGCAAGACAGTGACCCTAAGCACTCTGCCAAGCTCTGTCAGGGTTACCAAGACAAAAAAGAAGAGGACGGTGTTCTTCAAAAGATGGTTTGGCCCCCTCAGTCTCCAGACCTTTCTCCAATTGAGCTTGTGTGGGATGAATTGGATCGATCGGTCAGAAAAACGCGTCCCACGAATCAGCAGTCCCTTTTTAATGAACTTAAGAAAGCTTGGAATGCAATCCCTGGAACATGCCTTAGAAAACTTGTGGAACGAATGCCTGGTATATGCCAAGCTGTTGTTAAAGCCAGAGGAGGTTACTTTAAAGAAAGCAAAGTTTAAGCAACAATAACTCAAATACCTAATAATTATAGTCAAAATGTCATCTGATAAGTTACTCTTCACACAATAGTCATGTTTATTGTTTTGCAAATTATATATATGAAACTATGATCTTTTTTGTACAAATCTGATCTTGCTTCCAAACTTTTGGCCTGTTGTATATACGCTGCACTTCACATGTAGGGGGTAACTTTGTGATGTTAACTTCAATACAATACAATACAAAACAGTACAAGAACTTTATTAATCCCCAAAGGGAAATTCATAGTAGTGAGTAACGGTCCAAGATTTTTTAAAAACTGTATCTTGCAGGAATTGTATCCGACTATGTTAAGACTATGGCTAGAGTCTTGGGCACCGTTCTGACTGTTTATACATTAGGTGGAAGTTTTACTTCAAACAAATCTTGATAAATAAAACCAACTGGTTTCTGTGTTTTTTCTTTTAAAATGAGCAGTTTTAAAAAAATTATATGGATAAGAGGGAATGTCATTTTAAGAACTCTTGTTGCTCCATGTGTCTACAGATATCTAATAAACCCAGACAAGACTCTCCAGATCCACTATGTGACCTCTCAGGATGCTGGGAAGTACACCTGCACTGCTGCTAATGATGTGGGCGTGGTCACTGCCAGCGCACAGCTTCTGGTTGAAGGTAAGTTAACAGAGCCTGAAAGTTCACATATCAGAAACTGTTTTTGTTGATGACATCATCTCAATGTAGTGCGATGTGTTAAGTGGCAGCTTTTCAATTCCATCTAATGATGACGCAAGGTAGAACCGAATGCCCACTTGTGTCTTGATTTTTGGCCTGGAGGTTTGGTGGTTTCTGGTTATGCCACAATCCGGCCATTCATCCATTTGACTGTATAAAATCGACATTGGCTAAGTGAGATCACCCTGTAGTTTCTAAGAAGGGTTCTTTTTTTGCTAAGATTTTTTACAAAAGTTATATTATAACCCTTTGCATCAACCGCTAGTGACCCTGTCAATCAAAGGTTGACAGGATCTTCAGGTCAGGCGGTAAATATCCCAGAAAACATATAATTTATAAATAAATCAATAAATAGTTTTAAAAGTAAGGCTTGGGCTACAAATTTCACTAAAAAATCCAGTCACTCAATTTAAAAAAAAAAAAACCTAGACGCAAATTATTTACAGCAAACATATCATTCACTTATAGAACAACTAACGGGCATAAACTGTAAATAGCTTCACATGCTCAGTAATCTTGATTCACCAGCAGTAAAACAATACAGTGACCAAACAAACTGAATTTGAATTTTAAAGTAACTAATGTAATTCATCTGAAAGTGTGCTGAGAGACAGCATGTCAGCACCAGCCTCCTGCTTGACATCAAAAGGGGAAAAGAGACTCCAGTTAATATGATCGTAGAGGGCTGTGGAGCTGTTTGCACATTTCTGTGTATGTTTCATTTCTTCTTCTCATGCTCGTGCCATACAATAAAACAAAAATACTTGCTATGTTATTGTTCTAAGGTCACTTTCACACCTGACCAAGCGGACTCGGTTTGATTGGGGAGCTGAAAGTCGCAACATTGTTGCATTTATCACTTGTTTCAGTTCTGCTTTCACACTGTGATTTCTAAAGCGCACCAAACTTTCCGAGCAGCATCACGTGGTTGAAAGGAGCGCTCGTCGATTGGACAAAGTAGGAGGGGTATGTAACCTCACAGATTACAAACAGGGGTGGACTAGCCATCTTGTATTGTGCTTCGTCACATTATTTTATGGAATGCTACAACGTTAGTGAACGCAACTGTTCCTATAATGCTATGGTAGCTTGTCAGGGATTGATCCTGTTGTTTTTCTAACTTTGAAGATCTAACATGTGACAACATATGAGCTTGGAGTTTTAGGACTTTAAGTTTAAGGACTCAGTTGCAAGCGAACCAAGACCCACGTTTTCAGGCGGACCAGAGTTGCTTGTTTGGTCTGCACCAGAGTTCGGATGAGCTTTCACATCTCCCCAAATGAAGCAGACTATCCAAGGAAACGAACTCTGGTCTGTTTGAAGCGGACCAAACAGCTCTGGTGTGAAAGTGACCTAAATATGTAATAGTTTTACTTCCACATAACCCTCTAGCTGAGTGCTCATCTGTTTGCTCGTGCGGCAGTTAACGTTTTACTGTTGTTCTAGGACAAAGATCAAAGTTTTGGCTAACTTTCCTGTCATTCTTCAAAAGTCAGAGAAATGTTTTTCCAGCAGTTTTTGTTTGTTTTCCAAACTTTTCAGCCTGATAGCTCTCAGATCACACTGTTTTCACAATGCAGTAGTGTGTCCAGACTTTCACACTGGGGTTGCACAGCTGAAGTGATGACATACGGTGGTGTGAAAAAGGGTTTTAAAAAAAAATTCCAAACCTACTTGGCCCTGTGTGAAAAAGTGATTGCCCCCTAAACCAAATAACTGGTTGGGCCGGCCTTAGCAGCAACAACTGCAATCAAGCATTTGCAAAAATTTGAAATTAGTCTCTTACAGCGCTGTGGAGAAATTTTAGCTCACTCATTTTTGCAGAATTGTTGTGATTCAGCCACAGTGGAGGGTTTTCGAGCATGAACCCCCTTTATAAGGTAATGCCACAGCATCTCAATAGAATCCAGGTCAGGACTTTGAATGAGGCCACTCCAAAGTCTTCGTTTTGTTTTTCTTAAGCCATTCAGAGGTGGACTTGCTGGTGTGTTTTGGATCATTTTCCTGCTGCAGAACCCAAGTTCATTTCAGCTTAAGGTCATGAACAGATGGACGGACATTCTTCTTCAGGATTTTTTTGGAGAAAGCAGAATTCATGGTTCCATTTATCACAGCAAGTCTTCCAGGTCCTGAAGCAGCAAAACAGCCCCAGACCATCACACACTACCACCATATTTTACTGTTGGTATGATGTTCTTTTTCTAAAATGTGGTGTTATGTAATGGGACACACACCTTCTAAAACGTTCAACTTTTGTCTCATCAGACCACCACAGAGTATTTTCCCAAAGGTCTTGGGGATCATCAAGATGTTTTCTGGCAAAATTGAGACAAGCCTTAATGTTCCTCTTGTTCAGCAGTGCTTTTCGTCTTGGAACTCTGTCATGCAGGCTGTTTTTGCCCAGTGTCTTTCTCATGGGGAGTTATGAACACTGACCTTAACTGAGGCAAGTGAGGCCTGCAGTTCTTTAGATGTTGTCATAGGGTCTTTTGTGACCTCTTGAATAAGTCATCGCTGCTTTCTTGGGGTAAATTTGGTTTGATGGCCACTACTGGGAAGGTTCACCACTGTTCCAAGTTTTCACCATTTGTGGATAATGGCTCTCACTGTGGTTCGCTGGAGTCCCAAAGCTTTAGAAATGGCTTTATGACTTTTTCCAGACTGATAGATCTCAATTATTTTCTTTCTCATTTGTTCCTGAATTTCTTTAGATCTCTGCATGATGTGTAGCTTTTGATGATCTTTTGGTATACTTCACGTTGTCAGGCAGGTCCTATTTAAGTGATTTTTTGATTGAGAATAGGTGTGGCAGTAATCAGGCCTGGGTGTGGCTAGAGAAATGAAACTGTGGTAAACCACAGTTATGTTTCAACAGGGGGGCAATCGCTTTTTTACACAGGGCCATATAGGTTTGGATTTCTTTCTCCCTTAATGTTAGAATTTTCATTTAAAAACTGCATTTTGTGTTCACATGTGTTGTCCTTGACTGTTTAAATTTGTTTGATGATCTGAAACATTCAAGTGTGACAAACATGCAAAAATATAAAAAATCAGGAAGGGGGCAAACAACTTTTCACACCACTGTAGGTGGGGGTAACCAGGGAATGTGTGCAGACCATCCAAATTTCCCCTCTGTTTTCACTATCTACCCTAACAACTACAATTGAGGTGGTGTACTGTTATTAAACTTGCGTCTAATTTTGGTATAAAACTGTATAATGAGTAAATGTGCATCAGGCAATCTGGAGAAGTCAGTTTGTTCTTTTAGGTCAAGTCAAATGACAAAGTTATATCAGGGAAATGTGCATTGTCTTAACAGTAAACAGAATACTCAACTACCTTATCACCATGACAAAGGCAGTTCAAAGTAACATTCTATGGAATCTTTTATAATAAACAAGTATATAATTAAACAAAACTTGTGTTCTCAGAGGCTGCAAGTACTGTCCAGAAAGACCTCCACAAAGAGCTGTCAGCCCTGAGAGTTGCTCTGGAAAACGTCACCATCATGGCCTCTGGGTCCAATGTATCTCTGGTGCAATGGAAGGTATTGAAAAGCTTGTTCAAAGAGTTGATGAGGCGGCACAAATGTATTTCTCATATGTGTGATCCATGTGGTGTTTTCACTCTGACCAGCTGCAGTCCCTCCCAGCTCAAACCCATTACCTCAATGGCTTTGAGGTTCTTTATCGCAGCCTGCTGCCTGCCAGCTCTGACTGGGCTGCAAAGAAGGTGACTCTGCCTAGCTTCCAGACTCAGGTTGGCCCTTTAAAGAGAGGCTTCAAGTATGAGTTCAAAGTGCGTCCTTATGGCAGCAACTTGTATGGTAGGGAGAGCAACACTCAGCACCTCAGAGTACCTGAAACAGGTAAGATTTAAGGCACTTTATTTCTAGTCTTTTGATTGTATTTTAATCACTTTGAACTTAGATTTTTGGTCCATAACAGTTAAAAGTAAAATGAATCCTCCTTGTACAGTCCCCAGCTCCTCTCCACTTGAAGTCTCCATCACAGTGAGCCATGAGCAGAACAACACGGTCCATCTGAGCTGGGAGCCTCCTCCTCATGACACCCACAATGGTATCATACAAGGATACCAGGTAAGAGCTTTTCAGACTCACATACCTCAGCTTTTATGTGTGTCAAATAGATACTACTTTTGAGGTTTGAGAGGGGCTGAGCCTACACGCCAAATACTATGGGCTCTATTTTCATGTACGCCGGTGAAGTGGCGGAGGGTGGCGGACCCCGCACAGTTGTATTTTTTTGTCTGGCGGAGCCCGGCGTACAGCCAGTTTGGTACTTTCGTGGACTAAGGCGCACGGAGGCGAACCAAGATCCGCCAAGCTGGACGTGGTGGTGTGGCAGGGGGAGGTGTCGACAGATCAGCGGGCGCAGTGACATTTTCGTGCTCGCCAGTGGCATGTAAAGTGCGCTGAAAGCTCGCCGATTCAAAACCTGGGGCTCTATTTTCGTGCCTCGTCGGAGGCAGGTACGGCGTAAGTCAGGTCCGCCGCGCCAACAAGGCGTTTCCGCCGCTGGGAGGAGCTGAGTTAGGGAGGGGGGATACTTACCCCGGGCTGCCCGGCTCACCGAAATACCAAATTGTGCTTGGGAACGCCCTGTCAGCGCAGCGGACCTGACTTACGCTGCGCCTGCGGCACGTCTCCGGCGAGGCATGAAAATAGAGCCCTGTGTCCTGCTGCTTCATCATCGCATGTGTTGAACAAGTTATGACACTTTTCACATTTAGATATTCTAAAGAAAAGAAATTAATGCTTCCAAAGTTTTTCAAGCTGCTTTTTCAAACACAGACACAGTATGAACTGTTATGAACGCAAAAATCATTACAAAAGACGTGATATTAAGTGATATTGGAAATGACCGTTTCCCACTATAAACAGGGTTATCAGTCAGGTCATATACTGTATATTTAAAAGCAAAAACACGACTTTAGACTACAACATGGAGATCAAGTGCTTTTCATCTTTGAATTGATGTAAGTGGGCAGATCAACTTTAAAACAGTTTCTGTAGATGGGCTGGTTTTTGTCAATAGGATGAGTGTCAGTTCATTATGATGTGATTGGCTCATATGTTGGCGTCATGTCTGCCTCAGCATGTTTCTGAGTGGAGAAATAAGACCAGCAAGTTATAGTTTGTAGACTTGTGTTCCCAGTACCCTCTCCCTTAGACTGTGAATATAGAGAGCTGCTGCACCTCTGAACTCTGAAGGTATCTGATGAGGCATGAATAACCCTTGATTTTTTTGTAACCTGGTTTTTCAGGTGTGGTGTGTGGAGTCTGAGGAGCAGCTCTCCAAGAATTGGACTGTGGATAGTGGCCATCAAAACCTTGACATCTCTGCACTCAAGCCAGGAAGACGATACTGGATTACCATAGCAGCCATCAATGGAGCTGGAGTGGGAGCTCTGAGTGACCCTCGTGGATTTGTCATCAGTGGGTGTGATGTTTCTGTTTAAGAATAGTGCAGGGATAAAATGAGGAGGAAGCTTTATGACTTTTTTTTATCTACTCCCTTTTTTAACCATAATTCACCCCCACAAAAGGACAGACACTGTCTTTGTAAAAGGCCAGAAAACTAAACAAGCAAATCAAATATACAGTTTAGGCCAAAATTATTAGCCCCCCCTATGAAATTTTAATTATTTTCCAAAATTTCTTAAGTGCTGTTCAACAGATTAATTATTTTTTTTCACAGCTTTTCCAAACATCCTAGTTTTATTTTGGATCCTTACATTATTGAACTTTGCACACAGAAACAAAATTATTTCACAAAAAACAAAAACCAGAGACTTCCGGTTATGGCGGCTTGCTGAGTAGAAGCGTGTAAGACTGCTCTGCTACCAAACAGTTTAAATCCTTGCTAAAATAAGCTATTTTTGTGCGTCATTCAGTCCAACTACAACACCGGAGTTTAAGAAAATACCGATGAATTAAAGAAAATCAAATCGTAGCAAGACACAACAAATCAAAGTAACTAATTTTGCAACTCCGACCGCCAAAGCGAAGTCCATTGCGAACAGGGAAGCCATGGAAGATGGCACTGGTGCTAGCAACGTTAGCAGCGCTAGCCCGGACCAACAGTCAGAGAGAAACAGTACTACTGCCAGGGAAGAGTCCGGTACCTCTTTGACAACAATACTGACAGCTGTTAACACCATGAGGACTGACTTCTCATCCAAATTTGATGGCATCTTCACCGCGATTGAAAATGTAAGGAGGGACATCACAGATTGCTCAGAAAGAATTACGCAGGCGGAGACCAGAATCTCAACAGCAGAAGATGATGTGACTGCACTCCAGAGGAAGCTCGTTCACGTCGCTCCAATATACGTTTTGTTAATCTACCCGAAGGCGCGGAAGGTGAGGACACCTGTGGATTCTTGGAGAGCTGGATACCAGAGGCGCTGGAACTACAGCCGCTCCAGGGGAAATTTACAGTGGAAAGAGCACACAGGCTTGGACCAAGAAGACAACATAAGACCGACTCCACGTCTAGAACCCTCATAATGAAATTTCTGAATTACAAAGACAAAGAAGAAGTGATGAGAGCGGCCAGGGCGAAAAAACAAGTCCTCTACAAAAATCACCCGGTGAGATTCTACCAAGACTTGACCGCAAAGATTCACAAGAAATTGAAAGAGTTCGAGGAGGCCAGGCGACAACTCCGTTCACTGGGGCTCCGGTATGGTATGATCCCTCCTGCCCGGCTTATTGTTACTTACAAAGAGCGCTCACATATCTTCAACAGCGCCGACGAAGCCGAGCGCTTCATTAAGAAGATCCAGTCAGATAATCATCCAGACTGAGGTACTGAAGATCACGCGAAGACCGTAGGAAATGTTATCCATAACTGCTGATTGAACACTTTTCTGATATTTTGATGCAATGTAGAGACAGGAGTGCGGGGCAGAGTAAATGTGAGTTTATACACGAAGTTCTGTGTGCCCCCCTCCTGATCTATTGATAAAGGACATTTTCTGATATAGGTACTGTTTGATTAAGTAAATATGGATACGTTTCATTTGCTGGGTTACTTTCAAAAAATTTGCAAACCACAGTAGCAGAGTGGTTGCGCTCATTTTGTTGTTTTTTGTTTTGTATTTGACATTGGCATAGCTATACTGATCCTCACGCGGTGCGGACCAGCTTTTTGCTTTCGGAAGTCCAATATACGAAGGGGAGGGGGGACACCTGACGGGTTAACACTCAGGTGGATTGATGTTAGTTGAGGGAGATATGTTCTCTTTTTGTTCCTTTATTTTTCTTTCTTAGCTCTTTGTGACAATACTTAAATTGTTGGGAAAATTCAAAACAATCGGCTCATATGTCTGTTGATCTTAAGGTTAGAATTACATCCTGGAACTGCAGAGGGCTACAAAAAACAAAACAGGTCAAGCAAGTTATGAACAGGATTAAAATTTTACAGTCTAAAATAGTATTCCTTCAAGAAACCCATCTAACACATGAAGACGAGCGTAAAGTGAGGAGGAGATGGAAGGGTAAAATTCTATCAGCTCCTTTTACTACTCAAGCAAGAGGTGTCATGATCTTGATCCACGACTCTATTCCTTAACAAATTCATAAAGTTATTAAAGATAAAGCAGGACGATATTTGATTATTCAAGGTACAATCCTTAGGGATCAACTAATTCTAACAAATGTCTATGCTCCAAATACAGATGAACCCAAATTCTTCCAAAACCTATTCCTTACTATTTCCTCTCTACCTGGTGCTTGTATAATGGCCGGTGATTTTAATTGCACCTTAGATCCCCAGAAAGACAAAAGTTCAGGTGTCGATCAGTCACATTCAGGCAGGGGTGTAATTCACCATTTTATGAAAGAAATGAGCCTAGTTGATGTTTGGAGGGAAGATAATCCTAATGGGAAAAAATTTTCATGCTTCTCTGGCACACACCAGTCATATTCCCGCATTGATTTCCTTTTGGTTTCAGCACAACTAAAATATAAAATAAAGGAGGTGTCCTATGATGCCATACTCCTATCAGATCACGCCCCAAACTCTTTAATCTATCACGACCCTAAACTAACTAGTGATATTCCCAAATGGAGATTTAAAACAAAATGGCTGGCTGATACTGACTTTGTTACTTCTCTAGACGAAAAGATTAAATATTATTTTGAAACAAATACAACAGAAACCTCACGAAGTACCAGATGGGAAGCGTTTAAGGCCCTCATCAGGGGACAAATAATTAGCATTACTAGCTTCAAAGCTAAAGAAACCTACAAAAAAACAAAATCATTCGAAAGAAAAATAATGAAATTAGAAGAAGAATACTATCTAGTTCTCAAGATGTCCATCAAAGATTACTCTTGCTAAGAACACAATACAACGATATCTACAGCAAGAGCTTTATCGAGTTTACTACGACTAAAACAAACATTCTATGACCAAGGGGAAAAGCCTGGCAGAGTGCTAGCATGGTGCATCAAACAACTTCAAAATAAAAGATGTACATAGTCCATTCGATTGAAATAAATGAATATTTTAAAAGATTTTATGAAAAACTATATAGCTTGGAAATAGGTCCAAATGCATCTGAAATGAATAACTTTCTGGACAAAATCCAAATTCAGGAGTAATTAAGAGAGAACTAGAAAAAGATGTAACATTAATGGAACTATCTACGCCTATTGACAGTATCAAAGGAGGGAAAACCGCGGGGCCAGATGGTATACCCATTGAGATTTATAAAATGTTCAAGCATAAGCTCATGCCTGCATTACTAGAAATGTATAAGGAATCCTTTCACAATGGACTCCTTCCAACATCATTAAGGGGAGCACTAATCACTTTGCTGACAAAACCAGGTAAATCAAACAACAAATGTGAAAATTTTAGACCAATTAGTCTTTTAAATGTGGATTTAAAAATTTTGAGTAAAATATTAGCAAGGAGACTTGAGAAAGTAATCCCAAATATTATTGACAAGGATCAAAATGGCTTTGTACAAGGTAGACAAGGCTTCCATAATGTTAGGCGAATTCTAAATATATTATTTAAGGAGAAGGGAGCAACAGATACAGCATTACTGTCATTGGACGCTAAAAAAGCCTTTGACAGGGTCGAATGGCTTTATTTATTTGAAGTCCTCGGACGTTTTGGCTTTGGAGAAAATTTTAATAACTGGATAAAACTACTATATACAGAACCATATGCGGAAATCATGACTAACCATAATATATCCAAAACCTTTCAGATACAAAGAGGATGTAGACAAGGAAATCCTCTATCCCCTCTCCTTTTCATTATGGCTATAGAACCACTGGCAATAGCAGTAAGAACCCACCAACATATAACAGGCATATCAATTGGACAACAGGAACATTGTTTAGCTCTATTTGCAGATGATGTAATCATATTCCTTAAGAAGATAGAAAAATCCATTCCTGAATTATTAGAACTCCTTAAGGTAGTTGGAAAAATCTCAGGATACAAACTGAACAAATCAAAATCGTCAATAATGTTCCTAAATCAGTTAGAAAGCAAAAGCCCTCCAAAAACAGCCACTCAGTTTAAAATTGTAGATTGCTTTACATATCTAGGCATTCAGATTGTTCCACAACTTAAACACATTGTAGCCAGTAATTATGAGCCATTATTGCAAGAAATTACAAAATTATTGGACAGATGGACACCCATACCTATGTCACTAATAGGAAAAATAAATGTCCTTAAAATGAATATAATGCCCAAATTGTTATATTTGTTTCAAAACCTTCCACTTCCTCCTCCAACAAACCTGTTCACTCAGCTTAAGAGACTATTTGTTAGATTCTTGTGGAATAATAGACGTCCCCGGACACGATTGTCTCTACTGTACTTGCCTTATGACAGAGGGGGACTTAAATGTCCCTGTCCTCTCTGGTACTACTGGGCGGCTCAATTAAGAACAATATTGTTTTACTTTGCAGAAAGAGAAGTTCCTCTCTGGAAAGGAATGGAAGAACTACAGCTAAATCTGCCCCTCCCAGTATATCTATACTCGGCCAGCACTAAAATCCTCAAAAAGAACACAAAAAATCCTATTGTGAGGAATATGATTGTGGTGTGGCATCAAGTTAAAAAATATCTGAGAGAAACACCCCCCCTCTCTTTCTTCAGCCCAATTTGGGGTAATTACTACTTTCCTCCAGGTAAAACTGACGGGGGGTTTAAATCTTGGGCTTCTAAAGGACTGGGGAAAATAGGAGACCTTTATAATGCACAAAAAGTGCTGATGTCATTTGGAGAAATATCTGATAAATTTAAAATACCCCGTAAACATTTTTTTAAATACCTACAATTGAGAAACTTCATTAGAACACACCAAAATCAAACATTATGCATCCCTGAATGGTCTACTGTAGAAAAATTAATGAATATGGATTGCTTAGGGAGGGGTTTAATATCCAAAATTTATAAATGCCTTGTAGATGGAAGTACAGAATCATCAGCAGGACGGTTGGGGGCTTGGAGAGAAGATCTACAGGAGGACATTTCAATAGAAAAGTGGAGAGAGGCATGATCCCAAGCACAATCAAGAACAACTAACACCCGTCTGAAATTACTACAATACAACTGGCTGATGCAATCATATATCACGCCAGAAAAAACTTCATAAATATAACAGCGCCATACCTCATATTTGTGTCAAATGTGAAAAGGAAAAAGGTACATTTTTCCATTGTATCTGGCAATGTACAAAAATACAAAAATTCTGGCGAGAAATAGGACAATGTATTCAAATTATCTTACAGATTCAAATACCCTTAATTCCACATTTGTTTATATTGGGTCTATATCCAGATAATTTGAAGAAACACCAATGAATATTTGTAGACTTAAGTGTATTAATGGCAAAGAGAGTAATAGCCCTCTCATGGAAAAACACTAGTAGTCCAAGTGTAAAGAGATGGTTGATTGAAATGTCTTCAACTCTTCCTTTAGAGACAATTACATATGCAATGAAACACCAGCAACATAATTTTCACCTGATCTGGGATCCATTTATTGATTATGTACTGAGGACAGATTTATCTCAAGTAATGGAAGAGCCTGGGGACATGTAAATGGCAGCGCTTTGCAGTACTTAATATTAGAGAATTATGTCTGTTACTGTTATTTATTTATTTTTTTCATATATATAATGTACTCGCTAACCTGATTCCCGACCAACAGTTAGAATACTTGTAAGGGCTAGGGATGGGGTGTTGACATGTTTGGTTAAGACATGTAAATGTATGTTTTGTATTTCTTGGTTAATTGTGAAAACAATAAAAAGAATGTTGGCAAAAAAAACTAAAACCACCAGGGTCAAAATTATTAGCCCCCTGAAGAATTGACGTTTTTATTGAGCCAAAACAAAAACCACTGTTGTGCAATCATGTGCTTTCACTATCGAGTGCTCACAGCTTGAAATCAATCAGTCAATTAAGTGAAAACAAAGGGTTGTCCTACACTTTACACACAGTATAAAAACCTTGTTACGCATTTGAGCTGTCACTTGAGAAGGCATCATGGCAAAAACAAAAGAATTCAGTTTAGACTTGAAAAAAAGAATTGTTGATGCTCACAAAGCAGGAGAAGGATATTAAAAGATAACACAGCGTTTCCAAGTGTCAAGAGGTGGAGTGAGAAGTATCATCAAAAAATTCAAGGAGAGCCACACAGTACAGAACAAGTCTGGGAGAGGTAGGAAGAGAAAATTTCAAAGAGACTGGAAAGAAAACTGTTGGGAGATGTGTCTAAACAACCTAGAACAACTACCAAAACAGGAGTTGCTGACTTAGCCAAGTCAGGAATTATGGTGTCAAACAAGACAGTCTCTAGAGCCCTAAACAGAAATGGACTGTGAGGATGCAGGCCAAGAAAAACTCCACCTTTACAAAAAAAGACACCTTCAAGCCAGACTGAGGTATGCTAAGGACAATCTTGAGAAAGATTGTTCGAACTGGAGACATGTTCTTTGGTCAGATGAGACCAAACTAGAGCTCTTTGGTCACAGAGACATTGCTTATGTTTGGAGAAAGAAGGGAGAGGCGTATAACCCCAAGAAATCTGTCCCCACAGTTAAACAGGGTGGTGGGAGTATCATGCTGTGGGGATGTTTCAGTGCATCTGGAACATTCATTGAAGGAATAATTAAGAAAGAAGGATATGTGAAGATTTTGAAAGGAAACCACAAGCAGTCAGCAGCAAAACTGGGTCTGGGTCGTCGCTTTGTCTTCTAACATGACAACGACCCAAAACATACAGCGCTCCTGGTGAGGAGCTGCCTCCAGGAAACCAAAGCGAACGTTATTGACCGGCCTGCACAAAGCCCTGACTTAAATCCTATTGAAAGTCTGAAGACCAGGGTCCACGCTAGAAGACCATCAGATCTGGAGGAGCTTGAAAGATCTGCCAAAGAGGAATGGGCTGGGATTCCACAGGAGATGTGCCAGAGCCTCGTTACAAACTACAGCAAACGACTGCATGCTGTTATCCAGCAAAAAGGACACACTATTGACTATTAGCCTGAAGGGGGTTAACATTTTTGACCCTGGTAGTTTTTGGTTTTTGTGAAATAATTTTGTTTGTGTGTGCAAAGTAAAATAATGTAAGGATCAAAAATAAAACTAGGATGTTTGAAAAAGCTGTGTAAAAAAATTATTAATCTGTTGAACAGCACTTAGGAAATTTAGGAAAAAACTTAAAATTTCATAGGGGGGCTAATAATTTTGGCCTCAAGTGTATGTAAGTAAGTATATTTGTTCAGATTCAGTGTGCATCACACCTTCAAACAGTCAAGCTGATTTCTTACAGTTTGTATCAATTGCGTGGATAAAATAGGCTGATTACGGAAAAAAGATTGCACATACAATCCCAATCCTAAAAAAAATTGAGGTACCATGTTGTGTTAAGAAAACAATCCCAGAGGCTTATGGTTTTTAAATCATTGTAAGTCTTTATTCGATTTATAATTTGAAATGTTTTATTGAAGGTTAAAAGAGTCATTTAAATGAGCTTATTTTTCCTTATCACTGGTCCTTTGTATTTTGTATACAAGCTGACATGAGTGAAGTACTGCTAAACTTAGCCAACAATTCTTAAGTAAAACAGACTAATAGACCCACATGAAAGAGAATTTTGTTAAGTCACATTCTGACAAAAATAAAGTCATAGTGAACTCATTTTTCAACACAAAAAAGACTTGTTAAGATTATATTACGATGCTAATGCAAATAAAGTCCTCATATTACAAGATAAAAGGCATATTGTGGTCAGAAAACAAGTGGTGATGAAGTGATCGTATTGCAATATAAAGGAAACCAGCATCTACAATTTGTTATCAGGTGAAGTTGAATTTGGAACACTTGGTTACCGTCTTTTGTCCTTTGTTTAGTTTATCTTTGGCATGTGAGCGTCAAATCTTTCATGGTCTTGATCTTTCTTGATGTTTGAATGCATTTAAAGCCCAGCAGACCCACACAGTCAGTCCATTTCTGCCTCCTAGACCCTTTTTTGACCTACTTTCTTTTTTCCCTTCAGACCCACAAATAAGCAGCTCTCTTCCTGATTCAGAAAGCAAAACTCAGGGTCTGTCTCAGGTCCTGGCCCTGCTTCAAGACCCTGTGTTGATTGGTAGTGTTGGCGCCCTCCTGTGGTGTGGTTTGATGGTTGCAGCTGTCTGCCTGTGCAGGCGCCGCCACAGGACAGGCCACCTGATTCCCAGACATGGCAGGGCTAAAGGTGAGAAAGGATGGCTGCACTTTATACCTCATTTGAAGGTTCTCTGAAATAAATCTCAGTTAGACCATGAAGATGAAGAGTTTCTAATAAAACAATGTCAATAAAGGACGATGTATGTGATACATTTAATGATGTTTTTCTCTTAGGTCTGCAGAGATTAGCTGGTGAAGATCTTATCATCAAACACAGGTACAGCAGAGAGAAACCCAGCCCGATGATACCAGCTTTAACTAAGCTGCACTGACAACAAAAAAAAGTTATTACTGTTATATTCTATCCATAACTATTTGGACATAATCAAATGCATATATTTTCCCCTTGATGGACAGGCTATGATCAAATGCACTTATTAGAACTTTTGTTTTTGAGCTGAGTATTGTTTAATGTCATTTTTTGCTCTCTATTAACTCTATTTGTTTATTTGTTTTCCCCTCTTTTATTTGTTCCTTGTAATACGATATTGTACTATACACTTAACATCCCTTAATATTGCTGTGTTTATTAAAGATTTTTATATATTTTGAGCCTTTGCGTCATGAAGAACAGAGTACAGACATTAGCTGCATTTACATGGGCACAAATCATCATAAAGGCCCAATCGAAATAAAAATGTAAACATTTCAGTCGGATTCAGTCAGATTTAGACCCGATTTGGCTCAATTGGAAAGAAATTGTATTCTGATCAAGAGGAGTGGTTTATACCGATCATTATTCCGAACCGCGTCCACACAAACACTTATTCTGATTGTGAGTTTATTCTGAGTGGGGGGAAAAATCCCGAACCAGATGAAGTAAGCCACGATTGCATTTGTTGGTTTGTTGACTGCATAGGCGGAATAACAACTTTTCTTCTGCGGTTGTTGCAGCCAAATCAGACAAGTTTGTGCATGTCCAAATGCCTCTAATCTGAGTGAAGCTTGGTGCATGTATACACACTTCATGATTGGATTATTTGATTTTGCACTCATATAAACACAGGATTTAGATTTCCCGATCCCTCAAATTTTTTATCGGATCAAGAAATTTTGCACACATAAACATGACTATTGAGCAATAGTTTTTAGTATTCTTTTTTAAAGTACCGTGTGCGGACTTCCCTTCAGGATGGTGGCTCCAGACTCCCCTTGGATCTCTGGAGGCTGGAGACCTGCCTTCAACCAGAAGTACCAGGACCTGTGGGCCCAGGGTCATAAACATCCAGGCATCAGAAGCACCAGTGAGTACTGATCCCATATCAGCGCAGAAGAGGGTTGGTAAAATGAGAGGGTCATTTTAGAGGGTCAGTCTAAACATAGTGTTAGACTTTGACCCGGCCGATGGACCTTGTCAGGTGTAACTGACAAATTTTCAGTCAAAGAATCTTATTACTCTTTTTAGAGGCCAAATTCTCCCGACAGGCCATGATACAAAGTGACACTCTTGTCTTTGCTGGTTTTATCCAGTGTGTGTAGGAGAAGAAAAGCCTCTCCTGCGTTTTTTTAGCTGTCAAACATTTTGCTCACTGTAAATCTCTGCTGTGAAAAGGTCACCTAAATTAGTGTCTGCAGCCTGCTGTAAATCTTCTATTTCAACATGTTGATGGCAGCTGTATGTTAAAACATGAGCATGTCAAAAATAAATATATTTGAACAGTAAATCTAGTCACATAGAAGCAACAGTATTAACTTCAGTCTTCTTCAAAACTGGTTCAAAACTGCTCTCAGGGGCTTTAATATTACTCCAAATCACATTTAATACCTTTACTCCATGTCCTGCGTATTATTTATTGTTTTAGTTCATTGTCGTGTGTATGTTTCTGGAAATATATATATCTTTTGTACAACCTGCTCAGAGGCATTTGTCACCTGTGAGTGACAAATCTAAAAAAGAGATAAACTGTTATCCTCTGTGTTTCATGAGGTCTCCCAGTCTCATCAAAAAAAGACTCCAGCTGTTTGGACTCCACCATCCCCATTGTGACCGACAGTTGTGGCGTATATGGGACGTTTTACGTGGACCTGACTGGAAACAGCCTCAAAACTTTCAACAGTCCAAAGCGCTGCCCGAAAATGCCTCATGGTTTACTTCATCAGCAAGGTACTGAGACCATCCAGATCTTCACACAGCCTGATGCAAAGTGCTCGCCCCTTAGTAGCCAAGAGATGTTACCATGGAAACAGGCCATACGCCCCCAGCCCAAGATGGGTTTACAGAGGGAGAACAGGGAGAAGAACCCCAGTAAGCAAGGTAAGCAGAGGAGAGGAGAACATGCAATTACCCTGCTACTTGATTCATTACTTGTCATGTTCATCAGCCACTATGTGGGTTTACTGTGTGTCATTCTATCTCCCAGGATGCTACTGTGGTGAAGTGTGTGTGCATAGATATACATAGAAAGGCTAGATAGCTTACCTACACTGTGAGCCAATGGGGACTGACCTCGTCACACAGCGGCCATCTTACCTAGGGGTTGCTGGCCCACTGATAACATTAATGTCTATGGTGCATGTACTGTTTCAATGACAATATCCTGCTCAAATTTCAACTGATTTTCAAATGGATTGGTTTGTTATAAACGCCAGAGATGTAGTTATGTTTCTGCATATTTACGGATAATTATAACCATGGACTTTCATATTAAATTAAAAAAGGAGATAGTAGAGCAATACCTGTCATAGCTGCACACATACACACACAGTGAAATTAAATTGTCAGTGTTTTTAATATTAAACATTTAATAGTTAGATATTTTATATTTCTATTTAATACATATATTAAATATAAAGGGGCAAGTTGACCCACATGATATTTTAAACTTAAACTTAAACTGTATTTACTGATGAAAAATAATTTTATAAGACATTTCCCTTTTTCAAATAGTCTTAATTATTTTCTTTGGGTTATTAAACAATATAAAACCAATTAAAGTTTGCTTTTCAGAACCTTTTAATATTTTTAATTATTAATATAATATTGAAAATTTCTCTTGAATTAGTGTATTTATCAAAAATAAAAGATCATTCTGCTAATTTGAGTGGCAAAGACCTAATAAAAATTATAAAAATTGTGATTCATATCGGTTAAATTTACCCCGAGGCATAATTCTGTCTTTCCCACCTGTAAAGAATTATGTCTAGGCTACATTGTAGTTGTCCCAGTGGACCACTATGTCACATTCACAACTTCTTGTTTCTTTGCTCGCTAATAAACACAACTACATCCACACAAATCATCATTTAGACAAAATATGTGATTGTCACAAAATTATTATTGGTCTCACGGAAACATATATAATAATTGAAACTCCCAGATTACAGCCTTGCAAATGGCTGTGACAGACACACAGCTATGCAACAAAATTAAATCGATTTTCAAAAAGAAAAGCTGCACTTTCAATATGTCCACGCGGCCTGAATCATAGCCACGTTAATAAGGTTTGTTATAAACCAAAACGTTTGTAAACCCGTCAAGATTTCAGCGAGTTAGGTGTATTTTTGTTTGTGTTGGTCGCTCACCTTCCATCCAATACTGTATTGAATTCTAACACAAGTTCCTGTAAGGAGGAGAGTTACACAGATGCTTTACATTTTAGCACTTTGCTCACAACACTGGTCTTGTACATTTTCAAGAAATTTATGATGCAGGTTTATGGATTTCTTTTGCAGCATAAACAGATAAACTTTAATGCTAAGGAATAGAAATTTTAGGAATATTAAACATTATAAGATGTTCTAATAAATGAAATCACCAAAATTGTGATGAAGATGAATATCTCCCATTTCCTCAGCTGATGAACCTGAAAACAAAGGCCTTACAGTAAAGGTCAACTGCTCGTTCTAAAGGGACTTCATTTAAAAACAAAACTGAACAAACAAACAAACTGTTTTTTTTTTTTTTCTTTTTTTTTTTCTTTTTTTTTAGCTTGATTCATTTCTGCTTTTATATTTAGAGCTTTTTTTCAATTTAAAGTGATGCATGTAGTTTATTATTACAGTTATATCATGATGTTTGGACTCAAAGAATATGGTTATGGTTAAGCCATTTTCTTACAAGAGCAAAGTCATAGTAGCGTCCTTTTTCTGTGAGAATGGAGGGCTGTATTACAGTCATAATATTACAAAAACAAAGATGATATGTTCTGAGAATAAAGTTGTTGTAGTAGTTTTGGTTTATGGTAAGCAGCCAGCTGTCTGTACCAAAGTGAGGAACACAAAGTGTCTGGTTAAAATTGAACTTCAGTTGAGGTTTTACTGATACTGAAAAAATGAGTGTTTTGGCACCTTAGCACCACATTGTTATTCAAAGAAGGACCTGAAAGCTGAGACTGACTGTTTCCCTTTTCAAAACTGTACTATGTGACTTATTGTTGATTAAATTAAAGGCTTTATTGACATAGCATTATTACTTTAATCTTGAAACATCACAACTTTATTCTCATAATCTTCACATTTACTTTTTGGCAAGACTATATGAATCAACCTCTTATAATGCATCATAAAGACATGCAGTATGTCATACCTTCAAAATGCATCTATAAGGCTTTATAACAGTTCCTATGACTGATAACAAGTATTTATAACAGCTTATAGCAATGTTTATGAAATGTTATAAGCAGTGAGCATAACGCCTCATATAGGAAAAGTTTATAATGTTTGATACCTAAATAAGAAATAAAATAAAACAATGGCATTTTTTAAATTCTGGGTTTAAAAACACATAACTCCAACATTGCCCGGTAAATGTGCATAAAGTAAATAAAAATCATTTCTGTGACTGTCCAATGGAAAAATGGGTTATTTTCACTCACAACATGCCATAGACCTTGGACATTGAAGTAAAGTGACAGTATGAGGTTCTAAACAGTCATACGAAGCACATAACACATTTATAAGAAATTATAAGCAGAATTTCATGGCTGCAAATGTAATCAAATTCACATCAAAAATACATGACATTCAAATTTATATAATGATGATTTTGTCTTTTGTATGAAGGTAATTATTCATTATAAACCACATCTTTGTAAGGCATCATGCTCACTTCTTAAAACACTTGATAAACATTATTATTAAGCGGATTTGAATACTCATCCCTCATAGAGGTTATAACAAAGCCTCATAGCTACATTTATAGAGCTTTGTTAATGTGCTTAATCTGGGTCATAAGAGGTGGGCTCACAGAAAGTGTCACCTATTTTTTCTTAAGTTTATACTCCATTGCAGTTGGTAGCTAAGCCAGTTAGCACTTTCTGATAATGTATGAACAGAAAACTTCGGGTACAGTTTCATTCATTTCTCCTCAGAGTTGCATGCAGTGAACAGTGTCCCCATAGTGCCGAGCAGCAACCAGGCGTGTCTACCCAGTGTCTACAAACAGAGGCTTAGTCACATCCCATCAGGCAGACATGGTACCACAACAGCTTCACTTTATGCTTTGTCATACATTGTTGATGTGACATGTGCTCAAAGATGAGTCATAAAATGCTAGTTTACAGTCATTCAAATAATTCTCATTGACTTGTGATCATGGGATCGTTTTGTGTTTTCGCTCAGGTGGACATCCAAAGTGCAGTAAAGCTGCTTGCTGTCCCCGCCTGCTGCATTACTCTGCATCATTACACTTCTTTGACATGCTGCCTCCTCCTCCACCGCTCCCTGTGGAGGATCTCACAGACACACACAGCCTCACCTCAGACGAGGGGTAAGAGGCTCGCTGGAGTCAGACTGGCTAGTAAAACACACAAAATAAGCTTTCTAACAAACAAAGCACTAACTTTGTTTATGAAAACAAATCCTATCATAACAACCTGCCAACAATTTGAAAAGAATCAGAGCAGAAGAAGTCTCAAATGTCTTTCCTCCTTCATTTCTCTCAGTTCGAGCCGTTCCACAAAGTTAACAGTTGACATGGGCTCTCTGCAGTCAGTATGTGCTGCATCAGGTCAATGTGGGCAACTGGGATACACCAATAACAATACCAACAACAACAGCCATCCCTCCTACAGCCACCTGTCCACTACTTCATACTCAAGGTCACTGGATGATGAACAGGGAGGCACACTGACAGTAGAGGAGGCCACTGAGTACCTGGAGCTCAGCCCCAAACCTGAGAGATGCAGGTAAGACAAACATTAGGAGCTCTTCTGCCTGTTTTGTTTGTTTTAACCAGATAGTCTAACATCACTCTCTGTCGGCAGTGTCCTGCCTGAGCAGCGTCCTTCCCTGCCCCAGCCTTTCTCCTCCACCCTGGACTACTTCTGTGGTCCGGCCGGCTCTCCTCCGCTGGACGATGACACCACAAACACTGGGGCTGAGGTCCTATCTGTGGGTCTGAGGTCCGCTCGTCTCCAGAGCTCGCCCTCCTCCTGCTACAGTGAGTGGGACAGTTCTCTGTGGAACACCTGGAGCTCAGTCATGGATGGAAACTTGGCGAGCGCTCGCACCAGCCTCATCAGCTCTGTGGACAGCTGCTATACCAACGACAGCGCCAGCTTTGCTCACCTGTTGGCTGTGGCAGCAGAGACCATGAGCGGAGCCTCTTTGTCAGGTGAGCAGACAATGATCCTTGCTGTGTCATTATTTATTTTTATTTGAACTGTCTGAACATATGGTTGTGGTGCTCCTTCAGTTTATTCCTAAATTTGATAACATGATATTGGTGGCCCAAAATATCACGATTCACGATATTATCACGATATTAGCGCATTGCTTTTAACGTTATTAAAAATGGCAAAAAACTGCAAAATCACTTCTCTGTGCACAGCATGACACGCACAAACAATATGAGCAAGAGGCAGCTAACGCGACGTTGGGAGCATTAGCTTTTTGGAGCTAAAGTTAGCAGAAACGTCACTAACATTGTCAATAATAAGCAGTAGAGTAGACCAAACTTGTTGCGGTCATGTTTTTTTTACCTTGATTTGGGCGAACGATGCTGGATGGTGTTCACGGAGGTGGGCACGTAGGTTTGAAGTGTTAGACAATGGCGCTGCAACTACCTTACGGCATAACCTGCAGATTGGTGTCAGGTTTACCTGCTCCGTCTGTTTTGTGAAGCCGTAAAACCTCCATACTGCCGACGAAACCTTTTTGATAGGAGGATACACCCGAGGTGTTTCCTCATTCTCAGTTTCCGACTGTTCTTGGTCCGATGTTATGCTGTTGAATGCACCCCTGACGGGAGCACGGTTGAAAGTACATAACAAGGCGAAGTAATCCAAGTTTTCCTTACCATTGGGTGGATTCTACAGCATGTGCCTTTAATGATTTCATTCGGACTATTCAGATAAGCCGAACACAATAGCCCTCTAATTCTGAATATTTGCTGTCCCAAATATATAATGCTCTCTACCTTGACAGCTTACTGTACAGTTTATGTACCCAATTACATCTCTATATGTGCATTTTTGGGACACATACAAACAGAACGAAAGTTTGCTGCTCCATTTTACATGTTGTCATGATCCAATACTCGTGTTTTTTAAAATATCAGATCATATCTCCTCCACTTTAAGAAGCTGATGAGCGGATGGGATGCATTGTGGACACGCTCCAACAGTGCTTTGAGTGGCCGCAATGCATTGTGGGTGGCCACGTATTTTGTTTTAAAATTTCTTCATTTTCTCTTTTAATGTTCCCGTTTTTGTTAGGCTGGCATTAATGTACTTGAGTCAGTTTTTTTGGATTTGGGATTACTTTTGTGGTGGTTTGTTTCTACATTTTGCTACTGAGGCTTTGACACCGTGGGTAAGACTACAAGCAGGTTAGGTTGGTAAGTACTCGGCTTCGCTCACCTCTACCCAGTAACGCTGCCACTCGTCTTTAAATTATAATTGCGGAATGATTTTTACAGTAGCTTACGATCTCATAATCGCGGCCGTTTAATATCGCATATCGCGATTAAATTACATATCGGCACATCCCCAGTCCCAAACTGGATCCTCAGTCCTTTGGACCACTCTTTGACATGAAAAAACGATGGACAGACAAAGCAAATGTACAAGTGCAGAGGTTAATATTGCCACTAATTAATAAAATAAAGAAATAATGAATTTGCCTTCGGGGATCAGTAAAGGTCTTCTTTTCACACAGAATAAATCCATTTTTGATTTAGAGTGCTGCTTTTACATACAAATTCAAGAGGAGGCGTAAAAAACACATGAACCTGGGAAGGATTCACTGGATTTTGTCATGTTTTGTTTATCACAGTTATCCACTAGATGGAGCTCTTTGTCTATTTTAGAGCTACACTGGTTTCATACAGCTGGACACATTCAGGATAAGTATCACACAGAACATTTAGAGTCATAAAAACAAGTTGTCTATTTTTATTCTCTTAGATGTCCAATATTCTAACAATATATACACACACACAAACCTATATATAAATATGTTTAAGTAAGGAAACCTTTTTGGAGTTGTGCTGACACCTGCAAGTCCAAGTGGATTTCTTTGTTTGTAACAGACTGAGACCTTAAGTCTAATATCTTGGGTGGCTTCAGGCAATTACTTAAGACCTTTCAGCAGATTGAAGGTCCAGATGAGTCATCCTCTCCTCCTGGGTCACCTCATCAGTCACTCCACTTTCCCTCTGCAGGCCACAGTCAGCTTTATTCCAGCTCACTGTTTTCTGCCCTAGCTGTACTCCACACACACACACACAACACACACACCGGAGCACAAGTTTTCTTTAAGGTTTATGAAGCAACTTGGTAATAACTGCTTTGCAAATTAAACAATACAAGTCCACACACACACACACACACACACACACACACACACACACACACACACACACACACACACACACACTGACAACCTGAATAACCCAGTGATGTGATTGTTCTTGGTCTTTTTCAAACCTCAGTCCAGTTTTGACTTAGTTTTGGATCTGATATATTGATGGGTGGTATCGGCTACTGGGCTGCTTCATGTGAAGGGTAATACATGGATATAAGATTCTCTGGTATGAAAATCAAATATGTGCTTGTTGTTGGCATGAGGAAAATAACCTGTTGATGCAGCAACCAAACGACAACTCCTAAATTTTGCAGGGAAAAATAAATACTTTTTCAACCCCAATGTTGGCCCTGATGAGATTCGAAGAGGTAACTGCTGTTTCTGACTATAAGCTCCCATCCAATTCGCTTTTTTCAAGCACATTTGTTAAGAAAAGAGTCATTTATCAAAATACCATGAAGTGCCTCAAAATAGCAGAGATAACAACAAAGTACATCAAAAATACAGCTGATAGGAAAGTTAAAGACACATTCATAATGAGGAAATAAAAGACAGAGACCACACAGCCATCTAAAACTTCAACATGCCATATTTTTTATTTTATTTAACCTTTATTTAACCAGGTGAGGCTTATTGAGATATAAAATCTCTTTGACAAAAGCGACCTGGCCAAGAGGCAGCAAAGTTACAGAGTTACAGTAAAATCATTTAAAATAAATTACAATAACTCAGTAAGAAATACAATAGAATGAAATAAATAAAAGTGTCAGTGATAGAATAGAAGCAGTGTAACATCTTGTTAAAAACAGTCACAAAGGCCAATGCTTTCCAGTTCCCTCATTTTAAGAATTTTCACAGTCCTCAAGTCCTCAAAGGGGATCAGATCTGATCATTTTAGTTCCTTCTGTAGCAAATTCCATGCAGTAGGAGCAGCAAAGCAGAAGGCCCTTTTTCCTAACTCAGAGAGGACACGAGGAGTATTTAACATTAACAAGCCAGTGGATCATAGCCTATAATGTCCATTATTTCTCACAAGGTAAGATCCAAGATAGAATGGCACCATCCCAAATAAAGCTTTTATAAATAAAAGTCAACCAGTGAGTGAATCTTCTGACAGACAGGGAGGGCCATTCCACTTTTTTGTACAGAGTGCAATAATGCGTCAGATTTTTGCATCCAGTGACAAACCTTAAAGCACAGTGATAGACAGTATCCAAGGAACGTAGACATGTGACTGGTGCATGCATATACATCACCATAATCAAGCAATGGAAGAAAGGTTGCTGAAACAAGTCGTTTCCTGGCTCCAAGAGAAAAGCAAAATCTGTTCCTAAAATAAAAGCCCAATTTTACCTTAAGTTTAGAAATTAGGTTTGAGATATGATATATGAAATTTAGACAATAATCCAGATGGAAACCCAGGTACTTATAGGACGATACTAGCTTAACACGAAGGGATTTGTTGACAGCATAGTAGCCCTGGAAAATAGCCTAACCTTTGTCTTATCAATGTTCAAGACCAGTTTCAGCCTTTGCAGGCGGGCCTGAACAACGGGCCTGAATATCTTCATGATTGGAATGAATAGATTGATCTTCCTGCCCCAGAAACACGCGATTCTGCTCACTTTTTCACCATCCCCAACCAAACAACACCACAGTTCATGGCAGACCAGTGTAATGTAAGGAGCATTTTCCTACCAGTGTGTATACATGACCCAGTGTTCTGGTCAATACAGGCATATGACCGGTGTCTTTTTTCTTTTTTTCACTTAATCATAGAGGATTAGATGTTTACCCTGCTCATACCCCAATGAAGACCTGAGCAGGCCTCAACTGATGACTATCTGAAGATATTTGCCGTGTCAAATAATTTTTTTTTTAGGTATTTCCAACAGGAAGCAGTATGTGTAATCATGCTCAAGGATAGGATAAATACAACGATCTAAACTTGAAGAAGGGAAGTCCTTTTCCAGATGAATATAGCTAAGACATCTGCTCATCTGTCTGTTTGCATGTACCATTGAAAAAGAAAAAGCATCATAACATAGGTATGTGTCGTTTCTTCAGACATCATGTTGTGAGTATCACACTGTAGCTGTGGCAGAGGGCCTTTGGTACCATGTTCTGAGACCCTTCCTCTCTCCTCTACCTCTGTCAGAAAGAACCTTCATGCTGTGAGGGACATGTGTGAAAAATCAAGTTTGGAAAAACTGGTGCAGAGCTCCTGAAGAACTCTTGAAGTTTGAGTATCTGCATACATCAAAAGGCTTTATTTTAACAGGCTGATTTAATTATGTGACTGTTGAGTGCCATGCAGAGGTCACAGTGAGTGTGCTTCTGTCGAGGATGAAAACAGTGAGTCTGATGACTGGAAACACTACAGCAGAGGAAACAGACTGGTTTCAGATGAGAGCACTGTGTAATATGCACTGTCACACTCCCACGTTCGTTTTCAGAGCTCCTATAGCACCAAGCCCTACAGCTGAGAAAAGCTTTTATTACTCCAGGACAGCTCCTCTTCACAGGTCTTTGAAATGTAGCAGCTCCTTCAGAGTCCACAGTGTGTCTGATGTGAATTGGCAGTGTTTGTTTCTGTGCCTCAAACATGTGAAAATAGGAACATATTAGTTTTATTTTCAGTGACAGACAGTTGCTTCAAAGCAGAGTCTAAATTTGCTTTTCCCAGGAGAGCCAGCATGAAAGATTTCTTCTCAGAGGTTTAGAAATGTTGACTTATTCTTCTCCAAAGGCTCAAAAAACTCGCTGTTTTAAATGAATCCCTCCACTGCAAGTGAAATACATGTCAGTAATTTGTACTCTCCTGTGTACAGACTTCTCTCCCCCAGCCTCCCCTCTCAGTGCCTTGTATCCGTCATTTCGAGGAGAAGGAGACTCGTTTGGGGAGCTGGAGCCGGTTCCTGCGTGGGACTGGAGTATGGCCTGGATGGAGGAGATGGAGGCTCAGTACAGAGCACACTGCCCTGGAAGAAGTAGTAGACCCTTTGATGCATGAGGACTCTGCTAGAAAAGGAGAAAGAACAAAATAACTGAGTTATTAGATATTCAGAAACAGCTCACAGTCCTGCGGGAGGAGAGAAGAAGGAGGAGAAACTGCGACTGACAGTGTGAGAAAGATGGGAAGAGTTTTGGTGCCTGAATAATGAAGAGTTTGATGTGTACAAATACTGAAAGATCATGTTTTTATCTTTCATTGAAGCCAACTTTTGAAGTTTGCTTTACCTCAGCATTTCATTATCTACCTATTAAAGTATCAAGTCCAGCGACTATTGAACCAATGAACAATCACTGAAAGGCTTTCTCCCTCTCTCTTTCTATCTCTGTCTGTGCCCTTCCCTCCCATTAAAGCAACAAGGTAATGAGATATTTCCCGTTGAACCTTCTCACCCTGTATGTTTTTTGAAAAGGCCAGAAAGACAAAGACAGGATGTGAGGTGGTGAGAGAACATCATTAGGCAGAAGAAAAACGCTGCTGTAGATTTCCTCTGGGCTACTCAAGTTTGTTTCTCATTATCCTACGTCTTTTTGGGGGCTTTATTGGGCCTCAACTTCTCCTAACAGAGAACAGCACAGGGACTTCAGTTTTCACAAAGAAAGAGTACAGGGACTTCAGTTTTCACAAAGAAAGAGTATTTATGCAGCAGCAGATGAATCAAATGTTATTTAAAAAATTTCAAACACATTCAAAAAAATGTTTTCTGTCTTGATTTAGAAGATTTGTATTTTTAATTTTCAAATAGTTCTTGTGTTTTTTTTTTTTTTTTTCATCTTTTTTTATTAGACCCAACATAGTGTAGTTCAGACTAGGGAAGTAGAAAAATATGTTTTTTATTGAATTAAAGTCATTTTGTTCAAATTAAAGTAAAGGGAATAACTTAAATTTTACAAAGTATTAATAACAGCTGTATGCATAAAGTAGTTTTAGCATGCCTGAGTATTTTAAAAATGGTTGGTTGGTCACAGTTTGACCAGTATTTAGTGGCATTTAACAGAACAGACTTGGTGGAAGTTGAGACGATTTGTATTGTTGACATAGAATGAGTCTCTTCTATCTAAATGAAGCAGGTCCCCATGTTTGTATGGTAGCACAGAATGGACAAACTATGGTTATACACTTGTTGGGTTGAGTGAGGGAGCAGAGAAAATACGGAAGAATTTGATCATGTTGTGAATGTTTTTGATTGGAGAAATATAAACTTTTCATACCTTTCATGCTTCACAGGCACTTCTTGTCCTCAAAGGCTACCGTTACTTGGAAGGGATAAGCAGGGGAGCCTCTAATCTGACTTAATGTTCCCACTTCTACACACTGTACCTTTAAGAATGTGCCTGTTTTACTCATTTTAAAGTACAAATGTGTAAAAAGTCTTTGAATAAAATCTTATGCACCAGTGAGGACTCGGGATTTGATTTCTCTGCTTTGTTGAAGTGAAATAAAGGGAGTACAGTTTGTCTAAATAACACCCTCTAACACCCCTCTGTGGCCTGAGAGCAGGGTTTCGTTGACCCTTGCTGTTCTACTCGCTCTGTGAAACAGGAGGGTAATGTTACAGCTCATCTGTTTGGCTTGATTAACCAAGAGTAATTTTGCTGCTTTACCTGATAAAAGCCTTTAATTACTACCCACTGGAGAGGATAATTAAAGCTAATCCATGTGTGTGTGTTTGTACAGAAAAAAGGAAAGTCATGACTTAAAACTCAATGTCAAGTCAGCTCTATTTCTACAATACTCTGAAGAAACAAAGAAAGTGACCTAAACAGCTTTACAGTTTAGGCAGAGAGAAATACAAATACGGCAGCAGTAAACATGCTGATGAGACACACTCTAAAATTGAGGTTATAGATCCTGAGATCTATAACCTCAATTTTAGCCAGAGATCCCAGAATGCTTTGCACAGAGAGGCAGACACAGAACAAGTGAATTTTCAGTGCTGCCTGCAGTGGGTCCACACCGTTAGGAAGAAGTGACCTTAATAAGCGCAGTGGTGTTCAAAAAGTCAATTTTCATCAGCAAGTGTGAAACATAGTGGTTATTCCAGGCCTTCATTCACCGGTTAACATCATGGCATTCTGAGTGAGAGAACACTGACTGGTCATCTGCATTTATTGATCAATTTCTCTATTTTTAGTTTTCCATTTAATCATATAATTACAAAGACACAAAGGCTTTATCCTTCATTTCAACTACCTTTACATTCAATGAGTTTGTGTAAGAAAAATGTAAGGTTTTTACACATCCAAGTGATGATAATCGGCTCAAATGTGACTTTTTGTCATTTACATGAAGACTTTCAGTTTGATGTTAAATACTACCATTGGTTATTACACTAAATGAGCCTCTACTCTGTAGCTACAGGTAGATCAATGAATCCATAAGGAATTGTACATCCTTGCATTCAACACAAAAGCCATCATGCAATTCTTTACAAACAGCATGCGCATGTGTAAGTAAGTAGAATCATAAATGCAGTCCAAGAGCTGCCTCTGCTGCTAACCTAATTTTGTAGGGTAATCAATGGGTAACTTCCCCTTTGTTCTAATTTACGGTTTGTTGAAAGGTTGTTTTAACATGCAGCAGCTGGAGCTGGAAGACATGCATCCAAATCTCTGTCAGAGCATTCTTTATGTGTTAGATAGGTGAGTTCCCTGGAGAGTTGGCAGCAAATAACCACGGGCTCTATTTCTGTTCCTCACGTAAGTCAGGTCCGTCGTGCCGATAAGGTGTTCCCAAGCACATTTTGGTATTTTGGTGAGCAGCGCAGCCCGGCATGAGTATCCCCCCTCCCTAACTCAGCTCCTCCCAGCAGCGTAAGTTGTAGAGAGGGACGAGAGAAGGCATGGATTGGGTTTAACACAGCCGAGATCTGTTTTCACCAATCATATCAGCTCCTCTCCTCACCTTTAAATACGCCACGAGGCATATTACTATTTTCGTAAAGTAGTCAAAAGAGATCAAGAGATGGCCGCTGTAAGCACTGCAGAGGGCATCCTGCACACTGTCTCATATAAGCACAGATGGATTTGGTGTGTGTAATGTTGGACCCACTGGTAAGACAAACACCATTTTCCACAAATAAAGACAATCCCATAAGGTTGCATTTATTTACCCCAGGTGACAAAGGTGGGTTGTGCACACAGATCACAACATAAATTCCAATAATGGCATTAAAATCGGAACCACCTATGTATGCGTAAAAGAGGTATTGTGCTCGGTGGCCTGGCTCTTTCTTTCATAGATGTTGGCATATAAAATGAATTTGGCTCACAAAACTGAATATAATAATATTCGTATGTAGGCTTAAAGTAAATAACTCATCTGATCACTGAAATAAATCATCTGTTCAGCTGCCGCAGCAGCAGCTGCAGCAGGACGGGGAGAGGACACGAAGACATGTCCAGGTCGAGCTGCGAGGAAGAGGAAGATAGAAAAGGAGGGAGACGAATTACATATCTTGTTAACTTCATCATGTGTGTTTATTTACTAGATATTTAATTTAATTGAATGCGGTTTCAGCTGTGTTGATTCGGTCAGGTTGAGTGTCCAAACTCATGCCAAACGCACTCATCAGATAAGATACAGATCAGAATATATCTATATAGATCTAAATGTATGTGCTGACTCAGAATATTGGTTGTTATTGATTATTTATTGCACTGAAAAATGCCTGACACTGTGGAAACCTGCCAGTGGGGGATCGGTGATGTATGCGCACTACGCCGCAGGCATGGAAATAGAGCCCCATGAAATACATTTTCACAGCCTGGGAGATTGGCCTACCTTACTCAGAAATAAAGAGGCTCTATGACTGAGCCCTGGGGTATGCTACATTCAATTGTTACGAGAGATGAAAAGCAGTTTCCTGGTTTGGTTTTTGAGGGGGTCACCAGTTTTAATCTGGGTGCTGCAGGCCAACCAGGCTTTGTGGTTTCCCTATTTCAGGATGTTTCTCCAGGTTTAAAACAGATTAGTTTTACATTATCTTACTTGATTTTTATGTCAAACATCTCATTTGTTGGGGCTTTACGGAGGAAAAGCTGCTGATATTCTTATAGATAATCTAATATGATTTCCCCAATGGCTGTGTTCAGGATAAGTGTTTGTTAAGCAGCTGCACAGCACATCACGCTCTTTTTCAAACTAATCCGTTTCTTATAGGGTTAGATGAGGCTGGGGGTGTCAAGCTAAGAGGCGCTTATTCTGTCGGTTTCTTTTATAAGCTGCAGAGAAGCAGCCAGTCCACAGTCAGTACCCATGAGGAGAGTATTTTAAAGAAAATTGGGAGGCTGTAATATTTTCTTCTATGAAAAATCACATAGGAATAACAGATGGGGTGAGTGGGTGCAGAATCTGTTAATGTGCAAAAGTTTGACTAAATTTGGAGCTTTATCACAGCTATTCACTTCTTTCAGATGAAGCAGATTCATCTGTAGTCAGTGTCAGATGAAGTCAAACAGACCTGCAATTAAAGTGAAAATGTGAATAATTAAGACCCAGCTGAGCTGCAGACTTCTCACCTGAAACTGTGTTAAATGACTGTGTCTCACTCACAATCTATATGCAGTACAGAAAGAGCTGGATTATTGGTGTGTGTGTGTGTGTGTGTGTGTGTGTGTGTGTGTGTGTGTGTGTGTGTGTGTGTGTGTGTGTGTGTGTGTGTGTATGTGTGTATGTGTGTGTGTGTGTTTACTAGACTGCCAAAAGGATTATCTGTCATCTGTCTCCTCAACTAAGGGCCATATGTTTCTACACAAAGCCCCCAGCCCCCCTGAGCAGCACACGCACACAAACACACACAGACCAGACATTATGAAGCTCACATAGTAATAAATCAAGCGCTACTGTATGTCTGCCTTACTTATAACTTCTTATGCACACACACACAAAACATACATGCTGCCCTTGGGAGTTTTGCATCACATATTTTTTGGCCTTTGCCAAAGTACCAGCTTTGTTAAGCTTTATTAAGCTTGTCAAGAAACCACTGACCCATATTAGACATGGCCTGAAAGCACACATCACACATAAACTCTGAACACACGCTTTTGTAGTTTTTTTTTGCTCATCCAGCAGTCTGTTACTTGACCAAATGAATAATTACCGCTCCAAGACCACCAGACAGTTAAGTATGGTCAGAGGTGTGTGAATGAGTCCAACCTAAAATATGTATGCCAGACAAGTGAGGGAAGAAGTAAGTCAGAGAACTATGACTCAAAAACTTCAACTGTCTGCAAATTAAACATACAAAAACTTAAAACAGGAGAATCAGAAATTTTTTTTAAATCTTTCTTATGGTGATTTAAATCCTTCTGAAAGCTTCAACCTTACCCGACATTATATGTCTGATCATGTTTTTAGAAACAGCAGAATCAGTTAAAGTCAGTAATTATTTATAATTTTGTAATATTTTTGGTATAATTGGGTATCATCTACATACAAATAAAATAAAACACCATTCTTATCTATGATTTTGCCCAGGGGGGAAACATGTATCATAAAAAAAAGGAACCTAAAACGGACCCCTGGGGATCACCATACTTTACATCAGAAAAAGCAGAGAAACAGTTTTTCATGAACCCACAGAACCTTCCATTTGTTAGATGTGATTTAAACTGCTCTGAAACTGTACCAGAAAAAGATTTCACAATAATGTTATTTGCAGCTGTCTTTCATTTCCTGATGTTAGCTTGAACTTGCCATATTATCTGTTATCTTGTGGTCCGCCTCATGAGATCAAAAACATAACTTCTCTAGCTTGATTCAGAAAGTGGAAGGACATTGGTGATGCTCAAAAATGCCGTGGCCTCTGTCAACTCCCCTGAGGAACACCAGATTGTAACTTATTCACATATGAGTAACTGCACAGTTTTCTGTTGGACAGGCATGTTTTGGACTGTGGGGGGAGGCCGGAGAGAACACACACAAAACACACAACTCCTTCCAGAAAGGCCCTTCCTGGTCAGAGATTTAAAGCAAGCCCTTTGAAGAGAGCTTGTCAAAGATGGTATTTTCGTGTACTGAGGCACACTGACGTCCGCCAAGCTGGGCGTAGTGGCGTGGCAGGGAGAGGTGTCGACAGAATCAGCTGGCACAGTGACATTTTCGTGCCCGCCACTGTGTAAAGTGCGCTGAAATCTCGCCGATTCAAACCTGGTCAGCTTTCAGCGCAGGCAGAGCGCAGTTGGTCTAGTGGTATTTTGGTAGACCGGCGGTGTATCGGCATACGTTACCGATGCCTCACCGGCAGGTTTCCATGGTTTCAGGCACATTTCAGTGCAATGATTAATCAAAAATAACTAATAATCTGAGTTGGCAAATACATTTAGATCTATAGATATATTCTGATCTAAATCTGATCTGATGAGTGCATTTGGCACTCATTTGGACACTCCACCTGACC